GGAACGGCACAGCCGGGAACGGCACAGCCGGGAACGGCACAGCCGGAACAACACAGCGGGAACGGCACAGCCGGAACGGCACAGCCGGGAACGGCACAGCCGGAACGGCACAGCCGGAACGGCACAGCCGGGAACGCACAGGGAACGCACAGCCGGGAACGGCACAGCCGGGAACGGCACAGCCGGGAACGGCACAGCCGGGAACGGCATTAGCCGGAACGGCACAGCCGGGAACGGCACAGCCGGAACGGCACAGCCGGGAACGGCACAGCCGGAACGGCACAGCCGGGAACGGCACAGCCGGGAACGGCACAGCCGGGAACGGCACAGCCGGGAACGGCACAGCCGGGAACGGCACAGCCGGGAACGGCACAGCCGGGAACGGCACAGCCGGGAACGGCACAGCCGGAACGGCACAGCCGGGAACGGCACAGCCGGGAACGGCACAGCCGGAACGGCACAGCCGGAACGGCACAGCCGGGAACGGCACAGCCGGAACGGCATGGGAACGGCACAGCCGGGAACGGCACAGCCGGGAACGGCACAGCCGGGAACGGCACAGCCGGGAACGGCACAGCCGGGAACGGCACAGCCGGGAACGGCACAGCCGGGAACGGCACAGCCGGGAACGGCAAATCTATAAGAACGCCGTTCCCGGCGTCATGCTTGTCCATCCCGCTCCATTTATGTCCGGAGGTTTCGTAGAGGTCGTCTGTGGAGTAAGCTACCTGCACTTACTGGGTGTTCAAGTTTTTTGTGACCATACCCCGGCTGTCGAACGTCTGTCTGGGCATCTGGACGGCCGCCATATGGCTGCTCAACTGTCCGTGCTGCACATAATGGTTCGGATTGATACATCAGCGGCTGCTATTAATCCAGCTGCTGCTGATATGCCATCTGGGCTGGCTGGAACGCCGGCGCCGCTATCGCCACCGTCGGGTATACACTATACAGGAGCGCTTGATTTCCCAGGCTGCAGTATCGGCTGCTGTTGCTGTTATAAACAGGGGCAACCGTGCTCGAGGCTGCACCATTGGCGGCGGCTGCTGAGTCAAAGACGGCAGTAGCTAGCGCAAAGGCGGCATTTTCTGATTGTTCCGCCAGGATCCCCAAAGCAACCATCGCGGCTATTCCAGTTGCCGCCCTGGGCGGCTTCCTTCCACGGCGCGCCCTCGCTCCGGCTGCCCTGGAAACTAAGAACCCCGTTGCCGGCTGTCTGGCCACCCGATATCCCGTGTTCCAGGTGTAAGCGCCAAGCCGGGACGGTCAGGATTTGCCGCTCTGACGCTTAATCCAGCGTTCTAGCGACGGGGCCAATCCTGGCACATGCGTTAGTACGGGTTCTGGTTCCAGTCGCCGGCCACGAATCCACACATTGCCGTCGCATAGTTTCCCGGCATGCAGCACTAGCAGGTGATCGCTCAGGTTTGCGTCCGTCGGTGTATGTTCCGTTCCCTGCTCGTTGTACCCACCCGTCATCTCCGTTCCCCAGCGTCGTACTGGGCCAGGCCGATTCGTGCCCACTAGATTTCCAAGGTTCTGGCCGGCTACATTCCATCTCCTAAGGTCGGTTAATTTCTGACCGAGCTAACCTCCGCCAAAACTGCCACGGCCACTACCTCGCGGCAGGCTGAAATTCCCTCCGTAGCCGCGCTTCCGCCGTAGTTCCCGCCGTATCTTCCAGTGCCTCTACCATACCTGCCTGCCCCCGGCGGGCTCGGTTGGGGCTGTCCGTACTGTGGCGGGGTTGCAGACGCAGGGCAAAATGGTGTCCAGTTTACGACAAATGCATGTCCGGGGGACGATAAAGCTTATGTCTGCTGCACAGGCCAGCACGAACATCGCCCTTCCGGTCGGCAAATCGAGCCGTAAACTTGGCTATCCAGACATCGAACGGCCAACCGTCCTTCTGTTGTTCTGCCGTCGGTTCCTAGTACTTGTCCGGCTCCTAGTACTAGTCCGGTCGTATCGTTGGTCTCGGTCGGCTTCGGCCTGGTCATCCCGTCGACCGGGGCGCTTTGCGTCCCGGTGATTCTCGTCAGGACAGCCGTCCGGCCTGATGCAATACTGGAGCATGAAATTTAGATAGCCGGTTGGCCGGATGTATCAGCAAGCTGTATTGCACACGGGCTTAGTGAAGCATGGACAGCCACCCCTCTTAGTCGGAGCGCAGCAATGCCCGGCACATTTGCCAGCTGTCGGAGAACAATCGCCAGCCGCGGTCCTACGACAACCGGAGGATGAACCCTGCCGACCAGAACACACGGTCGGACCCAGGACCGATGTCAACGAAACCCGTCGGAAAGTGACAGCCGGACAAGGACGGCCACGACTACGATGGCCGACATCGAGGATAATCCTTGCCGCCGACATAAATTGGTCTGGCCTCGGCGAGACGCCAGAAATACGGCCCTCGAGTAATTGACGGAAGCAGAGTCGCGGTATTGACGCGACCGACCGGGTTTGGCAGCAAACCACCGGAAAATCCGTAAGGCGCGGTGCCGTGCTGATAATGAAAGTTCATCCAGTCGGGAGTACCGCAATCGTCCAGCACGTCGATCAGGTTCCTCGTGTCACCCTATTCCTTCCACCGGTTAGATCCATCGCTCAGGATGGGTTCGTGCGGCTGCGGCGTTCAATCTTGAAGCCTTCTATATGTTCCGGTTTTTCTGGACTGTCTGTTCGGCTTCGGTGCGTTTGTTCGTCTCGCCGCATCGGAAGTCCGGGGTGCCGGGTTGTTTAATTCCACCAAACCAAGGGGCTGTGGAGTAGCACTCCGCGGCGCCGGTCTGTCGTCAGATTCGTCTCGAAGCCGGCTACTAGTTAATCAAGCTGTTCCGTCCGGTGTATCGTTGTTCCCAGTGCCTGTTTTAGGTTGACGTATTTCAAAAATACATCGGTCTGCTCCTTCGGAGATTCGACGGTTCATGCGATGAATTCGGTTGACTCGAACAGAGATTTTTTGAGCTTTCCCCTGTACGCGTTTCTTCTTTCGTTGCCGTCCGAAGCTGTCGCTGTAGCATCTCTATTGCTTTGGTTCTTTTCCTGCACTCCTGCCTAAGGTAGACGCTCTCGGTCGCGAAAGTGTCTACCCGGTTTTCAAGTCGGTCGGTAGCTCCTGTCATGACTGCATCCTCCGTTTTCAGGTAAGTAATAGTAGCATCCTTTTTTTGCCAAGGTTGCCTTCTTCCAGTCGATCTTGTTTCGTGCGGCTGCTAAATGGACTACCAAATGGGCCGATTGTCCGTTTATCGTGCCATCGGTGATCTGATCCGGCTGCCCGCTAAGTTTCTGAAACTACTGTCCTTCTGGCGTCCGAAGTACCCGTTCGTTCGGGTCGGGTCTAGTTCTGTCAGCCTTCGGTGCCGATTCCGGGCTGCCGTCTACTAGAGACACTGGAACATTTCCGCTCGAACATTGTCGACCGGCGACGGTATGGTTGACTCGACCGTTATGCGATCGACTGACCTCTCGGTCGAACTCTGCCGATAAGCTGGTCCGGTCCATCCGGGCTGGGTGATCTGACTGCCGTGCCGGGTTGCGATCCACCCATTGCGGTTTCTGCTACCCTTTCTCCGGATTGTGCGTTCATCGGTTCGGTTTGATCCGCAGTGTCCACCGGGACGCCGGGTTGCCGAGCGGGCATGTTTGATGCTCGCCCTTCTTCAGCGGGCTGTCCATGCGTGTCCGGGGGGTGTGCCGTCCGTTTTGTTAAGTGCGGTCCGACTAAAGTGTCAGCTGGCTGTAGACGTGAGCAACCGTCTAAAACGACCGGCGGTCGTCTGAGACGACCGGTCGTTTTGGACAGTTACAGACGCGCACTATGCAAATGTCACAATAAATGACTAATATCTGTCTGGTGTTAGCTCGTTATGGCGGACAAAATTATTTTAATAAAATCTCGGACATTCTTACCTTTGCTCAAATTTCAAATAAAACCAACATTACTTTCCAGTCTAAACGAATCGACTTTTGATCTTAGGTGCACCTGAGGCGAGGGCCACAATGGCTCTTGTCTCGTCTGTGCTAACGTAGCTTGCGGTATAACCCAAAATACTTTTCAATTTGGCAGCGTGCACGGGTAACTGCACAGGCGTTGGCTGTGTGCAGGAAGTTCAGGCACGGGTCTGGGCCGTGTGCAAACAAAACTATTTGTAACTATTCTAGATTATGGCACATGAAAACATATCGACTTATGTTACCTAAATGCCAAATGCAACGACAACCAACAACTATTAGAAAGCAAGCAAGCTAAACGCCATAATAGCAAGTTGAATATTTTCTAACGCTTTCGCGATGAAAAATTTACTGAGTACTGTATTTACACGATATTAAGGGACAGAGAAATCCCCAGGACCGCCCGGACTAGCTGTCGGTTCCTTTGACATCAATGGCGCCGACGCCTAGTGCCGGCGGTCCAGGGGATTTCTCTGTCCCTTAATATCGCGTAAATACAGTACAACTGCGTTGTTAGTTCTGGCTTGAAAAGTGCCGTGGTCTTTAGGAGTTCTGAAATGTCAACATGCAAAAGCGCTGTGAGTGTCCACTGACTCAAAGCGCACCCACATCACAATGACCCCAAAAGCCCACAGGTGGCGTCATTGTCAGAACAATCAGTGCGTGCAGGCACTGGTCCAGCGGAAAGGTTAATGCGATCCGGAAGAAAGGTTGAAGCATCAAAGGCGCCTTCGACAGAAAGGTTGACTTTTTGCAAAAACCTAATGCATCCATATTCCTTATTCATACATGCATACTACCATACATGAAGTATTACAAGTCCATCTCGCAATATTTCGACCGCTATGAACGTGACACACTGAATGGCACACAGTGAATGCTCATACCCATGATTAAATTGGCAATAAAATTGGTACTGTAGGTTTCGTTGCAGAATTTTGCGTTCTCCGGAACGCCGGACGCCGACCTATCCCGATTGCGTTTCGACTTAGCGAAGCGTATGTCTGGAAGATTAGAACTGGCTACGAAATACCGCGTCCAGCTTCGCAAATTACTCCAGACTGTCTACAACAAAACGCTCACCGAGTTACACTTTGGAAGATTTTTGAGTTATCGGCCGAAGCTTGGAGGTTTGGGAAATTTTATGTTCCAGTCTGCCATGCTTGTAGGCTGTGCTCGAAAGAATAACAGGATCCCAGTACGTATTACCGAGGACTCTAGGATGGAATTTTTTGAAGGAATGGACATAGGTTTCATTAATCAATCTGTTCTGTTTCCTAATGATTCAATTGAAGCGCGAACGCTTGGTAAGCATGAATTCTTTATTGAACGACTTCTTTTGGGGCTACGTATGTATGTAATATTGAAAACGTCATTCTGCAGGCGATTTTGGTCCGGGGAAATTCAGTCCACTCTTTCACAACGTGAGTTCCCGCTTTCCCGACCATGCTGTAGCCTTATCCGGCTTCGGCCAGTCATGGAAGTATTTCCAGGTGCAGCACCAGAAATCCGCGCGTTGTTCACCTTAAAGGAAACTATCCAGCGGGAAGCTATCAACGCCATCCTGGAGGGGATGAACATCCTGCGCAATCGTGACATGCTATTCACCAGCGTGCAGGCTGTGCGCGTAGGGATCCATGTGCGACGTGGCGACATCGTCAATGACGCCGCGCAGACTGCACATGGCCACGTGGCCGCCACGGAGGAGTATCTTCTCCGCATGGCGCAGCGCACCCAACGCCGCTACCCATCCGCAGTTTTTTTTGTTCTCAGCAACGACATAGAGTATTGTCAGCGGTTATTCCGCGAGCCCAACTTCATCTTCGTTGCCGGTAAAGCGGCCCAAGTGGACATGGCCATAATGACCTTTATGGATGTGATGGTGATGAGTGTTGGAAGCTTTGGTTGGTGGTCGTCTTACCTTAGCGATGCTCAAGAGGTCTTCTATTTTAAGGACTGGCCGAGAAATGGCAGTGAGTTTGCGAGAGGCGTTGCAGCTGAAGACTACTTTTTGCCCGCATGGCATGGTGATAATTAGATGGGTGATTACGCAACAGTGCAACTGTTCAGAATTGAACAGCAGTATTGTCAGTTACCGTACGTTACGTCAGTACACGGTTTTCAAGAGAAATATCGAGCAGTGCGCGCTTTCAACGTGGACAAAAAAAACGGCTAAGTGAACATTATAGGTACTGTATGTATTAAAAAATTACCTTGATAACCAAGATCCTAGTTAATACTTAGTTTTACCGTATTACCGTAAAACAATGTCCAGTATTACCGTTGCCTGCTTACTTCTAGCAGAAATTCAAGCCGAACAGCATTCAGCTGTTTTCATGTTATTTACTACAGATAATTAAAATTTCTTTATCTTTGCTTTGCATTATATTACGCAGGTAATATAATCCCTCACGCAGATTCTCCTCAAAAATTCCCTGGCACAAAACATTTGGGACAATAATCATTAGTTTGATGATTCTCTCTTCCACGGGGTGACTCCGTGGCCAGATCTGAAGACAGTCTCCCGACAAAACAAGATCCTTAATAACCTTTTCAGACAAGTCGTTAGCTTGTACACGGATTTGAGATGCCACTGAGTCGCTCTTCAAAATCCCTTTCATGCACCTTTCTAACATTTCGATTTTCGCATAAATCCCTGCGGCTCGGCGTTTATCCAGCCCCAATTGCTTCAGATTATGATCCCAGTAAAAATAAATGCACGGTGATGTCGATTCGCTGGACTGATCGGATAGCAGCTCAATACAGGGTCCGGTTTTTTCACTCAGTGTCATTATGGGTAAATGTAGTAATGCTGATTGTTGCACCACATTTTGTGCTGTTTCTTTGGAGTCTACCCCCTTTTCGTTTGGAATTCCTTGAGACTCTAAAGGCTTTTTGTTGGAAAGCGAGGGGTTTCGACTGGTTGTTGAAGAGCGGCTTTCGTCATACAACTGAGAGAAAAGCTAAAACAGATTGACAGATTTGCAAATACCTACGTCAGTTCCATAATCGAATGTAAATTTTACCACATACCGATGTGTTGAGATGATAAGATCGGGGTGCAGGTGCAACTCGGACACAACTATCGGTGAACAGCCGTTGAGAAGGCGATTGCCCAGCTATGTAAGTATGATGACTAACTTCTAATTCATTCATGAAGTCAGCGCATGATTTAAGATAGCGAAGATCTAAATGCACATGTGTGTGATTATGTTGCTCTGGAAATTCGCTTGGGCACTCGGAAAAATGGATGTTTTCGTAGGGTTCTGCTTCGCGGGTGTCAGCCTCACCTGTGCAGGAAGGGCAATCTGGAACTGGTAAAATTGCAGTGCTTTCTGGGGAAGGCAACGCACCAGGTGCGAATGTCTGAGTCTGTTCGGTAGGGTGGTCCACCTGTAAAGTTTAAGGGAGGCATTAGATATCAGCGGCACTTAACTTGCCGCTGTTATAATTCCATTTAATAAAGCCATAAATACTCTTTTACCGCAAACATGCCAGGAGAGTATTCGCTAATTTCCTGATTTTGAGGATATGTTTGCTTTGTCTTTTGTATATAAGGTTTCGCAGGTTTCGGAGTTTGGTTGGCCGCCGCCTTCGGTAGCCGATCTTTGGAAAAGTCGTCCATGGATGTGGGACTGCTTGATTGAATTGCTGCTCCGCGATCGCTATCTGTTTGTCTATGCGAATTGTTCCACTCACGTGTCTGATATGATATTTCCTTTGTTGTTTCGCACTCGCTGTACGTGGTTTTCGATTCTACTGCTTCCGTGTGACGGTATTCCTTTTCTTCGTGTAATGCATTGGTTCCCGAAGTCAACGATATCGAATCTCTCTGATTATCTTGTTCGGTTAATCTTTTTTGTGACGGCAATTGTGGCGTGGAAACAAAGAACCGGTAGGGATCGTCAAAGGTCACGGGTAAACATGTAGCACTTTGCCGCTTCAGTTCCTCCAGTCGCTGCCGATTGTGCTGCAGGGAACGATACTTGAATAACGTTTTCGTAGCCCACGTCAAATTATGCACGGAATCGTCAATTAGCTGCTGTAAACCGAATTCAACCTCTACAGGTGTTATATAGATATCACCTTCCTCTTCGTGATCAAACGCCTCCGCGTTTTGCTCGAATCCGGTGCTGTAATTGGATCTTGAATTACTCCGTGATACTTTGCGAGATTCGCAACTGCGTCGATTCACTTCTTGCCACAGTGATTCTTCTATGGAAAGACTTCGATGTGCTATCATGGGAACAGTGGAGTCGGCTTTTTTGGATGGTAGAGAAGTCGGATTTTCGTGCGCACGTATGCAGAACGTGGCACTGCTGTTTATCGAGATGTCATGACTAGAAGTTGTACTAGAATTATCACTATAATCAATGGTTATGGAGCCATGGGACGACGATGACAAACTTCTAGGGGTTTTTTCATCGCCATTACAAACGGATGAAAGAGTTTCTGTGTTGAGGGGCTCGAAAATGCTGATCGCAACGTTATGATCATTCAAGAGCTTCCTGTCAGCTTTTGCTGACTGGAGTTTTGATGTAATTGGCAACCGATGTAGACTTCCTGCAGATCGAGTAGCTTTCGGTGAACGGCTGTTGTGCATTAAAGGCATTATCAGGCCGATTTCGTATGAAGGTTTCTCCAAGTAGGTAGAGCTCCACTGCATTACCGATATTTTGTTTGTAATAACATTCATCAAATGCTGGCGAGTGGCACGAATTTGATCTAAATTGTAACGGTAATCGATATTATATTCCGATTTTTGATTGCTCCACCACTTTTTAAGTTCGTCAAGATTGTGGTGCGAGCCGATAGGTTTGTCATAGATGCTTCGATAGTTTTCTGGGTACTTGTTCACTATTACTGGTGTGCTTAAATCAAAGAAAGAATCAGGACTGTTATATTCATAAATCTGCTCATAATACCTAGCAGCCTCAGCATCCGCTGTCGAATGCATCCCTCCCAAGAAAGTTGGAAGTTCCCTTAAACATGCAAAAATCGTCATGCACTCGTACGCGCAATCTTTGGAAACAAAATATGGTGGCTACGGTCGATGCCCAGTAAGATCAAGCTCCACGATGGGAACTACAGTAATACAGAAACACTTCAAAAAAGTACGTAACTACAGAAACACAAACTGCAGCAGGAAAAGTGGCAAACATGAAGGCTGGCATTATTATATGACTTTTCTGCCCTGTTTAGTTATATTTTTCGTGGCCAAAGCCTTCAGTGTTAACGCTTTGGGTTCGCTTTTCCTAACGAGAATAGTGCGGCGGCATCCTGATGGAAACTGAGGCGATGCCGATTCGTTATGCCGACTAGGCGATGCCAGATAGGAAGCGAAGATGTACAAGTCATCCGATTCAAGCATAATCAAATCCGGCATTGGATTGGTCAGCGGATACGTCATGCTGACACTTTTCTCCAGTCCGACCTTTTGATCGAGTCGTCCAATGCCAATACACACCATTCCGTTGGCAAATGATTCCAGAACCACATTTCTGTATGGTCCATTCTATGCAGGGAACATTATTATCTCCATTTACATCATTTGATGTTTTCGTACGTACGATATATTTAGCGAACATCGGATCCGACATCCTAACCACTTTGAGCAAACCTTGCTGAACAGTAGGGCATGGAATGTAGCTGATGTTCGTGCCACTGGCAGTGCTTTCGCTCATAATCCCCATTTGAGAGCGACCGTGCACCATGCTCCGAATTAATGAGCACGCCAGCGGTTCAAAATAACTCTAATAAAATGAGATATAAGAAGAAATAAAAGAAACCGCTGAGATCAGTAACCACTTTACCGTAACCAACAAGGAATCAAGAACACTTTCCAGAAAAACGGCTCCCGATACGAAAGAGCTGGATAAGTACAACGGAATGTCCCGCTGTGCATTAGTGCGATCACGCTCCAAAAATTTTATGTTCTCGTCATGCTCTGGAAAATTCAGCGCGCAGGCTATCACTGCCATCCAAACCCATTGACTCAGTCGCTGTACCTATATTTGTGATGAGCTTTTGCCGCTTTTTTAATGTCCCATTTATTTCTTCACCAGACTGCAGGGTTTGAACGCTCCGCTTTTCTTCCTGCTGTTTCTGTTCTTCGTACTTCATGGCTTTAATGTTCAGTGTGGAGAGGATCACTTCTCTGTCATCTAGGATCTCGTCCTTAGAATGACCACTTTTCGACTGAATTACGACGCAAGTGTCACATTCGTTAATCGACACCATTTCCAGATCCGTGCGCTCCAAAGGGTTACCCTACGATTTAAAATTAATACTCACAAAGCTTTACCAAACTCATTTCCCTCCTTTTAACATCGGACCATCCTCTTGTTATCAAAACCATAAAGTATTAGAATTCGTCAATTCGATAATATCGATGTGATTCAGTCAGGATTGCCGCAGTAAGAACAATTTGCGGCACTATAACTGGTTGGCTATTTTGCCGCACACTGGGCTCATTAGGCACATGCTACGTTGCCACAGTGCGAGCGCCAGTTTAAAGTTAACCTTAAAAAATAAAAGAAACCTAAGAATTAGCCTAAGAAAATCCCCAGTTTAGAAAAAGTCACCGATCAGACGGCGGCAAATTCGCTGACAAGCTGAAAACCCGCAGTGTAAGGCAAAATAGCCAACAAGCTAACTGGCGGCAGATACTGGAGCTAAATAGAAAAAAGCTATTTTGCCGTATACCTACGGCAAATAGTCACTCCGTTAAGAAAACTAAGAGAATTTCGATTTCAAAGCTTGATTCCAAAGCATTACTTAGAAAAATCCAGTATTATAGAGAAAAAATGTCATCCACTTGTGAATACGGCAAGAAAACATCTACATAACTAATCCGTTTTGTCATTACTCTCTCGATACTTTATTCTGCGCTTGTAGCCGGCACCAAGAAGGACGGGTGGATGGCGGATGCTCAATGAAGGTCATCCACGTTTCTACCGACGGTCTCCATTGGCTTGTAATCGACTATATTTGTACTTCGCGCCTTCAAGTTTGACGATAAGTAAACGGTAATAACGGGTATAGCGATACGCTGGTACCAATTGTTACAGAAAAGACCTACACTGGCGCACCAGCTTGATCAGCCATTCGGACTGGCAAAAACGCTGACTGTTGCATAATGGCCGACAGAATGGTGGATGATCTTTGCAGAAAGATGGATAGCCTTTGCATAAAGGTGGATGACCTTCGGCAGTAAGCTGGATCCACAACACTACCGTCCACCTTCCTGCCGGCTACATGCGCTTACCCGCACAACAGTTATTTTAGGAAAGTTGCTTAGCGTGTTCCATTCTTTTTCCAAATATACGGTATTCCCCAACAGAACAATTTCTTTCAAATGCTCAAATGGAATATCCCCAGATCTTAGGGGCATCACCAGTTCGGACAAATCTAATGGGGACGCGTTCGGTTTAGCGAAAACACAGATAACAATATGGCCGCTATAACCGGTTTGGATGGCTAGCTTGGATTTTGGATCCTGTACAGCAAACAAAGTCTTGTAAGAATAACTCGATGATTTTAAGTTTCGAATTGACTTAAACGTACTGCAGCGGCTTTTGCTTCTTGGAAACTACGTGACGGCACCCAGTGATGCTTGCGAATAGCAGCATTCAGCTCCGACTGCGTGCTCGGAAGCTCAGATTCCCGTGATTTAATGGCCAGAGAAACTGCCGATAAGGGAGGATTAATTTCGGCAGTCGCCGAGACGTCCGGAATCGGAATAGTGATTTCTTCCAAAACAGTGTCACTAGGCAAAATAACAGGCATGATATGTATCTTAACAAAAGGCACGTCATCACAACAAAGGGGATTACCGTTGTTCTGCGATTTGCATTCCAGCTCCCTGCCATACAGTTCGGGTAGAATGTGTTTCACTAGTGACTTTTTCGCTGCCACCAAATTGAAATCGTCGGCACTGTAGCCAGAGTCGTCGTATGGGGTTGCGTTCCTGCAATATGTACGGATCCCGCTTTCCTGAAATGGAAAGTACTAACAACTTCTTTCACTTTAATACAACACTTTCACTCTGACTCAGAATTTCAACTTGGGCAACTGTTATCAATGATTAGCTATAAATATAATAACCTACCCAAATTATGCTGACATGGTGTGATGTCGTTAGGACTTTTCGTATTGATGTGACATTTATTGCAGTAATACCACGCTCTAAATAAAAAGCGGTGCGCACTGTGTTTATAGTGACCATCGAGGAAACCATTAAATGTGATCAGTCACCTGTAGATACGTACTTGTCGACTTCGTCTTGAGTATATGCGATGAAAATGCCCATATGATTCGTGGTTATCGATATGGCGCTTGGATTGATCATTATATCCCCAAACTCAATCCCGGCCACCCAGGAAGTTGGCTTCTCGAACAAGCCGATTAAGAGTACCCCGAGGTGCGCGTAGCAGTGCCTATATAAAAAACTTGTAAGCTGTAATACAGGAAAAATACATAAACACGCAAATTATATGTTTTTATCTGTTCTACCGAGCCACTTGACTGAATGACATATCGGTGTAGTAGTCGCTCAACTTCTGTAATACCAGTTGGTTCTTTCCGGTGTAATGATACAAGACGATAGAGTCAAACTCCTGCAAACCGCACATGGGTATACTGCACACAGGTATGTAGTCAGCGCACAAGATAAGCAACCTGAATATGATCGTGTTGCCCGAAAAAATTGTAAGGAAAACTTGCGAGTTCCGGATTCGCCCGCATGAGATTGGACACCATTGTCGAAAATCCCGGGGCAATACAGTTTTTGGCTAGCAATCCCATTTTAATCTCAAACAAGCTGACAATGGTGTCGCCCCTCAGCGAGTTCCAACTAGAGAGATTGGTGAGATGGACCTATCAATACAAACCAAGTGGGAGATTTCGGTGCAGAGTGTGAACAAGAGGCACAAAAACCACGAACGAGCTTACTTCCCAGCACACCTACATGGTTACGTTTGTGGTAGATTTGCACAATGATTCGTGTCATCGAATGAAAGTTCTTTATGGCAATGACGCGGAGCACATTGGTAGCATCTTCAGTATCCGTTTGCTCCGGCTTCTTGTCGGCGATGATCAGACAGGCCAGAGCCCGTTGCATGGCGGTTCGAGCCAGATCCTGGGAGTTTAAAACATCGCCTTGAAGGTATTCCACCTGGGCGAAGTTACTGCGCAGCAGCGCCTCCATCTCCATATCCGGATCCTGACTGTGTGTTTATAGTGAACGACACTGACTCCTCGCACACGTATACCACCAAACAGACTTACTTACTAATAAAAACCACACACAAATAGCTGGTATCGTAGGCACTACTAAAGAAATTTTCCAAGAATCTGTTGGCAATGCTAAAGGTGATGTGGCCGCATACAACAACATGTCTGCAACATGTGGCGTATTGTAAAGAAAACAATTTCGCAATTCGCTCATTAGCTGAGTGGTACGATAACTCACTCTAAGCCACTTTCTGGTTTGAAGCCTCCACCATATTTTAGTTTGGATCGCACCATATTGCCCACTTCCGGTAGCGATGATGCAAATAAGGCCTGCAAAAAACCTATTCAATGGTATGTGCCTTGTTAAAGCACACGGCTTTTTTGCTGACTCACGATCGTCCCAAGAATGTACACACAATCAAAAGCACGACCCATTGCAGTGACCGGGGCGATGTCGCCATATCCGACGGTGGAGATGGTGACCACGGAAAAGTACAGAAATTTCCAGTAGGAATGTCCGTGCTCCAGTACAGTGTAAAAATTCTCGGTCTGATTGAATAAAAATGGTAACACGGAAATGCAAGCCCAAACCGAGTGACCAATTTTCATTGTCCTTTCCGAAATATTTACCAAGTGAAAAACACCACTCCCAACCAGGATTATACACGCCAGGCGGCAGATAAGAAAGGTTAGCGTGACCTGGGTTCTGGTCTTCAAGATGCCCACATACTGCATCACGTCCGGAATTGAGAGTATATGTAGCACACGCAGAAATCGTAACCCTGCAACACCATAATTCAAGATCATTCACTTCTTGCAAAATGTGAACTCGTTCCTTTTCGCTAACCTGACCAATTGCGATCTAAGAAAATCGCTATAATAGACGGTGGAATAGTAAAATAGTCCACTATGGAATAAGCCTCGGCTAGAAAGACAAACTTCCGGCTTGACGCGCAGAACTACAGAAAGATAGTCATATAATACTGTGAATTTCTTTTCTGTGTAATATGTAGACATAAACCTATATAAGGCCGTTTTGCTATACAGTTTCGATGGCGCACCCGCAAAACGAAGTACACCAGGAAGAACAAGTTGCATACGAAGTCCACTTGCCATTCCGCAGTCGACGTCCACGCACGGCACACTTCCAAATCGGGAACTGTGCTGTCATGTAAGCCCAGTGAATGATCGAAGATATAACTATTCAAGGAAGCGTATTTTCTGTTCATAAACATACTCTGCCACATCTTGACAATATATTCCGAAAGAAACCATCGCCACGCAGAATCCAATGATCGCCTGTAAAGTTAATTGCCATGCAGTGACTGCAGTCTATACATATACGTTATGGTTATATTGTTCATAGACAGTTAGGGCAAACTGCGGCAGTAGCAATACCAATGACATGTTTCTCAGCCTTTAGTCTGAGACTCACAAGGGGATGGCTTTCGTCATCTATTGTCATCTATTATCATTGGATTGCTGTTGCCAGCCATCGCATTGTGCACAAATTGTCTAATAAAAAAATGGTACCACAACTCGGCCCGTCAGTGTCTGGCAGTTTACTATGCGATTGGCCTCCCTTTCCATGACATGATACCATTGAAAGGTCCACTTGCGAGACATCAAGACGACGTCGCCAGCGCTGTTGGAGTCATCCAGAAAGGATGATGGATCCGCTTCGATGATGGTGAAGGCCCGTCTCTTCAGTACTTGCTTGGAACTGCGCAATCCGCACCATTTAACGATATTCCATACCCCCAGGATAGAGTATAAGGTCAGCCAGCTTAATATACTGCTGATAAGAAATATCCACCATAACCGCGGTTTACCGATGACTTCACAAGACTGATAATAATTTCTATTACAATAAAAATTAATAGTAACCAGAACTTTAGGGTAACTTTTTATAGTAACTATAACTGCATTACTTCTTTCGTACCTGTCTCTAGCGAAATAACTGACAAAATCCTGGGAAAGGTAATTACTGATATTTTCCAACTGCACTCCGGAACGGACTTCCGCTTTTGGAAAAACGGAACAGTTGCATATCGGCTCAGCGTCAATGTTTGGCTTAATAACGGTTAGATTGGCATCCATAACTGCGCCAACGGTCTAAAACGGTCCGTATTCAACTCTGAAGGTTTAATATAAGCTACTTCCAGCACAATCATCAGCAAGGCGGACCATATTGCAGTAGAGTTTATACATGTACATGTTGTCCATAATCACGTTAACTGAAATCTGTAACGTCATTTAATAAGTTTTACTACGCTGAGCATGTTTGGCACGTGCTCTTAATGAAAATGTGGGTAAATGTGTAGACCTGTTCTATACCCGTTGTCCTTTTTTATGCTGATTTCGTGTCTGCTGCTCTGGATTCGCTCTTAGCCCCCGAGTGCGAACGTGCTCAAAACTAGTCAAAACAAATCCGTTACGAATTCCAATTCAGAAGTCTGTCTCGACGCTCACAGTTCCAAACAAACAGATAAATCTATCTAAAACAAATTGTTTCACACTATGCAAACATACAAATACGAGTATGACAACAACTACAGTAGAGCTACTTACATAACTGGAATTCAGACTAGACTGACAGCAGACTAACAAAGCGGACGCGAAGAAATTAGTTAGGCGCCCGGTGCAGCAATAGTGTTGTGAAATGCGGCGAGGCGAAATTTGGCAGCAGCGCGATTGCTTGAAAACCCGCATTTGCCATGCTATAGCTAAAACAATTTAGCAACAAATTTTAAAAATGAAAACGAAAAGTTCGGAAGTTAAAAGTGAGCACAGAAACAAGATACTGACGGTTTCAGTAATTTTCGTTTGGCATAGTTCCGAGGCGGTCTGGCATGGAATTTTATGGTAAAAAAGTTATCTGAATTGTCAGTACTCGTATCTTAATTTTATTCAAACTTTTTACATTTAAACTTTTTTTTAAATTTTTCAGCTTTTTCTACCTATTGCACGAACGAATAGATGAATCGGGAAATTTCATAAAAGACCAAGCCCGTAAAGCGTTGCCTGTTGCAAATGTTTCCGGTTACGCGGCGCGCTGTTGCTACCAACTATTCCTCCCCGCACAGCCCTAACACGCGTACTCGTACGTTAGATCAAATCACGCCTCGTTGAACATGGGCGTATCTGACATATGGCACATGTCGTCAGCTGTATTTCGGCCAAGTGCACTTGCACACAATTGCCAAGTGCAGATCACAGTAACCAAGTGTCTGTAAGTTTGTAACACATGTGCGTACGCCGCACATCTACGCTGAATAACGCGCTTTCAAATTCACAAAATACCCTTATGTTAAAATGGCCGGAAACGGACATCTCCATCTTAATTAAGAAAAACGATCAATAACATGTGTAGCCTCTCCACAGTCTGGGGATCTCTTTAATCAAAAACTTTTACAAAAATCTGACACACCAGTCAGAACGGCCGTGTTCCACAACTGCCTCACACGACTTTTTTATGTTGTCCGATGAAATCGTGCTGAAACGATCCAAGCCAGTTAAAACGTGGCCTTGACCTCGAAGCTTGGATAACTTATCTGTATACAATGCGTAAAAAAATTGTTAAGAGTTTTGCCAATTTTCCACCACCTTGCATCAGCTTTTGGCTATTCTCACCACTTTTCACCACCTTAGGCTATTCTCACTATGAAGTATGAAGTACCTTTAAGAAATGAATTCCACCACATTTCGACTTTACACATTTTTCTATAGTCGCAATGTCGGAAGTGACCATATACTTAATCCTTGGCAGTTGTATCGATTTTCTCGATTGTATCCGATTTATAGCTGGATTTTGTCCCGCAGCAGTGCAATACGTACAATACATGGTGCCCACTTGTGTTCAAAAGTTTCAGGTGGCTACTGCACTGCCCGGCATTAGACACTTCGGCATAAGACATTCCAGCATACGGTCATTTCGGCATACCCCATTCGGTATAAAAATTAATAAGAATAAGAAAAATACTTCAGAAATTTATAAACTTCCGTAGTTCAAGGAAACTAAACAACTTCGTTTGTAAAGCTAAGTAATAATGCCATGGACTATAAGCTAAGTAATATGTACATACATCATGATACATGTAGATGGACGTATATTATGTATACGCATTGATCCGCATATGTATGTATACACTCATGTACAAGTGTATGAGGTACTGTATCATGAAGTCATTTTGTACTGTAGCATGTACAAGTATGCATTCATCCAGATTCTACATCGTCCATCCACTTTATTTCCTTGTCAAGGTCTCTCCGTGCTCGTTCGTGTAATGTTGTCGTCTAAATGGCGATTAGATATTCCCTTGAGAGATTTTGGGGAACAGACTTTAAATGTGTCGCGTACATAAGTTTTTTACCGTTATTTTTTACAAGTATAACTCGCTCCCTCGCTCTGGAATTCATTTTGCAAGTCAGTAAACCGCGATGCCTACACGATGACGTTGTAGCTAACATATTTATCAACGGTCTGTACAACGTCACTCCAGCAACTGCTAAAGGTCTCCCATACGTACCCACCTCCTTACAAGTAACAGATTCTAACGGACAGATTGTCTACTGGAAGAGCGTTGCGACAAATGGAAAATTCGTGTTTGTTGTCGACAAGGACGATAAGTATTCGGTGTGTTTCGAAAGTACCCTACCTAACGATTCCGTAACGGTGCACGGGAGCTATCTCCGCGAAAAAACCGACAGACGGATTAATTTGACCCTAACCAACACGTTTAGTTTTAATGCTCATCGAGATCGACGTCAACGCGACTGGATGGCCTTCAATGTGACGACGATGGAGAAAGAGCTGCTTCTGCTACAAGAGTTTTCACAAATACTGCATTACTCCATGAGTCTCATGAACGAAGTGCAGTATAAGATAAGATTACACCGTCAAAAAACCGAGTCTGTATTGCTCGGAGTGTCTGTGATGGGAATGACAGTGCTGTGCGGCCTCGCTGTATGGCAACTGTGGTATCTTCGAAATTTTTTTAAGTCTAAAAACATCATTGAGTAAAAACTTGTATTTGTTAATGTGCTTCTGAGTCCAGACTTTGGCTACAAAATGTGGCCTCTGATTCTCAAAACTGCCTAATTACTGAAATATAAAAACTAAACTGTGGTATAACTGTAGCAAACTTGCTGGTTTTCTCCTTATTGTTACTGTAATTAAATGGCGTCTGCTGCTATGGAAACCGCCTATAAGACGGCCGGCAATTCTGCACCGACACCATCCAACACCTTCGACATAAAAAAAACTAGACAACCCGAACAGACTTTAAAAATGGCCCGCGCTCAAGCTCTGACTCTGACTCAGACTCTGACTGCTCAAACTCTGACTCTGACTACTCAAAGTCTGACTCTGACTGACCAAACTCTGACTCTGACTGAATAACCTAAGAAACCTAAGAAACCTAAGAAACCTAAGAAACCTAAGAAACCTAAGAAAACTAAGAAACCTAAGAAACCTAAGAAACCTAAGAAACCTAAGAAACCTAAGAAACCTAAGAAACCTACCTAAGAAACCTAAGAAACCTAAGAAACCTAAGAAACCTAAGAAACCTAAGAAACCTAAGAAACCTAAGAAACCTAAGAAACCTATTAAGAAACCTAAGAAATCTTCAGAGTCAGAGTCAGACTTTGAGCGGTCAGAGTCAGACTTTGAGTAGTCAGAGTCAGAGTTTGAGTGGTCAGAATCAGAGTCAGAGTCAGAGTTGGAGTCTAGGCCTTTAAAAATAGCCAAAAATCATGAAGAAAACCGGACATGATTATTATTTTTCCATTTAACATAATATTATATTCGACCAAAGCGAAGATCCTTTGTGCTCAAGAAAAAGGGACTTTTCTGTCAATCAAGCACGAAATTGTCCATCGATCACACCCAAAGCAGCAGTAAATGCTCAGGCTTTGCAGGTACCTTGCCAACCGTTTCGTATAGCCAGAAAAAAAGCATGTGTATTGTATGTCGCTCATAAAGGCTCAAAAAATGCATAGTGCCTTGTTAACCAACTTAGCAACCAGTTGGTAGATAAGCTGGAGTGGGTCCGCGCTTGCACTTTTTGATAATCTGATAACTAGTGCCAACTAATAACGGGATTACCTGAAGACTTAGCTTCTTATTTTATTAATGATTAACCACATGGAATACAGGTTTTCAACAAAAAATTCGCTGAAAGCAAATCTACCAATCCTGAAAACATGACAAACGAGATAAGCAGCAGTCTAAAAGACAGATTCCCCACATGTTGCACAAACTAGGTCACTGGTTAGCGGTCGAAAGGCAAAGCGTTGAATTAATAACCCCAGATCACATCGTGCGCAACAAGCAGAAAATCCCGCTCCAGACTTCCACGTCCCATTCGCCAGTCCACAGAGCTCGGAAGATTCACCAGCCAGGAGGTTCGCGAAGATTCGCGAAGCTTTTTATTAGTTATTATATACTTACCATAAGCTGTAAAGAGCTGCTTTTGTTGTCACAGTGTTGCGATTCTAAAATTTTTTAAGCTGTTTGTTAAGTCCTAAGTGTTTACCGATTTCTACGTACAGTACAGTACGTTACAGTCGTTTACCGTTAAAAGCGTATTAGCTGTAAAGCTCAACAAATACATCGTACTTGGTGGTCCCACAGACCGTCCCCCACGGCCTCCGCTCCTCCAGCCCGGACCTGCCCACAAGAATAAAACCCTAAATAGGAATACATCGTGCTTTGCCTACCAAGCATACCAAGCATGTTTGTTGATTATTTTCATGGTCAATAACGCTTTTATAAATTTTTCTCAAAAGCATTTAGGTACAATTTTATATTTTGATAAAATAAATATATGAGAAATAAACATGTATATGAAAGTTTATGAAAAATAAGTATGGTCATTATGAAAATTAGTTAAGTATATGAAAATCAACTGTAGGTCCGTTGTGCCCAAGTGGTTATGCACCTGAAACAACGCGCCACGCTTTTTACCGTTGTATGTCTATTTATAAATCTATCGTTGGAATTATTGGGAAAATCCCTGGAGCGGGCAGGCTGCAGGGACCTCAGGTCCCTCAACAGAAAGTGGCTGTTGCCACTACTTTCGAAAGTTTTGGAGTTTTGTTAGAAATTGTAGTTTTTTTAGAAATACAAGTAGTGCTTTTTAGCTACTCAGTAATGACTGATTATCAATAATAAGCGACTAATTGTTGCTACAGCAACGTTCAGTTACCTTGACGACTCTAATTCTCATTTGCTGGAGCAGTGTAACGACCACTGCCTAATATATGTACGAAACAACAACAGCAATCGTATGTGTTACATAATATTGTCATCGCAGCAATCGTATGTGTCACATGTGTGCACGAACACAGTCCTGTACAAGCACATAAGTTTTCCCATGACTTTACAGCGAAAAGGGAATTCGCGTGGATCAGCAAGCATGGGGGACATGTCATCTGCGTGTAAGAGGCTGTCTGTAACTGTAAAAATTAGGTATTTTTGAGAGTGAAAGCTGGAAGTCTATTCTTCAAAAATGCCAAACCGAGTTTCAGAGTTCACAGTCCGAGTCCGAGTTTGCCGACTAGTCACAGAGTTTTCTATGCTACGTCTGTTTTAATGTTTTGGAAACTGATTTTTTTTGACAGGTCAGTTTTAATTCAATTTTTCTTCTAGTTACTGCATTTGTGCGAAAAATATTAACCGATTATGCCTAAACTTTACTGTTATAGCCTTGTATATAATATGTCTGCTGTCATGTGGGTGCTTCCTTGCTGCCAAAACCAGTTTTTGTTGCCGCTGGTATTGCATTTCGTCCGGTTAAACAAAGCCACGTTTACCGACATCCCGCTTCCCACGGAAGTGGAAGCTGCTAATGTTTACAAAATTCTCGATCGAGATGATCGATTTTTTGTGAAATCCCCAAGATACCCAGATAATTATCCAGATAACACCCAGACTGCATACTGGCTCCAAGGGAATGGGCGTCCTATTACGGTACTTTGACGCACGATCTTGATAGACCACAGAGTGAACGGAAAAACAGCGCCCGCGCGTACTGCGCGTATACGCAAACCACGAAGAGTGCATACATACTATACACATTTCTGGATGCTATTTTCTCGTACACACACTTTGTGGCTTACTTACAGTTAACTTGATCGGGCGGCCACAGTACAGCTGAAGTATGTTCTGGCCGCAACCTTGATATAATCGAGAACACAGTCCCTCCTACACGACACGATCTATACTTACGTGTTTTTGGAAACAATATAAAACAGAAATTACGATCATATAGACGTTCTTTATAGCTGGATGCCAAGGATTTCCAGTTGGAAGCGCCAGATTCCCAACTAGGGTGTAGGAACGATTACCTGGTTATCTGGGATCTACTCTGTACGTAATTTCGCTTTTATATGTAGCATTATAAAATTAATATCATAAAAATCTTAGCCATACAAAATCGGTTTTAATGCGTTGCCGTTGCGTATTCCTTTTTAGATCCGAACCTAATTCTGAAGGTTGCTTGCGGAAACGCCCTGTTTTCTTTTAAGTCGTACAGCGACTCTGTTGTAAGCAAGGAAGAGTAAAAACTGATTATGATAAGCTTTAATTAAACATCAAGCGGCATAAAAAATTTGTTAAGCAGATGATGCTTTTCTATTCCGATTCCGCGCAAAATTTCAAAGGATTTAATTTTTCCGTATCAAGTAAGACTCCAATAAATTTTTGTTGCACGCAACACATTTCTGTGGTGCATTTAGAATTTGTCTTGATTTTACAGGAACTCTTGATTGCGGCGAGAATGAACTTGTATGCCCTTCAAGTCGATTAGGCGGACCACTTAAATGTATAGATCCGGAACATGTTTGCGATGGTTAGCACTTAGTAGCTGCTTGACTCTCAGTAATCATTAATCAACCCTCTTGCCACTGAACAGTGGGCAGATCTAGCACTGCAAGTTTTTGCAGGAGTGTTTGATTGTGCAGACCAAGAGGATGAAATCTGTACCGTGCAGTGCGGGTTACCATCGCCAGCTCCTGTTACCAAGGCCAATACGCCGGCAATGGGTTCAAAGAACCGGATTGTGGGAGGAACTGACGTAAGCTTTGCCAATCGGTGTAGACTGGTCTTCTAGCGCGCTGCTTCCAAATGCAGGCAGTTCCAAATGCTTGGCCATGGCAAGTGGATGTGTCCATAAATAATGCCACGTGTGGAGGATCTCTGGTAAACGCCAAATTTAATGAGTTGGTACACGCGATTCGGATATTGATATGTGTGGTGGCATTAGTTAGCACCACGGTGGGTAATAACTGCCGGCCACTGCTGCAAAGAATACGGTGTGGAGGTACGTGATACCGGTCGTCTTCGCCAGTATGGCAACGTGAAACATTAATTGTGCGAAACTTAGGCAGTTTCCCCTGGAAAGCTACGTTCTTCGAGTTGGGTACACTAGTTGTCAAAATAAAGAAGACGGACAAACCGTAACGCTGGCTGATAAGGTCGTCCATCCAAACTTTACGGAAAGTTCGGCAGGAACCAACTATGACTACTGCATTCTCTTCCTAAATGAAGTGCGTTGTTACCGAACGAGTCTAAGCTTTGACGAAAGCGGAAAGGTAATACAATTTTGCTTATTGACAGGAAGTGCAAATGTCCCCCCAAGTCCAGCCGATATGTCTGCCTCGTCCGGGGATAGTGGCCAATCCTGGTGACTTGTGCACGGCTACCGGATGTGGGAATACGATGCAGTGGACGGGCCAAGGTGCCCACAGCGTCGACTTACCGAACCAGTTGCAGGTCGTCAATTTGATGATTGTAAATGGATCCCAGTGTGACAAAAGTTACGATACAATTTCGCCACAAATGCTTTGCGCGAGCATGCCCAATAAAGACGCGTAAGTAAGCTCTCATGATAGCGTGTTTGTATTAGCTTGTTTGAATTTACGTATTAAAAGCTTGTTTGCATTTACGTATTAAAAGCTTTTACGTATTAAAAGCGTGTTATCAGCTTGTTTGTATTTACGTATTGAACGATTAATAGATTCACTGGAATTGGCCCTGCTCGGAGATAGACTAGCGCAGTTTTGCTACTGAATGGTAGAAATTAACGTTAACAAATATCTGGCTACCATAAAAATTCTATAAAGTCTGTAAGTCATTATCAATCTTGACTTAGTTGCAACTGTAAATTAGCAAGCGAATATAATACTTTTTCCAGATGCCAGGGTGATAGCGGTGGACCGCTGGTATGTCAATCAGACCGTTCCAGTCCTCAGCAGTACTTTCTTCAGGGCATCACATCATACGGCTTGTACGAATAATACGAAAGCTACTCAAAAATGCTGTTTCAGCAGCACTACCGTATATATACGTATTTACCTGAATCTCACATAAAAACGGACTGGTGCTGTAGTGGGTGTGCTTCCGGTAAACCTGGAGTTTTTGCGGATGCCAGGCGAATGCTGCCTTTCTTAATCCAGACGGTTTACGACAACAAAGTCGGTTGGAATCCTGACGTGACCGTACCCAAACTACGTCAACGCCAGCATTCCGAGCCATCATATGCTCCGAGAGTGCTCCCTGGACCGCACGAACCGGAGGAAGCGGATCCGGAAAATACTTCTGCCTCTGATTCCTGGTCCCTCGTTACTACCATTGCATTTGGTGTAATAACGCTTATACGATCGTTACTATGGCGAATCGGTCAATAACAATGAGTGGAAACTTTCATACATCAATTCTGTTAAATAATATGTGCCAAGATGTCAAGGCTCTGTAAATCCATATTATGCTGCAAATCTTGAGCTTGCAATTTCAGCTTCCGAAACTTACGGAGAATTTTATAGCGAATTCAAGATTAGACCAATTGATCAAGACCAAGTGGCATAAAATACTGCATCGAATTAAATGGATTACGTTATTACCTTATATTATAGTCTATTGGTCATCGTTATCTGAACATATGTACATTACCATGTTATATTTGCACAGACCCGGGGTGCTCGAATTTCCTTTGCTTTTATTTAATAATCTTGTCTGTCTCATCGCGAGTTTAGAAATACCTGATATGATCGTCCCCAGTGTCGTGGACGATTCTCATATCTTTCAGTTAAAAAATGACGGTGACGTTTTTCAAGTCTTGTCACCCAATTTTCCTGAAAACTATCCAGATAATCAGAACATATCCTACTGGTTTAGAGGAAACGGAAAAGCTATAATGGTAAAACATGTGCGGGCAGTATTCTTCAAACAGGTTAACAAAGAGCATTTCAAATCATGCCCTCCCGGTTTACAGATTAAGTCGGAAGCGATGAACTTGCAGGCTCTCGAGCCAAGCGGCGTGTGTGCGAAGGATTATTTAGTTTTCTGGGACTTGCAGTGTAAATTTACCTGGCTCTGTCAAAGTAGCACAAATTATAACACAGTTGTTGATAGATCCATGGAGCATCTTGAGGACAGCTTGCGGAAATGCATTATTTCAAGTTAACAGCTACAGCGATTCTGTTGTAAGTCACAATACGTGTACGTATAAAATATGTGAATTATATAACTGCAATAAAATTTAATATCACTGCATGTGCCATCACCGCTGCTGTATTAATCTGCCATTGTGGTAAATACTTGGACATTCCAGATGATGCTTTTTATCACGGATTCATCGCAAAACTTCAAAGGCTTTAATTTGACCTTAAAAGGTGCGTGGTTTATCTTTCACATAGAACAGATAATTATCATATAAGGAAAAGCCCGGTAAAACCGCAATATATAATATATAGATTTGCGATATCGGTGTGATGTTATCATCGTTATCGATACTTCTATCTGCTAAAATAAATTTTTGCTTAGCCATTAATGAGAGTAAATATTGCGGGGAGGGAGACTTAAGATGTGTGTCTGCAAATAAGGACGAACCGTTATGCCTGCACAATGATCGCATTTGCGATGGTAAGATCGAGTGGCTGACTGACAGCCGTTCTGCAACGTTTCCTGGAAAATAAATGGCATAAGAATTTGTCTAACCATAAGAATTCGAATAAATGGCATAAGAATTTTTAATTTAGGAATCCAACAGTGTGCAGGTGGAGAAGATGAGATTTGTACGCAAGAGTGCGGAATTCCACAGGTTATAACAGATGAAAACCGCATTGTTGGTGGCGTCGATGTGCGTACTGTAGTAGCTAGGTTATAGGAGATTATGTGCACTTTATGCGAGCGATATTAATATAATGCAAATTCTCCTTACAAGCGAGAACTAATAATGTTTCCCGAACAAGGCTACTCCAAGCGCTTGGCCATGGCAGACGGACGTGATCATCAATAATTACACCGGTTGTGGAGGATCTTTGGTAAAGAGGAAACGTTTCTGTTGACTGTTAGTGCCATAATCAGATACTTACCTATTACTCCAAAAACTTCCTTTCAGATTGGACCTGGTTGGGTTGCGACCGCTGGGCATTGTTGCTCTCAGTATGGCCAGTAGGTTAGCTTTTAACTGAAACTCTATCATGGAGAGCGAACATTTTCAAAGCATAAAGGCTTATCTTATTCCAACTATTTTTAGGCGGTTTCCTTTACAAGACTACAGGCTTAGATTCGGATATCAGAATTGCAAGGACAAAACTGACGGTCAGACAATGCTTGTAGATCAAATGTTTGTCCACCCCAGATTCACCGAGAGCAGCACTGGAGCGAATTATGATTACTGTCTCTTGAAGCTAAAACAGGTGAGACTGAGCTGTTTGTCACTGCTATTTTAACTTTCGCAAGGACGCATGGGCTTGTATAAAATTCGTAGACGGTGACCTTTGGGCCGAAGATCCAGCCAGTTTGTCTTCCGCGTCCGTTAACAATGCCTGTGGCTGGCACGGCATGTGTGGCGACAGGGTGTGGCAATACTGTGGCATGGAAAGGCACCCAATCAGGAAACGTAACCATTCCGGACAAACTGCAAGTTGTGAACCTCAACACTGTAGCCAGTTCAGAATGCGTCAAGGCCTTTCACATGTTGACACCGGAGATGAACTGTGCTTTCCAATCTAACAAAGACACGTAACAATACAAACGCTTTCGGAGATTACGCTAGTGTCTGATTTTACCTTTTTTCGTTCAGATGCCAAGGAGATAGCGGTGGTCCCCTTGTCTGCAAAGGGCCTGACTTCAGCACTACCCAGTACCAATTAGTAGGAATCACGTCTTATGGATTGTAAGTTTTACTTGCCTTGCTTATTAGTTCTCCTGTAGTGGTAATTATAAGAGCACTCTTTCGTAGCGGATGCGCATCCGGATTGCCAGGAGTTTTTGCGGATGTTCCTCGACTGATGCCTTTCTTGATCAAAGTGTTGTATCAGACCCAGAGGTGGGGATGGTTCAGTAACACAGCCGTGCCTACTCCTCCTCGGCGTCCTGACGGAGGCATGTACGAGCCCCGAGTAAACAAAGTTCTTCCGCCCGAGCAGCTCGATGCCAATGAGAGCAGTGCCCAGCCCTTGCTACCGTCATGTACGAGTATTAACACAATCTTTCCTTGCTTGTGCATTTTAAAACTAGGGTATTTTACACTATAGCAATTTTATTTTTAGTAACACATTTTCTTACTAACATTTTTGGTTTTACTTCTCTTTGTTTTCCCATTGTTTTGAATCCAAGTCTATTTTCGAAAATTTTAAACTTTCATTTACTCTGTGGTCTGTTAAAACCTGCAATGTTTCTATGCAAATAGTGATACTCTGTTACTGTTTCATATGATATTGTAAAGTATGACGTGTCGGTGTCTCAGTAGTACTGCTTACAATTACAAGGTTGGAAAGCTCAGCACATAACACTTTCTCGTACGAGTCAATGCTTTTTAATATTTAAATACTTATTTAATTTGGCATAAAACTTTCCCGTGTGTTTATGCGGCCAGCTTACAGAGCAAAACAATCCTGTATAAATTCGGACAAACACACATATCTTCACATAAACATCCTGAAACCCACGCATATACAGTACGAGTAATCTAGGTAACTGACTTCGTCAAACGACACTAACTACCCTTTTACTATGTGCTCCATGGGGACCGCATGCGCTATCACGTCGTTCGAAGGAACATAATTGTTACGGACTCCTTTTCCCTTTATCCGTATGGGGATCGTCCGCTGTTTCATCTTTTTTCTTTTGGTCTGTCCGCACTTCCTCCATTGCTGCAAGATCATCCGTTGCGCTTCCAGTGTTGAGAACCAAACTGCGCTGAATGATGATGTTGTTTAGAACCGCCTATAGCAAAGAGTAAGTTCTGGTAAGAAATCGTAAGGGTAGACCATGGCGATTATGTCCAACATTCATAATTGTTCATTGTAGAATAAATGTAGTTTGATCCGGTTCTCACCGCTAACTGATCGTTGGTTCGAATGACTGCTTCCAGCTCTTCCAGCTTCCTTTGACTGTCCAAAGCCCTTACTTCTTCATTTCGTTTCTCCAGCGTATCGAACTTTTCTTTCCATTCATCTGCTTGCCGCTGTAAACTGACGTTGCGAGAATTATAATCCGTGATCTGCAGGCATGGGTAATTACCACCAAAAACAGACATTAGGCGTACGTTCACTGTACGCGGCGCCCTAGTTATTGCAAGACACACCTTTGCTGTGCATTCGTTTTTACCTTGTTCTGACAAGAGCACTTTGCGCATACCGTAAGCCATGCTGCTTTCGAAAAGCGTTTGATACGCTGCGATCGACATACGAATCTCATCGCGAACTCGTAAAAGCATCAGTCCACGCTCTGCACACTCTAATGTGGCTTGCCGAATCAGCTCATCTAGAACATTTCTCATGCTACTGATCAGTTATTTGACTCTCGGCATTGAAACTGCAAAATTTTTTCAGCTGGCTCCATTGTGAGAGTGTCGCAAAACTGTTAGTAAAGAGAAGAGAATTAGATAACTCACCGAATGCCTGCGTGTACAGTTCTCTTCGGACCGGACAAATTCCAGTTTCCCGTGCACTTAAATGCTCGAGTCTGTTATCTAGTCGCTCTTGCAAATTTAGAACGTCCATTCTGGTAGCAGGTATACGAGAAACTTTTTGCACATATTGCTGGCCTTTCTCAGTCCAAAGTCTAAAAACCATCTATTTATGACACATGTTTTACTTCCAACAACAATCCGACAATTCCATTATATGTAAGATGGTTTCTGAATAAATAGCTTTGTAGTCTGTTTAATTTACCTGGGTGGCAAAATATAATCGAGAATATCATCCGCCGAGCGAATATCCAAAATATTAAGGTTTTTAGGCGGTTTTTTTTCCGGTCGCGGGGGTACCGATAAAACGATATTGTAATCTTCGCTTTCGATAATACTGTTTCTAGGACCATCCTTCTTCTCCCCTTTTTTCTACAATAACAATACGGCCTGGTGGAGTGCCGTTGCAAAATGAAAAAGCAAAACGTGCAGTCGTACACTTGAGGAAGCCGCAGAACGTTTGGTGACAACAGTTGGGTGGTCGTATTTAAGCAGATGATCAGAGGGCGCAGGGCCACTGTACCGCTCTGTTGTCTCCATTTTGAGAAACAGGTTCGATACCTAGCTAACGTGTATGCATGTTTACATCTGCGACAGCCGCCAAATACTGTTGCTGTTGTAGTGTTGTTATTCTGTTTTCAATACGGCATAACAAAAATTTAATTATATTGTACTGCCAAACGTTAACACCCAAGAACGAGTTGAACAGAAATTTTGTATGAGGTTGTTAAGCAACAAGCCATGCTGCTGATAATGCGGTCAAGGTTTATAGGTATTAATGCACAAACTTGTTTTTGGATATAACTGCATTAATCATTAATCTGCATAAATTTCCGATAACATGGTGTTATTGCGGCTTCTGAATTCGTTTTCCTGAACCATGGATTACTTAATTACAGTCAAACCTCGTAACTCTAAACCCGTCATCACGAATACAACCGAAGAGAATTTCTAGCAACAAGCACAACGGAACTGCAACAGACAACACAATGAACCAAAGCGAGGATAAATCGGCTACGTCGATGGTAAGGGAATTAGTTCGAGAGTGCGTTTTTTACTTGGATGCTACAACAGTTATTAATTTACGCACTATCTTCAATACAATCCTGGTCGGCCAATGGTATTTGCTGAAACGCGTTACTTGTATTGATGCATGCCATTATACCCGTACTGAGCACCAGTAGCAACACTATGTCCGAGTGATTCGCTCATTACTATTAGTACTTAGTACAGTAACAGAGTAACTGTTATTTCCTTATTCACGTTGCAATTGTACGCGCATAGTCCCAGAAACGTTTGACCGAACGCGAGCGGAGGGTTTTCATAGTTATTCAACCATTACGTAAACCATTCTTTGAACTGTGTTGAGTTTCTGCTGTTTATTGATCATCAACTTTCTTCGGATATAAAGTTTTTGCAGTTGGATTAGTCTTTAGTAATGAGAATACTAGTAACAACGAACCGTGCCTGAAAAGCAAGGACGCACCAAGACAAAAATTATTATCAATTTTTTCTTGTTTTCAGAACCTCCTTACGGCACCGGCTGCTCGACAGCATGGCCATACCTTTTGGTCGGCTTCGGACCTCAGCGGAGCAGATAAGAGTGAAGTAGAGCTACTTGTCCCAACCGCGAGCGCTACGTCGAACAAATCGGCTAACTGGGTTTCTCCGCAATCGCACATGCTTTCATCAAACAGCACCCCGGACAAGCTGCCGCTACCATACAGCACATTATTTGGACACCAAGCCGGTACTTGCAGTCTGCTAATCTCCTGGACATTTTCAAGTGTACAACTGCTGGAATTTAGACGCCATTTACAAAACTATTGCCTGTTAAATTAGTTTTGGCTCCCAGCGCTGCAACTTTGACATCAGATGCAGTTCCTGCTTCCCTCAACAACGGTGCCAAGTTGCAGAATCAGAGAATGGAATCGAAAGACAATCTATCAGTCAGCACTCCCCTGAGCACATCAGCCATGAAACTTTTGTCACCAGTGACATCATTTGTCAAGCAGCACACGCCGCTGATGGGCGCACAGGAAAGCAGAATGGGCATGCCCCTTGGTGGTCGCCGAGCGAGTTTCCTAGATGCCCCGCCGGTTAGATTGGACAGAAAGGCCACAAAAGAGATCAAAGAAAAAAACAGGGAATTGCAGAAAGCCGTGGAAAGCACCAAAATGGTTGTTGCCAGAGCGTCGCATCAGCTAAAGGAAGCCAAGCAGCTAGATGAACTGAAAAAGGAACTTGCAATGGTAATAAACTTGTTTTAAAAGCACAAATTTTACGTCAATAAGAGAAACAAGTTTTCATATTTAAAGGGAAGTATCTTTTTTATTGAACAGACTACGGTTATACAATGTACTTAATTATTTTTTGTGTGTAATGTCAACGTACTTAATAATATTTAAGGGGGCATCCATAAATTACGTAAGCAGAAAACCACGACTTTTTCACCCCTCCCTCCCCCTTCGTAGCGGTCCGTCGCGTTTGCTTGACCCCTCCCCCCCTGGTTCGTTCAATCAATACATGAGCTGACCACCTCCCTGGGTTCGTCGAGGCCGTCACAGCTTGTCACACTTTTTGGACCCCTTCCTCCCTGGTTCCCTGCGTACGTAATTTATGGATCCCCCTTATTGCAACAATGTTAATGCAACCTAGCATGTAAAAGCCGAAACATCTACATTTTCACAAACTTCCGCCGAATAGTGTAAATGTTTGCTACAAACTTACTATAAGGAATCATACTCGTAGTTCGTACATACAGTACGTATGAAATGTGCGATAATTTGGCATTGCTCCTGTTACTGTGCCAGTATGTTTCAGACGGAGCATATGATGACGGTTGACGAGTTGTGCGCCATGATGGAAGTAGACCCGGAAATGGTACTCTTAATTGTGAGATTTACCGAATCTGGGCGTTTGAACGCCAGTTGTATTAATAGGGACTGTCTGAAAAGACAGTGGCGCTACGCTTAGTTCGAGACGGACCAAATGCGCTGCCGCCTAAGAAAGAAACACCTGGTTGGGTGCTTTGGGCCAAGCAGATGACCGAAGGATTCTCACTGCTGTTGTGGGTTGGTGGTTTGTTAGCAATCATCGCTTATTTTATACAGAATGCCGACCAACCACACACGCCAATGGACAATGTAAGATTATCGATGTTTTTTCTCTTTAGTCCCAATGATCTGTTGATAAGTCCGGGATATATCACTAATCGATTGTTGTAGCTATATTTAGGTGTCGTCCTAATTTGCGTTGTCTTCATTACTGCAACGTTTTCTTATGCGCAAGAGGCTAAGTCGTCAAGCATTATGAATTCGTTTCTGAAAATGGCCCCACAGTTTGCTTCAGGTACGAGAAACTTACTGGTATTCATCGTAACTTGACTTAAATCGGTTTTAGCCTTTTAGGTGACTTACAAGTCACCCAGGTAAAATGGAAACATGTATTTAGGCTTACTTGTGTAAGTTGTAGTATTCTGTTTCTTAGGCTTCTGTTTCTTCTGTTTCTTGTAGTCTTCACTGTTCTTTCTGGCGAATATCTACTAGTTATTTCACAGTTAGGAAGTAACCCTTAACGAACTGCAGTGCTTGGCCCTTAGTGATCGAATGAAGTGATCGAATGTTAGTTTTGCAAAGCTGAACTATGCAAACTGAACGCAGGTTTTGGGATCTTTTCAGAAAAAGTAGACCTAAGAAAAATTCAGTAATTTTACCGCTAGGCGCTAAGTAGAATGCAATCTTATACGTACTGCCAGTACGGTATTCTATATTTACGATTTGTAGCGGTTAGAAATGGCGAGAAGAAAGGAGTGATTTCCAGTGACCTGGTGGTTGGTGACATTGTGGAAATCAAAGCCGGCGACAAGATACCAGCAGATATCCGGATACTAGAAAACCGGGGATTAAAGGTTTATAATAGCGAGATACTTAACCGAAAAATTGGGCGCCGGGAGCTGATGCAAAAAAATGAAACTGGTGCATGCATACATCGCATCATGCTTGCGGAAGAGACAGGCGCTTAACCAACGCACATTTACTTTCATCGGACTATTTTCCCCCACCCACAATCAGACTGGTGATAACAACTGCATGTTTCTTGAACAGGTTGATAACGCCAGCCTGACCGGTGAATCAGAGCCATTGAGCCGCTCTGTGGATGGCACAGATGAAAATCCTCTAGAAACGCGAAATCTGGCTTTTTTCTCAACCTATGCGGTAGAGGGTAGCGCTATTGGCATTGTTGTTCGAACCGGAGAAAGAACGATCATGGGTCGCATTGCTAAACTGGCAGCGGCAGTGGAGACTGATCTTACGCCACTGGCTGTTGAAATGCATCGTTTTGTCAAAATCATGACATGTTTGGCAGCTTTTATGGGCTTGCTGTTCTTCATCATCGCGCTGGCACAAGGGCAAAACATTCTACCAGCCTTTGTCTTTCTGATCGGGGTTATTGTTGCCAATGTACCGGAAGGGATTCTGCCGGCCACAACGGTACTTTTTTCTATGAAGTTTTGATATTATTTTTTTCCACGCTTTCGATCTAACTGCATACGTGACCTACAGTGAATAACAGTTCACACAGTAACGTATTTCGTGTAAGTAATTATGCGTATATCGAATTGTTACCTTTTTTGCGCGCCTGGCTCACCACTGACAGAATTCGTTGAGGCCTTCTTCATTGACTTTTAGGTTGCTTTAGCATTAACAGCAAAACGGATGGCTCGAATGAACTGCTTAGTAAAAAATCTGGCTGCTGTGGAAACTTTGGGATCGACATCCGTCATATGCTCCGACAAAACTGGCACACTTACCCAAAATCGCATGACGGTGGCGCATTTATGGGTGAATAATACCATAATCGAATGTGATACGACGGAAGATCAGAGCAGTAAGACCCACGTAAGGATCCATTCATACTTGCACAGTTACATTATGATTAACCCACCTACTCGGTAGCTTGCCTCTTGAGTGCTATGGAAATTATTTATGCCCATTATCGTACAAGCCGATAATGGTTTTTCAGAAAATATTAAAATAAAGGTAGAATCACCCACGATGAAAGCCGTGCTGCGCTGTCTCACGCTATGTAACCGCGCAGTCTTCAAACCTGAGCAGAATTCTGTGAATATCATGAAGCGGGAAACCATCGGAGACGCATCAGAGTCCGCTATGTTAAAATTCACCCAGATTCACGTTGGAGATGTACTAGGATATAGGGAGAAAAATCGCAAAGTCTGCGAGATCCCATTCAATTCGACCAATAAATATCAGGTACAATGGTATATTCTGAGAAAACTGTAGTCCACGTAGCGCAAGCAAGAGAGAAAAACCCAACAGCTGTGTTGCAAAAGAATGTGGGTTACACATTTGCTTTCGAAAAGCCTACCGAAAGAGTGTTTGCATTAGCCGGTTTGGTCATGTGGAAATGAAAAATTAATTAGCAGAGTGGTTGATGCCTTTTTACTTTATCTTTAGATATCTATACACGAATCAACCGACTACAATGGCGAACATCTACTAGTTATGAAAGGTGCACCTGAACGCATCATTGAACGCTGTGATTTTGTTGAATTCAACGGCGAAGCAGAACCAATGAGCTCCGAATGGATGAAGTATTATGATGATACTTATGATACCATAGGCGGAATGGGCGAACGCATTATCGGTAATATGCTATACTTTTTAATGTTTTTTTTTTTCATTTCAAGCACAACATCAGAATTTAACAGGTTTGGCAGAACTGCGGCTTCTGCCGAAGAAATATCCGAGAGGGTTCCAATTTGATGCTGATAAGCCGAACTTTCCATTGCGAGGACTGCATTTTCTTGGACTGGTGTGTCTTATTGATCCGCCACGTGCAGCCGTTCCAAATGCCGTTGCCACTTGCCGAGAAGCCGGTACGAGATAGGTTATCCAGATGTTCGACTGAATTCAGACGGAAAGTTTCGTATAGTACGATTAGCTTGTTCTGCAGTTGCACTCTGAGCGCACCGTTATAGGAAAAACAGACTCAGATTAAACCTAAGTTGCAATTTAAAACGTAGTAATGTCGACAACGGTTTTTACGATCACTATGTGCAGAATTTTACAAGCGGTTTTGCTCCGTCACTAAAGGTGTTCGCGTGATAATGGTAACCGGCGATCATCCTACGACCGCTAAAGCCATAGCGCGAACAGTGGGCATTATCACTCCGGAAAGCGAAACGGTTGATGATATTGCAAAGCGGTTGAATGTGTCTAAGCAAAGTGTTGATCCTAAACTTGCCGAAGCCGTGGTAGTTACCGGCGCTGAGTTAAGGGATATGCCGTCAGAGAAACTGGATTCAATCTTGCGGACACACCCTGAAATTGTTTTTGCTCGGACTTCTCCGCAGCAGAAGTTGATTATCGTTGAGGGAGTACAACGGATGGGCTGTATTGTCGCTGTCACGGGCGATGGGGTCAACGACTCTCCTGCCTTGCGAAAAGCCGATATCGGTATTTTATCTGCATCTCTGTAGATGCAGTTACGAACTTTATAAGACAAGGTTTGTTATATTCAGGAATCGCGATGGGTATCACCGGGAGTGATGTCAGCAAGGACGCAGCCAAAATGATATTGCTGGATGACAATTTTGCCTCTGTGGTTACTGGCATAGAAGAAGGGCGGCTAATATTTGACAATTTGCGGAAAACTATTGCGTACATGTTAACATCAAATATACCCGAAATCATACCGTTTTTGATCGCGGATATTTGTGGAATCCCACAAGCAATCGGCACTGCCGGTATTTTATACATCGACTTGGGTACCGATATTGTATGTCAAAATACGTATGTTGATGCACTGTGCTCATTGTTGACGAGGCTTTCGTTCGGTCATACAAAACGTTCATGTCATGAACTCGTTTGACACATAAGGGCGGCTCAATTACATGAACGCTGAAAGTCGTCGACAAGTGTATGCTGCTGGCCAGAAGACTGCTATTCTTCATTAAATCTAACCCAGAACAAAAATGTATTATACATATAAATTATAATAACAGTTATACTAAAACGCTGTTGTTTTGATAGCTACCTGCAATAGCAATGGCTTATGAACGCTCGGAGACCGACATCATGAAACGTCCACCTCGAGATCCGCAAAATGATAAGATAATCAATAAAAAAGTTATGGGGCAGGCCTACTTTCAGATTGGAGTTCTACAGTGTTTGGCTGGCTATTTGACCTATTTTGTCGTCTATGCCGAAAACGGTTTTTTTCCTCGGAAAATCATGTACGGCCTTGATGAGCACTGGTCCAACGAAGCCACTACTGACCTCACTGACTCTTACGGTCAGGAATGGGTAAGGAAAGCCTGCTGATTGCTAATCGGCAACTCAACAGTTACGTACTGTAATAATCTTAGCTATTTCATGCAGTTTACAATGAGTACGAGGTAGACCTCGTACAAATTTATGTTGTAGAAAGATGCATACTAAATAAACTGCGCGTCGACGACGTTGTTATCAGTTAATTCTTTTATACACGTACCTTGTATCAATACTCGTGCTGCAGTTTAATTTATTTACACTTACAAGCAATGTGTTTTATGTTGAATGATTGTTGAAGTATTGTGTATGATTGTACTGCGACACTCTGCCTACAAACTGTGAGCGCTTAATTTGCTACTTTACTACATTCATTAATAACCATATGGTTATATCTATAGTACATATATCAATAGTAGATTCATATATCCTTACGTCCTTATTTTTTGGAAATTATCTCCTAAATCAAGATTGACTTTTTCAATAATTTGATAATTTTAAAAAATAGAGCATCGCACAAACGTTCCTACCTTTATATTTAAAAAAATCTTAAGTTTTGGAGGTCTAAAAAAATTTTTAGAAGCTGTAGTACTTAAAGGTTGTTAGGACTTAAAGGTTGTTGGTTTTGGAAAATATCTCCTCATTCGAGATTCCGTTTGTGAAGCCTTTGATAGTTTTATAAAATCCAGCATCTCCCAAAGCTACCTACCTGCTGCTTGGGAAAAAATTTTGGTTTCCGGAACGTTTTCAAAAGCCCTTTTAAACTTTCAGTACTTAGCGTTTAAAGTTCATAGAAGCTTGCAGTAAATTCTGGAAACGTCTCGAATGAGCAAATACAGGTTTCGCAACTTAGCAACCTAAACAATTGTTATTTAAAATTGTCAATTACATCAAACTTTTAAATTTACTTTTTTAAATTCTTGAAAACTTTAGGATGCTTTTAAATGCGTTCGAATACCTCAAAATAACTGTAAATTTATCCAAAATCAGCTCCAAAGCTTTTACATTTCCAGAATTTCTAAATATTTCGACTCGGCCCCCGCGCAGCGGGGCCGTTTCCTCTAATTTTCTGAGCATCCAGAGTTTCGAAATTTTGAAAATATCTAGAAATCTGAGTATCTCAATATCGCACGGTTTAAACTGTCTAATTTACATGTAATTTCTAAATATCTAAAAGCCGGCCCGCGGCCCGTTTACCGATTCACTCACGTAGCGGCTCTGTGATACTGGTGGTTGGTAGCTTGGACATTCACTAAGCTCGAAATCTAAAATAATATATGTATTTATTTTATTTTAATAAAAATTACTGAAGAGCTTGACTGAATGACTGAAAATCTTACAATTTTACATGCAGCCTGCGAGGTCACCTTGGGCAACCGTTAATTGTTTCCCACAAGTTTCCATTAATTCTGCACTGAAATATCGACTGAACGGTTTTTTTTGGGCATCGTGTAAATGATCCCACTCCATCCATTTTGTCACCGTTTAAATATTATCTGTCGTACCAAAAATACAGGTTTTCAGTTCGTTAGAATCGGCAATATAAAGTTACATTAAAAACGGGAAAAAGAACCGTGGAAAAGGCAAACAAAAAGAAAAATTATGGAGGCTTCCAGTTTTTATAAAACTGGTCGAATTTAACCTGATAGCTTGAAAACTGTCCGCATTTCTACATTTTTAAATTATTTTCGTAGCTGGCCTCGCTGGACTTTTATATTTGAAATATTTCTCAAAATCTTTTTTATTGCTGCACGAAGTATATCTTGAATTTCTTTCTTTCATATTTCCATACCTCGAGCGCAACTGGTCGCGCGCTAGCGCGACCGATACTTGTAGTAGATTTATAAATCGCTACGCCTTTATTCCAAGACAATTACGTAACTCCTAATTCCAGATTAAACTTTTAAAGATGCTATAATTTTTAGAAAATAGTTTGCGATACGTAGATTTCTACTAAGTGGTTTTGAAAAAAGTTTGATTAGCCTGAAATTCAGGAAAAATTTTTGAAATTTAGTAGTGCGACATTGTAGAACGTTTACTAAGTTCTAGAAAGGTCAACAATAGCCGCAAATTTCTTTTCTATTTGCACTGCCAATACAAAGTACTTAGCAACACGAAAGATGATAACAATTATAAAGTATTGATGCTCATAAGTACGGGATTTCACTGATGTCGGACGCCTCACACACATATTTTGGAATTTTTAAATGTTTCTAAACATTTGTTAATCTTATATTTGCAAAGCGGTGTTTGGAAATATTTATTGGAATACCTCCAAAATTTGGCAAATTTGGAATCCACATTTTTAAAAATTTCGAAACATTTCCACAGCTGGCCCCGCGCAGCGAGGCCACTACCTCGATATTTAAGCAATTCTGCGTTTCAAAAGAAAGTTAAAATTAAATTCTAATTATAGTACAGAGTAATACAGGAGCACACCAGTCCTAATTTAGTTGTCGTAGTAATACAGTATCTGTAGTTACAGTAATAAGTTAATATCATACTTTGAACGCAACTGTTTGAGCTGACGCGCGAGCATCCTGACCAACGCCGGAAACAGATTTTTCAATGTATTTGAGCTGTTTTAGGTTTCTTGGATTTCTTAGATTTCTTGGTATTTTAGGTTTTTATGATATAGATCTAGATCAATAGGTTAACATAATCATAGATTTTATCATCATCATTACCATTTATTAGGTTTCTTAGGTAATTTTTTGCGTTATTCAGTTACAGTACTTTCTCTTACACCAGTATACCGAAATGTCTGTGTGTCGAGATGAACGTATGCAGAAACGGTTTCAAATAAATCAATTCAAACCGTTGCACAACATTTCCAAAGCTGGCCCAGTTTTGGCTGGCCATTGGCCATTAGCAGCGAGGACAATACCTTTCTTTAAATTAGCATTTCTACGTTTTCATATATAGGGTAGAATCTACATATACACAAAATTTGTTCACATTCCCACTTTTCTTAATCTTAATTCCATACCTAAAACTCAAGTGGGAGCGCGCTAGCGCGAACAACACCCGTCTTTATTCCGAGACAACTCCTAATTCCAGAATAGTTTTTTAAAGTTACAGTAAAATCTGTGAGATTGAACATCTGCGAACATTGAACACGGCTTTATATTGTACAGGGGCCAAAGCCATATTCTAGCATTTCTGTTATTGAAAAAAAGTTTTAAATAAAATTCATGCTTATGATTTCGAAAAACATAGATCGAAGCCCTATAGATGAATACAAATATTTCTAAATATTTCTAAATATTTCTAAATATTTCTAAATATTTCTAAATATTTCTAAATATTTCTAAATATTTCTAAATATTTCTAAATATTTCTAAATATTTCTAAATATTTCTAAATATTTCTAAATATTTCTAAATATTTCTAAATATTTCTAAATATTTCTAAATATTTCTAAATATTTCTAAATATTTCTAAATATTTCTAAATATTTCTAAATATTTCTAAATATTTCTAAATATTTCTAAATATTTCTAAATATTTCTAAATATTTCTAAATATCTCTAAATATTTTTTCTAAATATTTGAATGAATATTTTTTAATAATTTTTTAACCATAATTCCGTACCTAGAACTCAAATGGTCGCGCGCTAGCGCGACCGACACTAGTAATTAATGACCATTAATAACAATAGGGTTATTGGTAATAAAACGGCCATATAATTTTTGTTTATGCATAAACAAAAATTATATGGCCGTTAAGTTGGCCAGCAGCATAACGTCAAAAGCGTAAATACTGGTACATATTTTAAAGTGGGAAATTCATTTTCTTTTGCGATAGACATACTTTCAGCGAAGAGAATTGGAGCTAACGTGTCAAGGAGCATTTTTCATGACTATCGTTGTGACTCAGTGGGCGAATCTGATTAATTGCAAATGCCGCAAAATGTCCATTTTCCAGAAAGGAATGAGGTACGCTTTTAGTTATACTCTTCCTTAGTTAGTTCCTGCACCGGTAATGACGAACTTTGTTGTTTCTAGTAACCATGTGATTAATTTCGCACTGATATTCGAAACTATTCTCGTGGTCATATTGTTGTACGTTCCGGGAGTCAACCATGCTTTACAAATGCGGCCGGCAAAGTACGGAATATTATATCGCATCAATTATAGCCTTATGTGGTCATTAAAAATGTTGAAAAAAATTTCTGGTTAACAGGATTCAGTGGTGGACCGTTGGAATATTTTTCAATATATTAATTTTCGGATGGGACGAAATCCGTCGATGGTTTATTCGTCATTATCCTAACGGATTTTTATACAGAGAAACTTTTTACTAAGACAACGTTTTCAACAACAACGTTTTCAACATTGGCAACGTTTCAACAATAAGTTTGATATCAGTGTAAAACACCATGTTTGTAAATTTATCCACTTACTGTAGACTGTAATGCCATTGCAAGTGCTGTGCATTTTCCGTACAACCTTATCAGTTTGTTGCAGAGTGTTAACTGCTGATACTGTTATTAACAGCCGCGAATGATGTTATGTTTTATTACTAGTGTAATTTCTCTGTACATTCAAGTAGTAATTAAAAAGGCTGCAAAGGAAAAATTGGTATTACCATCCTTTGTACTTTTATGTTGGTGCTTTGGTACATTGCGCTAACTTATTGTTAACAGAAAAGCTAACAGTTTAGTAGCTAGTGGCAGCAGTATTTTATTTACTGCATACCAGAAAAGAACAAAGCGTAAGCGACGCCTGAATGTGGTTACTAGTGTGAAATAGTAGAAGTACTGAGTATTAATGAATAAAATCGATGTTTCTGTTTCCCCTAATTAAATAACGGAATACGGCTTGGTCGCATCATTGACGTACAGTTGCCTAAACTGTTCAAGCAAAGCAAAACTATAATGTTTTGCCTTTGAAACGTTTTAAGATAGGCACACACCATCCAGTTTTCCCAGTTATTCGCAGTATATCGACCGTCTCCATGGAAATAACAATGCATGACATACAACAACCGATTAAATTTCGGCCAGAGAATTTCTGCTTCCCGTTCGAAAAGCGCATCCTTGTTTGTATTCACCAAAATAAGCGCTTAGTGAAGAATTATTAAATACTTATCATGTTGTTGTTGCTATATTAATGCTTCACTAATTTGATACCAATATCGCATTATTGATAATGCTACTGTTTTTTGGAAAGTCGAAACTAACAGGTGATAAGATCGGCTGCTTAATTATTTCAGAACCTTAGCCAATACTACGTCAGGATTGGCAGGATTATATCTTCTAATTGTTCTCAAAAGTTGGAGCTAAGAACAAGGCTTGGACTGCCTTTACAAATGCCACTGTCCAATGTGCCGCGTATTACTGTTTCCTCCGCGAACCTGTCATCTTCCTTCGCTCGACCTGATGGGCAACTGTGTGGCCCGAGATATTCCTGATCCCCAAACAGGCCTTACACCTAATCACATTAATGCTGTTCGACAAAACTGGAAATTGATAGAAAAGCGGCTTCCAGAATATGGGCTCGAGCTGTTTGTTGCGTAAGTTTAAGTTCAGTTTTATCTCATCTTGACAATACTTACTTATATGAAATCGATGTAATAGGTTTATTACTAAACACCCCGAATGGCTGCCGTTATTCCCTTTTCTCAAACCATCGGATATGGCACGACTCAGCCAGACACCGCGTCTTAAAGCTTTTGGGACGATAGTTTTAAGAAAACTCGGTGAGCTCTTAAGTATGCTGGATAGCCCTCCAAAACTAATAGGAGAGCTCTTGCGCCAAGGCGCGAATCATCGATCCCGTGGTTTGGCCCCGGAAAACTTCCAAGCGCTCCAACATGACCTCAACGAACTGTTTGTCAAAGTTTGCGGACCGGAATTTGATATCGAAGCTTGGGATGCCGTGCTCACCCTGATTATGACCGGTATTGAAGAAGGACTCCGGCAAGCCAAGGACAAGGATGCAAAATACATGTGATATGATTAGGTCGTTGGCAATTATTCTGGAATCGCATGGGTACACACCACAACTGCAAATAATTATGTTTCAGTTTTGCACTGTTAAGGTCACGGCTAGAATGGTGCGTGAAGATATTTATGGCATTTACATGACAATAAAGGACAAAAATTGGCTTTAATTACTTGCACCATAGGCATTTGATGCGAAGTTGTGTGGAAAGTCCAGAAGGAATCCTTGTTTTAATGTTATGCATATCATATACTTCTGTAGTATATTGAAGCACGTACGCCTCCTCGCCGTTGAAGAGGCGAGTACTTAGGACCCATAGAGCTACTCGTAGATTCTGATCCACCAGTTTTGAGCGCACGTGCATGGATTTGCCTTTTCTCGTACTGCATGTAGACTTGCACATCTTTAGCACGTAAATATTGCAGCGATTCTGGGCTACGAGTCGCTGTTGCTTTACGAACGGGAGCTCCGGTTGCTAAGCAGGACAGATACCGATGCTGGGAAATGGTCGATGTCCACGATTTATACGGTTTGTCACGTTTGAAAGTCAAGCCGGCATCCCTTTTGGGGAAGGAAATCGGCAAGCGGCTACAACAGCGTCAGGGTTAACCTCGTTCACACGAATTATTACGCTACCGTCTAACGATCAATATTCAACGAGGTTCAACTAGGACTAAGTCACGAAGCCTCAGTTTCTTCGTCCAAACTGCAAAAAAGATAAATAATAAATCTAAATCTTGCCATTAAATAATAAATCTTATAAATAAATCTTACCGTTAAAAAAATCTTATCTTTATATTCATTCAATCTAAAACGTATTTATGCGCCGTTTTTATAGACTCGTCAACACGTGGTCAGTTTTAGTCCAGCCTGGTCTTAAAAATTTCCATATGTCCATAGCTTTTTGATTTTTTTATAAACCAGTGGTCAGAAGATGGTTTCACCAGGTCTTAAGGATGGGGAACGTAAAGAGCACTCGAAGAAGTATTCATTGCACAACAATAAAAAGTGCTGAACATAATAACTGTAACCACGGAGACTAGCGGATACATAGGTATATGCTGTTTACTAGTGTTTAGTGTAGTTGATAATTATTGTGTGAACAGTGAATTAATTTGGTAAGCGTCCGTAAGGTAAAGTATAGCGTCCCTTATGTCGCGTATACAGTATCTGTATACGTCAGTACGTAAAAATATCAGAAGGTCAACGTCAGAAGGCAGAACGTCAGGCATTCAGAACGTGAAAAATTAAGACCGCTAAACATCAAAAATTAATAGCGCCAGAACATCAGAATATCAGATTGTCAAAACGTAAAAAATCAAGAACATTACATCGTAGAACGTTAGCACGCCAAAACGTCAGAATATCAGAACGTCAGAACATCAGAATGTCAAAAATTAAAAACGTTAAAACGTCATTACGTCTTATAGAATACGACTACGAAAGGCTATACTTCGAATGCTGCCTTATATGGGCTCCCCTTGTATTACCCTCCTTTATCTGGGCTCCCTAGCATTATGGGCAATCCTCTACATGGGCGGTTACGTTATTACTCACACTTTCGCTGTTATCAGTGTTATGCCTGACTGAAAATTTTGATTTATTTAAAATATTTATTTTGCCGGTACTTTTGTAGCATTTAGTTTGTTTCAAAGTGCTCAGGTTGTATCAACGACAGATTCAAAATCTTGATAAAATTTATATTTGCGACTTTGTCAAATGGACCGTGAAGATGCGATTTTGTCTGCTGTAAAGTGCGTGCGTAAAAAATAATGTGATATGGAATTTCGGCATTTTTCAGTTTGTTCATTGGCAAATCCGGTTGAAATTAATGAAAATTTTATTATATAGATAATATATATAAATATAATTCGGATGTGAAATTTCGGAATTCTTTGGTGTGCTCACTTGTAAATCCGGTTGAAAAAAATTACAAAAAGGTTCTGCTATAACTCCGATAAATTTAATTTGACGAATTATTGCTAACTAGCCGGGAGCCCAGATAAGGGAGAATAATATAAGGGGAGCCCATATAAGGCAGCATTCGAAGTATATACGATTACAATCCTAGTCTTTTTGCTTTTTATACTTCTAGCCTTTTCACATTTATGATGACCTTTCCAAAATAAAGCCAATACTATCCAGTACTTCAGTGCCGAGCGCGGATGCGCGAGGCTACCTTGTAATCTAATAAATCTTACCGTTAAATAATAAATCTTTAGAAATGCGTAATACAGCAGAAGCTCACCATGGGCAATGTTTCAGAGACCGAGCCTCTAATGCAACGGCATTCAGCTGTCCCGAGCAACAAACTTCTATTAATGCGTCGAATTTCCCCTTGTTCCATAGTTTGACGCCTCGAAGCACTCACTGTAGGGCCCGAATGGCTCAAAATATATTCGTCATTTCTGTCATTATTCCTGTCTTCTGATGTGAAAGACTGCAAATCGCAACGTGTACACTTGCAGATTCTTACAGCCAAACGAAGCCAGGAACATGGTTTATGACGATTCACTGTGATACCTGATGGCAACTTTGCAGTATGTTGGAAATAATTCCAAAAGAACTAGTTTTTCCAGGTTTGGTAATATAATTATCGTCAAATTTTTTGTAAGTCTGTTTTTCTTATTTATACCTTCGCTACTTACTGACCCATATCGCAATATAAAGAGACGGAAGGACTCCAAAATTTCTTAATAATACAAAGACTTAAACACATATGATTCCGGGCTGCTCTCCAGCCACAGGTAGTACCTGGGTTTCCGTTGCCAACCCGATGCTTACTCTTCTTTACGTCTGTTAACAGAACCCGCTCATACCGAAGCAATCGTGACGCTGACATTAAAGAATACCGGAACAAAACGGACAGCCTATCGAATAATGACGTCTGCGCCGCACCGGTTTTCCGTGCGTCCAGTGTTCGGATTATTGAAAAGTCATGGTATCGCATCGATTCTCATACAGTATCGCCCGGCTGATCATTCCGTCATATACCCAGATTACAAATTCCGAATTAAGGCAGCTCCTGCGGACCATCAGTATAGTGCAAATGATCCCAGTAATTTTGTGAGTAGTCAATCTAGCGCAGTTTGTAAATATCGCCGTTTACGGCCATTGTAATGACTATTCTATGGAATATACCGTACTTGCATATTTTATTTTCCGCTGAATGGCTCACTTTCACCAGTAAGCTGTTCGCAAAAGCTGTTAAAACAAAGCCGTTCGCTGTTTGTTCCTCCATTTCTTCCTTCTTATGCAAGTACCAGCCAGTTGCCACCTTGCACCCATGACTTAAAATGCTCAAAACTGATAATTCGGTTTCTTACACCTGCGGAGTGTAGTGGAATACTATCCCGCCTGACCAAATCCTGATTACCACTATCAGATGCACTTTTCCCCAACCGTCTCACCATGCATTCTCTGCCAATAAAATGCCGTTAGCCACCGTTGCCATCCTGCCACTGGAAGAAAGTGCAACGGCCAAGTTAGAGGTTTGAGTAGGAGTAAGCATCTACTATAGTGTCAGTAGTGTTTAGTGTATAGTATAAGAATTCAACTATGACGACTTATCGAACGTTAACCGTACGATACGGCAACAACCCATGAGTAATCACGAATGATGCATAGAAAAAACGTCCAATAACGCGATAACGAAGCAACCGTTGCAGCTGCGATATTTGAGCGCCCCAACTTACGGTAAATTATACGTATCATACGGTATGGGGAGCACTGTATAAGGAACGCGAAACGAAAATTAGAACATTTTACTACAGTACTTAATTAATTTGTATGGCAGTGGCAGGTGAACAACGTTTTGCACTTTACTATGCGATATCACAGTAGCCAAAATGGCAAAATATCCACATGACATATTCATGCAAATTATCACTGAAATTAAACAATTTGTCTAATTAGATTGATTTCAGACTTATTTGTTGCCCAAATAAAGAAGTCGCTCTGCTGGTGAATTAATTAATGAAGATTCATAATAATGGCAGAGGTTATTTTTAATAATAATTCAGATATTCCATAGATGAAACTGTGTACGCGACCTAAAACAGCTGCAGACTGCATGGATAGGTCAACGATGCCGAATCGTAAATCTAGTCGAGACTAGGTTTAAGATACGGCAGACTTATGCAACGTTGCCTTAAAGTGGGCATGTGTTGACGGTTCCGTGCATCCAATCCATGAGCGCAGCCTTATCTCGCAATGACACATGCAGAAAACTCACACATGTCGAACCGTTCGACATGACGATGAATTTGTGTTTTGAATTCTTATAGTGTGTTTAGTGCACTGTAGTGTTCAGCTGTGTGTGCACTTGTACATAGATGTTAAGGCACAATCTCATAAAGAATGACCACACGAAACAGAACTGAGCGCTGCATGAAAATGTAGATTGTTCTGCTGGAAATTGATGCAACGTGGGATTTGGAATCGGGAATTTGTATTGAGAATTCGTACTGGAAATGTTTGAATTATCTTTCTCTTAGAGCATTAAACTCGTTACTTTCACTAAGTAATCTAAACCGGGTTTAGTTTGATTTAATGCATAATTTCCGTCTCACTTCCTTGTTTAAAACGATTTATATTGGGACGCTGTGCACCCAGCGGCAAGCGTGGCTAATCGTGCACAGGTTTTCAAATGCAGATTTCTTTCGGGTGCAGGCTTTTCAAATGCAGTTTTTTTTATCTGCACGCTTTTCAAATGTTTCGGAAACTGCTGCTACCCGCAGAGTTCCAGTAAATAGACGCACAAATTATCTTTGTTGTATATCGGACAAAACATATATGTGACGCAGCTGCCGCAAACAAAGCAGAGAAATTTGCGGTGGTTTGTTAACGGAAACTAACCAGTTTAACGTTGCTAGTATTAAAACAGCACAGTAAATCATCTGCGAGTGAAATCTTTCGTAATTGCTTTCCCATTCCCAAAATGAAATACCATTCCCATAAATGAAGTGAATACCGGTCCCACTTTTAATGCCAATTCCCGATTTCCAATCCCAGGTTTTATTTATGTTACCCGAGTCTGCTACGCCAGAAAGTACCTTCTCTTTGCATTTGAGACACGCATGCGCTTAAGCGGGGTGCAGTACAGGACGCATTTTTGTTCCATGCGACTGTGATAGTTATCCCGCAAAGTAAACAGAACTCCGCAAAGTAAACACGTGACGATAGCTTGCTTACATCAGGTTTCAAGTTAATCAGCTACGTTCAAGGAGTAATCTCACTGTCAGCCTGTATTATATACTTTCCCTGTGGTTTCTCTAGGTATTCCGAAATGTCAGATAAAAGGCTTTCATCGTTTTTATCATGGTGCATTGCTGCAGCACAAACGGTGATAGGTTTGCAATATTTCGTTACAGAAATCGCGCCACGATCATGCTCCTGATAACTTTCACCAAGATTACAGACGCGCTCTCGAAGATATTGTCCTGCTGCGAGAAGAGAACGTTCGGTTGCGGGTTCGACATACAGTACTGTGTGCAGTAAAATAATATTTACATTATGATATCTTAATTTAGTTTTGGCGCGTTGTAGGAAGATCTGCATCGAGTCAGAAGATCGTTGGCACGCTTGCATACTGCTTCTGGAGACCCTGTAATCAATGCATTTCGTAGCATTCTTCCGGGTCCTGCTGTTCCAGTCGTCTTTTTCCCTTATTCATTGTGGCAGCAACTAGTAACGTGGTTCACCACTTTGCGTGTAGGGGCGTTTACTGTTTTAGTGTTGTTTTTTTGTGCCGGCATATTAACTGGAAGTGCTCTTTATAAATAAGAAAACAATGTTTTGAAACAACGCTACAGTGCAGTTGCTGTTAGAAGTCGTGCCGACTGTAGTCGACCGCACAGTTTCTTAAGGAATCACATAGCGTACTAGGAACTGCCCCAGCCCTTATGTTAACGCCCGAATACAGCGCTCAAGCTTTAAAACTGCCGGCTGCGAGTCGTTTGCTCAAAAATTAATTAAGTACAGTACTTCTATTTAAATGAATGATTAAATGTATTTAATCACAGTTAATTGTGGGTGCACATCCCTCCCATTTTGGGTTTATGGCCGTTTGTCGGCTTTCACTGGTTCGTTGGGTGGCTTTGTTTCCTCAGAGTCGGAGATTCTGAGATGTTTCCTGTGGCTAGAGAGTTGTGTGCTTTGTTGAAATCATTTCTGCAGTTTTGGCAAGGGAAGCTTTTCTCCCTCCCGCCCATTCCCATGGCATTGTTGTTGTTTGTTGTGTTTGTTACATTTATGTCATTTGTATAAATTGAATTGATCATGTTGATGGTTATGCTATTAAAGGGGGGCTGACGGGCCTGCGCCCAGAAGTCTTCCAGTTCCGGCAACATTATGGCTTATGTTCGTATCTCGCAGTAGACACCCACAATTAATTGTAATTGTATCTCGTTTCTTGCTGTGTTTGCGCACGGAACGTACAGATAGTGCACACGAAGAGACCTTATTCTAATAGTCGACCAATGCCTCCTTTGTATTGCAAAACCACCGGAGAGGAAAAAAACACGGTTTGCACAATGCACGCTCTCATTCAAGAGATGGAGTAAGTATCTATCCAGTGAGTTTAGCACTAACCTGATTACTGACCATGGTGAGTAATCTGTGCGTGCATTGTTGTTGTTGTTATGGTTTAAGTGCAATAACTCTGGAGCGCGCATTGTGCAGCTAACAAGGCAAACCATTAAATTTTGAGGAAATGTACAAAGCAGTGTGTGAGTATTTTAGGCTTTTTCTCAGTGCTAAATAATGTCGCAACGCTCGTACTGCGCAGACCGATCGGCCGGAGGCTCGCAGAAAAATTCGGCAGCCTTCTTGAAACTGGTCGCATTCTGATGATCGCAAATTAATAACCACTTTCCCTTTGAATAGCGACACATCAGATAAAATCATAAAAATAAAAAGTGGCTGCTAGTTGTCGGGATAATTTCACCGATGCGTAAAAAACCGAAAAAGCACAGGGTAAACATGCTCCAGTAAAGTCGCTTATCGTAGGATGATAGCGGCTGAGAATTAGCGATGTTAATTTTAATGATACGCATGTGGTCAGTGGTGATTGGCAATTTGTGATTGTGGCCTATTTGAGTGACAGCTTTGATGTTCTGTGTAGCAAGAAGCTTCTCATCCACTTCACGATCCAAAACGGGTATCCGAGAGCTTCTAACCGATTCAACAAAAGAGAATGAGAAACGGTATCATATACACCCAGTAAATCCAGCGTGCATATGATAACGCAGGAGATCTATTTTATTTACCCCGTTGTGTTCCTCAAGGTTGTCCGCTCTCTCCACTACTGTTTATTATTTTCATTGATGAGCTTTTAAAGAAGTTGAACAAATGTAACCGTCCAAAACGTCCGGACGTCTGAGACGTCCGGCGGACGTTTTAGCGCTCGAACCGTTCAAAACGTCCGGAGGCTGCCAAAACGTCCGCCGTAAATTTCCCCACCCAGTTCTTTTGCTTTTCCGATCTTAAACCAGATCAATGAGTGTAAATTCGTACCCGGACGTTTCTGCCTGAGTATAAAGCAGTAGCCGGACGTTTCTGCTGACTGCAAATTCGCAGCCGGACGTTTCTGATTGAGTGTAAATTCGTACCCGGACGTTTCTGCCTGAGTGTAAATTGGGACCCGGACATTCCTGCCTGAGTATAAATTGGACCCGAACGTTTCTGCCTGAGTGTAAATTGGTGTCACTCTTCCGTTTACAAACACTCAAAGATATGAACATAGCGCACGCTTTGGTGCTATATCAAGACGAACAACATTCGCACAAATCTCCATCTTTGTCCATTGTTCAGCGCCTGAGTGCGATGGGATCGAAGTTTCCTACCGATGTTGCACTCGTATTTAGCCAGTTCTTCCCTATGTCTATGCGTCTCTGCGCCTAAAAGTCATCAGTTCCGGGCTGCGGGAACCAGCCATTGACCACAATACAACTGCCAAGCGTCTCCTTTTTGCAGGAGATATGTTAATTTATACAGAAGGATCAAAACACGGCGATAATGTTGGAGCTGCAGTTGTTGTTTTTACTGGCCAAGCAGTGTATAGGAAAGAATATCGACTACCGGTTCACGCAACGGTTGCGCAAGCGGAATTGTAAAAAAATTCAACCTTTATTGCAATTTCTTCCTACTCAGATTATTACATCGAATTCCGTTGGGTTTCCACATCAGCTAGGGTGGGCAGGCCGTTTCTTATATAAATTATTGACAACAAATTAAATGAAACAACAGGTCTACTCTTATACAACTGTTTATTTACGGCTGATTTAATTCAGGTTTAGGTTTAGTTTCCCCGGCTAACCAAAAACCCGCTACCTATCTAATGTTAATTACTGTTAACTTGTTTATTGTTTAAGGTCATATTCAAAAATTTTTTATTAAGAAAAGTTTTGATAAGGATAATAATCCGGGGAAAATGGAAAGTCGGGGAAACTTCAGTCTACTATCTTTAACGGCCTGCTTATACCCTGCTGTCCAACAGATTTTACAATAAGCCAATCGCAATGAGGTAGTAAGGTGTAACGGAACATCGACAACTCGCCAACAACAACCGAAAAACAGGAGCAATAACGTAAGACAGCATCGTTATAGACCGTGCTGAGGTCGACCGGCAAGGAAAATGAACGGCTACTGCGTACATGACGTGAACAGGTTATTTGGGCATGGAACGATCCAGTACTTATGAGATTTATTAAGAAAAATTACATAGGTACAGTTTAAAGCAGTAACAGCTAAATTCTTAAACAACGGTTTAGACTGAACAATTTTACCGCGCTGTCGGATGGTGGCGGCAATCTTGTCGATGCTGGACATAGCATCACGGGCAACATTCCCCTTGAACCTACAGCTACATGGTAGTAATCAGTCTGTTAACTCCGTTACCAGCGAAGCATAGCGGGTGTGTTCCCTAGCTTTCGCATTGGCAAATCCTCTAACAGTCTCAAACGGTACGGTAAGTTCAGCTAAAACAATACGTTTCTCCACGCGATTAACACAGCATAAGTCAGGACACAGAGATGTAGGTAAGATATCGATGGGAATAGCGCTGACATGTTTTCGTACTTATATGCATCTAAATCGCTTAGTATTTTCCATTTATATGCATCTAAATCGTTTAGTATTTCCCATAGTATTTTCCTTATCAGTCACACCAGTTAGAAATTGAAAAATAGCGAGCAGAACACTATTATGGCGCCAGGTGTAACGATGGCTGTACATCAGGCTTTGCTGTATCTGAGACTGTCTGAAGTGCGTCATGTCGACCTTATTGTGACTCAAAGGCCGTAATGGATCCCATCAGTGCCACTATTTATGGTTCGCCTAACAAAGATGCTAAAGAAGTGCAAGATTGTCTGCTATGGTTGGAGTCCACAAGAGTATTCTCATCAAATTGAGGAAGAATGGCGAGTATGTTTGTTTTGATGATGCTTACTCTGGCAAAAATTCTTTTACTGTAATACGAATCGATTTTGATCTTTTACTGCAATTCGATTTTTTCGAAATATTCATTTTTAACCTTTACCGTTCACTTTGGTTGTTCCAGTTAACGAGATTTTCAGATTAGTGCTTGAATGGTAGAACATGTCGGACCAGGCTAGCAGCCCTATCACTGCATGGCGCTGCAGTATTGTCAGCAGCAACATGCCGAGGCTAAGGCCCGACGAGCCTCAAAATTGAATTCAGATACGGTGTCCAGTACTGCAACAACCGCCAAGCGAAAACGGCCTGCAAGAGATCCAAATGCACCAAAGCGAAACTTGTATGCACAGATGCTAACTGTTTCACGCAAATCGCAGAGCACTGAAATGTTAGGCTGGCCTGCTGACTTCTCCAACGTTTGCCGAACCTTGTCAATTGCAGATCCGCATTCTTTCATTTCTGCAGCCAAGAGCGTCCATGTGTTAAGGCTGGTATACCAAATGCTACAGTAGGCGACTTAGCTAAAGAGCTAGGACGTCGGTGGTCAATTGTCGCTGGCGAGAGAAAAGCGGTTTTCCAGAAGATGGCAGAAAAAGATAAAGAGAGATATGTCAGGGTAAATCGAGAGACGATTGAACGATCTTTTATAGAACGATCTTGTAACAACCACCGTGTATTTTGTGAATAATTAGGATTGCGATATTGACTGGGTCTTTACAGGAAAAATCTGCTTATCAAAATGGAAGAGGACAGAAAAGGTCTGTAAGAAGTTTTACCGGCCACAGTTCTGGTAGGCTTGGTTCGGCCGCTGCACCGATGAATTCCGCTACTGAATTTGGGCAGTCCGATGAAGGAAGTGACAGCGAATGCAATCATACTATGTAAATGCTGAAAACTGGGATTAGGAGCAAAGTCAAACGCATCCCTGCATTTGGACACCCGACGAAAGTAACACTTACGGCACACAACGTCACCCATACCTGTGCGACGGCCCGCGCTCAAGCTCTGACTCTGACTCAGACTCTGACCGCTCAAACTCTGACTCTGACTACTCAAAGTCTGACTCTGACTGTCCAAACTCTGACTCTGACTCTGACTGAATAACCTAACCTAAGAATAACCTAAGAAACCTAAGAAACCTAAGAAACCTAAGAAACCTAAGAAACCTAAGAAACCTAAGAAACCTAAGAAACCTAAGAAACCTAAGAAACCTAAGAAACCTTAGAAACCTAAGAAACCTTAGAAACCTAAGAAACCTATTAAGAACCTAAGAAACCTTCAGAGTCAGAGTCAGACTTTGAGCGGTCAGAGTCAGACTTTGAGTAGTCAGAGTCAGAGTTTGAGTGGTCAGAATCAGAGTCAGAGTCAGAGTTGGAGTCTAGGCCCTGTGCGACCATTGGAACTGGTTTAGGATATTTTGGGAGTATGTATGTGACGGCTTTTGATTTAAATGCAGGCCGAGGCTGTTTTCTGGGTAGGTTCGACCTTGAGTTCAGTTCAAAATTGTTCCCTTTGGGTGTGCTTACCACATTTTTAATTTACGTATCTGTACACTTTGATTGCATTATGGGTACGTAGGTATTCCATGCTTGTATCAGTTGTATCCGAACTCTGAAGTGAATTTCATCAATCATGATTTATCTTTACTTTAGCTGTCTAGCAAAACAAAGCATGAACAAGAAGTGCACCAAATGTTTAAGAAGGGAAAGTTGATAATCAAGATAAACACCTCCTCAGGAACAGACAGGCTCACAATCAATAATCATTGTTGATATGATGTTGTTACCTTTTCAAAAATTAATAACTATGGATTAAGAAAGGTTACCAAGAAAAAGAATCCTAATTAAACTGAAAACCTGATGGTGAACCGACAAAACAATATGAACTGCTAAATAGGGGACGATTGCTCATCTTACGTTAAGCAAGCAGGGTGTTGTGGGACTTTCAGTCTTTCACTACAGTCACTCCGCTGCAGCAGCTGCTTTTCTGGACCTCTTCGAAGCCTTGCTGACACCGTTGCTTTCTTTCATGGGCTCCGTCGCAGCAGACTTGACAGCCGTATCAGCAGCCCTCCAGTCCTTAACTTTCTTCAACAAAACTGGATGAAGATTTGGAATCACACCTCCTTGTGCAATGACCACACCTTCGCAGAAACGGCTCAGCTCGTTGTCATTTCGGAGTGCCAGCTGAATATGACGTGGACTAATACGCTTTTTGTTGTTGTCGCTGGAAGCCTTACCAGCCAGTTCCAGCACCTCAGCCACAAGGTATTCCACTACTGCTGCCAGATACACCCCAGAAGCCACACTCAGTCGCTTGGAATAGTTACCCTTCTTCAAGGCTCGAACGAAGCGGCTAACAGGCATCACCAATCCTGAACGCCGCGATTTACTTTGTCGCTTCTTTTGGACAGACTTTGTGCCTCGCCCTGACATTATTGTACTGGAGGCAAGAACCAGGAGAAATAACACCAGAAACTGCTGAATCGAGTTCGGGAGCTGAATTGTAAGTAGCCTCAAGAAGGGGCGGTTAAAGTTTTCTGACTGGCACTAGATCGCAGGGGTTTTCTATTATCACTGTTCTAACAAAGATTTACTGTTTAAATTAAATACTATATCTTTTACGAAGTTATACGGTGACAATCTACGGTCCATGCCCAGACATCCACTCAAAAGGTGTACTTAAGAGTTAAGCCCCGCGATAAACGGCGAATCGATGTCAGACTGTGCGAGTGTGTTCCCTGTACCCAAAACGTGGCCAGTTTGCACTTTGCATTTTGCAATATGAGATTGCACATTTTCGACTAATTGGAGCGCCACCTGGGCACAACACTCTTGCTCCCCGGGTATGAGAACGAAATGCCAGATGTGCGGGTACGCTGCAATTCATACGGCAGCCGGTGGTACCGCGTAACGTTTTACTAGTCAGTAAGCTCGTTATGTCTAAAATACATAACTAACTGCAGACGTTTAAAACATAAAATTAGGTACATAATGCTTGCCGCTTGGCAAAAGGGCGAACTCCTATAAAGCTATTTACTGCCCAGATTATCACGTGATGCCCAGATGTTCTGAAAGGACCACGTTTCACTTTTCTGGAGTCCATTTAATTGCGTCATTGCTAGCAGACTTAACAGTAATTCATTCATTTTACAATTAGAAAATTAGGCGGACTCGATAAACAAGGTCATGGATGGATATAACTTACCAAACAAGGCCCTGTCTGACAACGGTGATTCCCGGCTGGCCGTCGCTCCAAATGATCCATCTTTGGATGAGGTGCCAGATGCAGTCTTGCTATCACCCACTTCGCCCTCTGGTTCAACTGTAACGTACTGTAGTCGAATACAAAGTCACCGAAACACGGACGATCATTATGCCAATTATGCACAGGACAAGCTGCGGCAAGTTGTTAGCTATGGCTCAAAAGCCTCAAATTGAAACACTGTCGACAATTTCTATCTAGACCTTACGATTACGAGTACCGAACCTATTAGAAATTACGAAACAAAGGAAATTCCGCAACGCAAATTTCGTTTTAAATTTTTAATTATTCTGATAGTATGAGTTGGCTTCATCTAGCAATCGACGGCGCTGTTTTCTAATATGTAGGTCGTTTCTGCAGTATTTGGATCAAGAAGGTCAGAATACCGAAGTTGGCACAGGGGACTCAGTAAAAGTGGGTTACACATGAGAAAAGTTTCGTTTGGATTGTGCACGCACCATGCAATGATCCAGAGTCAATACGCATGCAGACTAAAAATTCTTAATGTTCTGATAGTGCAATTTCGTCCAGCACGGGATGGAAATTGTAACAGAGTCCGATGGAAAGTTCCATCAAGAAACCATGGAATTCTTAGACGATCAGGAAGCGTTAATACTCAGGCTGCGTTTGCAGTTGGTCTGCTTGCTTTAGCGTCCTGTTCGTTTTTGATAATCATTCGAAGGGTTTGATGCGCTAGTACTTTTGATAGAACAAAGAAGCCGAAAAGTCTGCTTTGGCTTTACACGAAGCACAGGAGCTATACCAGAAGCGCTTAAAACAACAACGGGATATGTCCAACGGTAAACTGAAATCGCTGCAGCTCGTGTTAGATCAGGTAACAAAGACTGTAAAGTTCGTTCATTAATCATTAGACAATTTGGGCAAGGTGCGGCAGTAGCAATACAAATGGCTATAGCCATAGCCGTCTCGTAGACGGACCACGGGACGGCTATTGCTACAGTCATTGGTATTGCTACTGCCGCATTTTGCCCAAATTCTCTATTAATGAGCACTGAGCAGTACTGTATCTGTACATGCCTACATTGAGCACAGACCGTACGAGAGCATATTTATTATAATATTGTAAAAAGACTGCTCTCACCGTACAACCTGTACCTGACTACCTGTAGCGTCGTTTCTCACTCGTAGCAATATTTATCAATTTCGTAATTTGATAGATACATCATAGTATTACAAGGCTCTTGATAACTGTATTATGCTGATATTCCTGCACGAAAACCATTTGACGTCATAACGCCCTACACTCAATCAGCACAAAACAGCCTCGGGAGGTATAAGAATAGTGAAAAACTGATTTAGTTGCCCTCGGTGGAGCTGTTCATTAAATGGAGGCCGCGCTGGATTTCTATGATAATACATACTTTGACGTACTCGTACATCATTCCGTTGCTCGTGTGTAACCGTCCCAAACGACCGGTCGTCGTTTCAGCCTCCAAACCGTCCGAAACGACCGGGGGCCGCCAAAACGACCGCCGTAAATTTTGTCCTACCAGTTTTTTTCGATCTTTCAGTCGCAAACAAAACGAATGAATGCAATTTCGTGTCCGGTCGTTTGTGCCGGAGTGAAATTTCGTATTCTATCGCTTATGCCGGAGTGCAATTTCGTATTCTGTCGCCGAAGCGACCGAATACGAAATTGCACTCCGGCAGAAACGACCGGACACGAAATTGCATTCATTCGTTTTGTTTGCGACTGAAAGATCGAAAAAATTTGGTAGGGCAAAATTTACGGCGGTCGTTTTAGCGGCCCCCGGTCGTTTCGGACGGTTTCGAGGCTGAAACGACCGGCGGTCGTCTCAGACGACCGGTAGTTTTGGACGGTTACACTCGTGCTCGCCTGTTTCTTGCCGTATCCCTCCACGCGCTTTCCATAAGCAGGCGGCTAGCTTCCGGTGTTCCGTTTGGCCGATAGATGTTAGCACACGCGTGCGCTTAGTATTCCCGTGCTTAGGCATACTATACTTTAACAGTGAAAAGCGATACCTCCAAGTTCCCAGCCCACTACAAAATTATCCGCGTCTTTTCACATGAAAGCAGAGTTTGGAACTTTGAAGAGAACGCCAAGGGCTACAAGCCTACAATATTTCCACGCGCTATCACGCATAAAAATTACTTTGATTTGTAGCTGTTAAGTCCCGATCTTTGTAATGTACAGAGTAATCTTTGTATTATTCTTCTGTTTGCTAGTGCAACGAGGAAAAGAAAGTTCTTTGTGAGCGCTGTGAAACCATCAGCGCAGATATTAAGCAGATCCAAATAAAGTACGAGAGACGAGCGGAGGAACAAGAAATGAGGTATTTCAGGGTGATGCCGAGTAAGCTCCCCGATAACGAATTCGGAAAGAAGTATCCGTAACTGTATTCAACTCTCGTGTAGACACCGGGACGATCTGAAGCGGGCGAGATCTCAGTGGGAGATATCAGAAAAAGAGCGGCAGAAAAAATGGATACAGCAACGTGCCAACCAGATCAAAGAAAGCACTCTGAGAAGTAAGCAAGCAGCTTCAGTACTGATAGCAGGGTTTGCTTAAGCAAAACAGCAAGAGTAATAAGGTAATCAATCGAAGTGAAGCAAAGGTATGTTCTGGAAAGCGAGTACATATGCGGTTTCTGCATAGTAGCAGCATCTGTTCATATGCCTATTTATGAGCAACCGCATTCGCAAACATTTTGTAGGTACAAATTGCAAGCGCCCAAAACAAAAAAGAGGAGCGCTTCACGCGGCAATCAGTATTTTGCGGTATGCGGGCTTTTGTCTTATTAATTTTGCTGTTTGTAGTAAACGCGATTAAAAATCGTGCTGTTGAGTGCATTAGCAAAAACGTGCTGTAGTCTTGAATTTAGGCCACTAAAAATTTTCCTTAAAATTTAATACGCCAAAGTACGGCATACATGCATTTTAACTTATGACCTTTAAGGTGATTAGTACCCCTTTGTACAATTTAATGCATGACCCGTTAACAAAGAAGCAGGATGCGCAGGCGGAGCGAATAAGTGAAAATTCACTGAGCTAAGTACTTCGATGTTTTTTGAAGCACTGCAACTGCATATTTAGCGAATATGATTGTCATCAGCTTCTGACGTACATGTAGACTGTACAGTACATTTCGGATCCTGTAATCGCGAGCTGGAGCGTTTGGTAATGCGTCCTTTGTCCGAAGTGCGAAGGCATACTATTGCATTTGTTAAAATCCGAAAAAACTCAAATTAGTAAGCTTTCAGTGCATCAAGCGAAAGGATTTGTAAATCCAAGGCTTATTTAAGCGAGCTCTAACCTAACTTTTCGCATTAATTTAGCCAAAAGAAATTGTGAAAATTCAATCAGGTTGGCTGCAGCATGAATTTCGACAGGAAAGGAAACAATTCTCGAGGAAGGGTAAGCACTTGTCGTTTGGGCCTTTTGTTGGTTCCCTGCACAGCACGATGGCAGTCTGCAACAGAGCAGTTTCACGCTTCGCTTCGGTCTCATGATGCCAGCGTAAAGCAGTACACTTCCCTAGTTTCGTAGCAAGGCAGCGTATGGAGCCGGCAGAAACGTGAGCGGGTTACTGCAATGGTTTACGATCAAAGAAACCGCTTAAATGAAAAACGCGATTAACGGTTTCAAAAAAATAAGACTGTCATGAAACGCGGCTTGACCAAATCCAATATCAACATATTGGAACGTGTAAACTACCATCAGGTGGGTGTTGTAATGGCTACCTGTTAATCGCAGATTAACAGGCTGCTGGATGACGCGTATTGCGTACCCTGCCGTCACGTAAGACAGAAGATCCAACAGTAAAAAAATTTAAACTATCATTAATTTTCAGCACCGCATCTTCCAGCCGACTGTTACTCTGCGAAAAATAGGTAACCATTAAAACATTCACCCGATGGTTGTTTACACGCTTCAATATCGAACTTTCAGTGAAACCATTCAGTTTTCACGCGCGCCCCCACAGGAAAGATTTCAGAATGGTATCAGTATTCAGCAAGAAAATCCGCATCCGAATATCTACAGGCTACAGCCACCCCGCATACGTGCACCTGATAGAACTCGCTATCGTGCATCAGAGCATTTGCTGGCGGTGACCGACGGTTTAAACAACAAGCGGCAAACATCGAAGTGCTACATAATTATGCTTGTAAAATTGCTACAACAACAAAGTAACACATCTAACTTGGCTTTTGGCCTAATGTCAATGAACAATTAACCGTCAGATTTGCGGTTGACCCTTAAGGGGACCACTATGAGATGACTTTTCGTTTAATAAGTTTCAAATTTTAACATCAGCTTGTAGGGAATTTTTCGGGCTTCCAGAGAGTGTGTACCAATACGATATCGTAAACTGTGATCATAAGTTATTAGTAAAAAAACATGACCGGGTCAGCAGCGGCGTAATAAATGCAGTGATGTTATCGGCTAGCCATGGCCAGCCACATGGCAGATATGTCCCAGAAGATCTCAGACAGAACACCTGATGCTGTCCTCTGGCCGGAGCAAACACATTCTTCCCTCTCAAGCTATGTCCTGTCTGATCTCTTTCTGAAAGCGCGGGCATGGGTAGCCGGCTCTGGCACACATTGCTGCCGGTCAGTCAACAAGCCTCCATTCAGCTGACGTTTTCCAAAACTAGTTAAAGGGCTTTAAAATCGATAACTTCATTGTAAAACTTGCTACACTTTCCAAATGGGCATCAGATAATGTGTTATTTTCTAGAAAGCTTATATACCGACACTCCGCTGTAGTCCAACAAAGCATGTTTGAATATTTCAAAAAAACACTTTTCAAAAAGTGTTTTTCTCAATTTTTTTGTAAACTAACAACATTTTTTATTAACATGTTGGAGAATATAAGCTTTCCAGGCTAAAACACATCCAATGATGTGTATTGCATCTCATTCGTAAATACTTTCTCATTCAACTTTTGATTCCAAAGTTTTTTCTTTGTTTCTTGAATAGCTCTGTCTAGACAGAGCGCAGACAAGATCGCAGCACACCATTGTGTGGCGAAACCTTTTGCGCATGCAGTCAGAACAATGGCAACAGTGTTCTTTCAGTTGTTTTAAACTTATTCATGTTTTCCCAGACCCACTTTCATCTCATAGCCCTCCCCTTAATCGGTTGGTGGTACAGTCGTCGGCTTTTTTTGAAGTTTTTTTCAAAAGCTTCTCTGTAGGCTAATCATCAATATTCACTAATCTATCTACGGTACGGTTAGCTTAAACGCCTTCGCATGAAGGCTGACAATAGCCATAGTGTCTATCGTGGTGTCGTTAGCTGATCAGTAGTAGCCGCCACCAGTCCCACAGAAAGGTTTTACATCAAAGGTACCGCCAGCAAAAGGTTTTGTTCAGTCCGGCACTGGCAGGAAGGTTTACGCTACTTTTTTGGTCGCAAAACTAATCCTTAAACCTTTCCACCGAAGAAAAGCGTATACATATTGTAGTACGTTGAAGTACCGTAATTTTGCAGTGTTAATTGTGAAAGCCTGCACCTTTGAACAAATTTGTTTGCTCCAATTTATTTTCCTTTGTTTGCAAACCCAAGGTGTGGAACCAGAAATAGAGCGTATATTATCTTTGCACAAGGATGAAATGCGACAAGTACAGGAAGCTTACGATCATCATCGCCGTAAGTCTGAAGAAACGGCGAACTTAGCTATTCAAGAGAAACTCAGTCATCTGGAACACAAATTTGCTCAACGTGCTGACGACATTCGGAAGCAGGAACGCCAATTAGCCGACGACCTGTAAGCGCAAAAATATGCAGCGTCATCCGATTCTGAATATCATAATAATCACACTTCAGATTATAAAAGAACTAGTCGTACTATAATAATGCCTTTGCAGTATTTTAATAAAAGGGGCAGGCAACTGCTTGGGCAAGGAATACCTGTGCTTGCTAACGTCACCCGGCTGGAGTATGACGTTGCGGTAACACATCTGGTTAAATCTGGCGCGGTACATAAGCACCAGTTTAGCCAAAACGTAAACACCAGCCGGGTGGCGGCACCAAGTACAGGGAGCGCTTGCCTAAGCAACTGTCAGCCCTTATATGTCTGATTCTGTCGTAGTACTGTACTGACACTGTCTTAAGGGTCAGCAAAATCCCTGGACCGCCCGCGCTAGTTGTCGGTTCCTTTGACATCATTGAAGCCGACGCCTAGTGCGGACGGTCCAGGGGATTTTGCTGACCCTTAATATCGTGTCAGTACAGAACTTTGTATGAAACACATTTATAGTTCACACAATCTTACCGTTATAAATGTTGGTTTGGTTTTAAGTTACAATTACCTGGTAAGCCCGCACAAATTTTAATCACAATGCTCGTACCGGTGTAAGGTTAACGACGTCGACTATCATACGTACTTAGTAAGAAAAAGATCAATATTACGCGCGGCCTCCCCACAGTCTGGAGATCTCGCTAACCAAAAACTTTTAAAAAAATCTGATACCACAGTTAGATCGGCCGTGGTCCAGAACTGCGTCACATGACCTTTGTTTTTGAATACGTCCGATCAGAATCGTGGCGGCATGATGCCGCAAACGATCCAACCCAGTTTCAAGGTGACCTTGAAACTTTGAAAAATTTTGCCTGGATACAAAACGCAACAAATTTTTAAGTACGCAAAACGCAAGTTAAACGGAATAAAATGACCTCGTTTTCGTACAACACCAACCATAAAATTAAATAATCATAAGTCAGCTTATCGATTTTTTTGTCGGCACATTTGTAATATAATGGTTGGTCTTAACCATACGGACATCGGGCTGTTTGATTTTGGCAGGACCACTCTTCTAAACAACTGCTAAAAGCAAATAGCCGGATTTATTATTTTAAGGTGAGTGAGTGGCCGAGATACCTTCACTGACCAGCGAGCGAAATCGCTAATTGAGTGAGTGAGTTACCGAGCTACCACTGCCGTCTAGTGAGCAATATCGCTAACTGAGTGAGTGAATTACCTACCGAGCTACCAGCCTACCACTGCTGTCCAGTGAGCAAAATCGCTAATCGAGTGAGTGAATTACCGAGCTACCACTGCTGTCCAGTGAGCAAAATCGCTAAAGGAGTGAGTGAATTACCGAGCATCACTACTGTCCAGTGAGCAAAACCGCTAATTGATATAGTGAGTGACCGAGCTACCACCACTATCTAGTGCTCAAAACGCTACGTGAATGTGTAACCGAGCAATTCATTGATTCAGGCCCTGGATTACAAGAAACGCGGAGGTGAGACCGCATCTGTTTCTTCTAAACTAACACTAACGCTAGCTTTCAAAGACCATGCTAGCGCTGCTTTCCAGTGTACGGAACCCGTTAGGTGAACTAGTGACCGAGCTACCACTACTGTCCAGTGTAACGAGTGACCACGCTACCACTACTGTCCAGTACAGAGAGTCCGTTAGGTGAACGAGTGATCAAGCTACCGCTACTGTTCTGAGCACAGAGCCCACTAGGTGGGCTAGTTACCGAGCTATCACTTCTTTCTAGTGGACAGAGCTCATTAGGTGAGCGGGTGACCGAGATACCGGTAATGTCCCGTGTACGCAGCCCGCAAGGTGAGCGGGTGACCGAGCTGCCCTTACTGTGAAGCATCAGGTTGGGGTTCAGAGAATCATGGATCTAGAGGAGAGATTCAATACTGGTCTGAGAGAATCGTAATTATTACATAAAACCGGTGTGTTTGCGCTATTGCGATGTACCGATCATATTACCACGAAATATTGATGTTGTATTAATAAGTAAATATTCAATCGAAATCAAATAAAGTGGCCGCGGATCACAAGAAACGCGGAGGCGAAGCCGAGGCTGTTTCTTGTACTTTACTATTATTACTTCACATAACTGGCGACCCCAAAACCAATTAACTTCAGAGTCCATAAAAAGTGTCATGTGAAGAACTTTTGACAGATGCAATCAAAAAGCTGCCGAGATTGAGCAGCGACTGCATCTGGAACTAGCTAAAAGAGATGAGGAAATGTGCGTTAACAAACAAATTTACGAAGAACGCCTGCAAACACAAGCCGACGATTTTGTCCGTTTGCGCTATGAATTTGGAAAGGAAAAACAAAAGGAGCTGGCGCAATGTAATGAAAAGGCCAAAGCCGATCTGACAGAATCAGAGCAACGGCATCAGGTACCTTCGTATTCGGTACTAATCAGTAGTAAATACTTAGAACTATGTTGATAATTAATTACGACAGATACCAAACACCGCAAAACATAAATACAACAGATTACAAAGCATACGATCGTCAACACAGTAAAAACGTTCCCGCTCGCTCTTCCATTCCGTATTTTTATGAGAACTATAGGACTGCTTTCAGCCGGCGCGGACGCAGGCGTCGCTCTTACTGTACGTACCGGAATTATCGGATTTTCCCCGCAATAAGAGCCCCGCCCCCGTAATTAGTGATGGGCCGGCCCGGCCCAGGGCCGCGGCCCGGGCCGAGGTCGGCCCGGCCCTTTTGGGAGGGCCGCGGCCCTCGGCCCAGGGAGAAGGGCCATGGCCCGGGCCGCGGCCCGGGCCGTGTAGACGACGGCCCGGCCCTCTTGCTCGGGCCGGGCCGCGCCGGGCCTGGCCGGGCCGGGCCGACCCAACACTACCCGTAATAAGCCCCCCTTCCCGACCCTGTTTGAAAAATAAGACCACCCCCCGAAATTACACCCCAGGGGGCCGTTAATAAATGTCGAGCGCCGCAAAATGATAGGTATACCGCAAAATTCAGCCGCAAAAGTTGTTGTAATTTATTGAGAAACAGTTAACGGACATCAATATAATGCGGTGTTCGTTGGCAAACAGCTGTATAAGGAGGTATACACTCCAAAATGTTGCTCCCAAGGTAGTGCAGCTGCATATACCGTAATTATCGAATTGGAAGCCCAGGGTTACAAAGATTTCAAATGACCCACGGGGTGGGCTCCAATTACGGGCATGGGCTTGTATTTAGGGTGGGGCTTCAATTTTTCAAACCAGCTTTTTGGCATTTTTTAATATGGGCTTTACGGTATTTAATTAATTTGCCGCTAGGTGCGTGCTACTTTTAGACTTACCAGTTACTGTCGGTAACAGGCGCTCTTCTTTGAACTTAAGTATGCGGTAACAGTGTAATGTTATAATATCTCACAAGTATATGTTGTACGTGTTTCTCCCGTGATAAAGGTTCAACAAATCACCAGAGTTAGAGGGCGTGAAATTCATAGCTTGGCATATGCTCGTCTAGGTGGAAATTGAACGCCGCCTAGCAGAGGTTAATCAAAGCTTCGAACTATGGAAAAAGGACCACTTTAAGTCTCAAGTAAGCTTTCGAAAGGACTGTGAGATTGTGCCTGCTTGTGATCAACACTTGTCTTACTTGTGCAGAGCGTATATTAAAGCGTAATCTGAGCACTAAAGATACGGACCCGAAATACAGTTACAGTGCTGCTCGTACGTACGGATTGAAATCAGGGCCTATGTATGAATGGCTAGGATTGGCCAGTTTCCGGCTTATTAGAACACGATTGCATTCTAAAAAGCCGGAGATTTGCATTCGGGTTCTTATCAACACTCCATAGTGCGCAGGTTATGCTCTGTTAAAGCATTCGTGCGAAAATTTATTTTGTTACATAGAAGGAAGGGAAGCGAATTTGTTCTTGTTGCAGTCGTATGTCGTTACGAGAATCGCTTTGCATTTACCTGTTCATTAGCTTAACATGTACGAGTATGTGTAACTGAAATAGTAAAATGAGCAAAAGGGTACCACTACAGGATCTTGTGCTAGCGAAAAAATTTGACGAGATGAAGCTTGCAACCAGGATTTCCCGCGATGCTGAAATAGCAGAAGCCATGGGCATATTAGCGAGCGAGATCAGCAGATTGCAGCTGGATATGGACGTTCGCATTAAAGCCAAGATGGTCCGGTTACACGAAGAGCACCAGAGCGAAGTTACTGAGCTTCAGGAAACAGCTGACCGATGGAAAGTGGTCGCTAACAACGCAACAGTTGAGTGGACGTTGTCCACAATTAAGAAACCAAAACAAACCCAAAACACTAAAAAAATTTGTGGAACTATATCTACAACGAATACTTTAATTTACTACCTTGCGAGCGTTTCAACGTTCGTTTTCTTTTTAAACGAGCGCGGCTTTCGCTGCATTAGCCTAACCGCTAAAAAAACTGTTTGTTTGTAGGAGCAGTTAAGATTTCGTGACAATCTTACTAAAAGTCACCAGGACATGCAAACAAAATTGGAATGCGAGTTGCGAGCATGCCAGCAGGTATTTGTAGGGATCTCGCAACGTACAAAACGATGTACGGTAATATTAGTTAACCACAAAAAAACTTGTAAAAAACTGCGTAGTTTGTGCTTGTGGTGATAGTTACTTATCCCCAGGTGAATTATTGAATGGCGTTTTTAAGTCCTCTTGCCCTTGCAATTATTACGACACTTAATTTTCATGCAGTGCTGTTGAATGCACCACATTTTCTAGGTACGCTAAAACTGATTACAGACACATGACATTGTTTTAGTAGTGTGCCTTACCACAGACTGTGTGTAGTCACTGTAGTGTGCCTTGCAAATAAACAGTGCTACAGTACTTAAAGTTTAAATTTAAAGTGTTGTCAGAGCGGCATCCGCTCTCTATAGGATCGTTCGATAGAATATTTCATTAGATTCGTATGCTTTGCCGATAGCCTAGTGGTGCCTCTCCCGGCCTTAGAGTATGGAGGTTGTGGGTTCGATTCCCTCAATCGGCAGATTTTTTGCGAGTGTCTGTGTGAGCCTAGCCCAGCCCTTTCAGTGTGCTACTTAAAGTTTTTTAAAGTTTAAATGTAAATGGCATTGGCTTGTACAAGTTGCAAATAAAGATATTAATATTATTTTCTAAAAAAAATAAAATAAAAAACAGTCCTGCTACTGTTTATTTGCAATGGTACCAGAACTCCTGTCATCGTATATTCGTATGTACCTAAATATCGAATTCGCACCCCTGGGGTGCAATGCTCAAACGTACCGGAGGAGGAGGGCTTATTTCGGGAGGGGGACGCTATTTCGGGGGATGGTGTTATTTTTCAAACAGTACAATGTTTTTTGGAGTGAGTTGTTATACTTCTATTTCAAACAACTGCGCAGTCTGTTCTACTGAAACTGAATGCAGTAGTCACCGATATTTACAGTTTCAGTGTTCACAACCTCACCTTAAAAATGTTCTTTCTAGTGACGGTTTCTACCTACAGCTGTTTCCCAACGAATGGCTGTTTACGGTTTCCCCATTAAGTCATAAAATTATAATAAAAGAATTTGCAGTATGCCAAACATTTTGTGACGCTTAACATTTATTAACGCCAGCGGTGGCAGTAATTTCGCGGGGAGGTTCTTTTCCAAACAGCCATGCAAGGGGGGTTTATTACGGAGGGCGTCTTCTTATGAGGGCAGGTGTAAATTCGATGATTACAGTATTTGGAGAAATATTACGTACTCTACTCTTGCATCGATGTTTCGGTATGTCAAAAATCTGCGATTGTGTACCTACGTAGTCACTTGAAGCGATGAAGCAAGAGCGCACAACTTTACTGGAAGACACAGTGAAGACATATAGCGAGCGTCTGCAGAATATGGACATTCAAGTGCAACGGTTGACCAAAGAACTGGCGGAGAGCCATGACATACGAAAAACGGAAACAGATAGTCTACAGAAGCGAATTGCCATCATGAAACGGGAAAACGATTCTGCACTCGATGCTATAAGCGAAAAGTATTACTCCTGTTAGATGTTACTGTTGCTGGCTCGACTTTATCTTGTAAGTAAAAAAACAGTTAAGCATCGAATATCAGGTGGCTGTGTTTTGTTACAGAGTGAGGCCGATGTTAAGCAAAAAAGACGCCAAGATTGATATGCTTCGGCAGCAACTGTTAGCGGTACATGAGCAAAACGCACAAACAGCTGTTTCCCACAACCGCAACAAGCTGCAGCCTGCCCAAATTCGTTCCATATCTGCCGCATCACGCTCGGGGTCGAACAGACATATCCAGCAAGCCCAAAAGCAGGGAAATGGGAAATCCTAAATGATCGACGGCTCTAGACTCCAGTTGTTTGTTGTCAATTGAATAGACAATTTGGGCAAAGTGCGGCAGTAGCAATACAAATGGCTATAGCCATAGCCGTCTCGTAGACGGACCACGGGACGGCTATTGCTACAGTCATTGGTATTGCTACTGCCGCATTTTGCCCAAATTGTCTAATGTGTTCTAAAAGCTTTTCCCCATGGTTCGGTTTCTATCTTTTTGTTCGCAGTGCTCTACTACGTAGAAAGCGAAATTTTGTAACCTGCAAGGCACGTTACCTAGTTGAAAGCAAAAGTCATAAAACAAAGAACAAAGCTCTTAAAACGCTTAAACTCTTAAAACAACAAACTCTTAAAAAATACAACAGGTAGGTAAGTACGAGTACGTGCAGTGATTTAAAAAAAAATATGACAATTGAGCGTTCAGTGAGATTGTTGGCTGGCAAAACTGGCTCGAGACTTTTCTGATTGTTCGCCAACTGAACTAGCTGCTGTCGACGGCGCAGGTGATGCAGCGGGTGTCGTGCCTTTGCCAGCTTTTCTTTTGGCACACATTTGGCTGCGAAACTCTCTCTCCAAATTCCTCCTTTGGTCCACCTTTTTGGCGAAGTAGCTGTAAAATACGAATAATTAGCGCAAAATTAAGAGGCATTTGTACCGACTTATTACTCAGCAGAAAACGCGAGGACGTCCGTGGGCGAGTTACGCAGTACATCTTTAGCGTAGTCCTTCAGCATTATCCAGACTGCGTCGCTATACGCGCTTGCGTAAATCTTTGGAGCTTTGGCAAGCTTGGATGGCTCAGGTTTCGGTGGTTCCGGTTTTTTTTTCGGTTTCTCTTTTTCTTTGTCCTCTGCCGGTGGGGGTTGAGTGGTGGATTCATTTGATTTAGGAGATTTGTCAGATTTGCCGGATTTCGGGGATTTGCCTTTCTTATCAGTTTTTTTGTTGTCACTTTTACCTCCTTTTTTGTTGTCACCCTTACCATCTTTTTTAGCGTTACCTTTGCCTTCTTTTTTGACTGCAGAATCCTGTGGTCTTGTCTTTTTGTCACCTCCGGGACTGCTGCCGGCACTTTTTGTGCTTTTAGCTGCACTAGCTACAGATTTCGAATTAGATGAGAAACTGAGTCTACTACCTATAGACTGGTGTTAAACTGCCTGCAACCAGTGAGGTACCTTCTGAGCCTACACTTGACGAAGATCCAGCCATGAAACTAAACCGATGCTAGAATAATAATGCTCCGCACACTAGTAATTCCAGAAAGTACGTAATAAGAATTTTTAGAAATACACGAAAATGATAGGAATATTATTAGCATAAACGGAAGAAAGCACACTACATTACAAATCGGTTAGATTTGCAATTGGCCCAAATGAGTAAATAGTGCGTGTAATTAGCATATTGCGTATAAAAACACTTGTTACCACGTCATGTTTTGCATTGATACTTGTTATCTTATGCAACAACAACAACATGCAGTTTTGCCTGGATTCTATTAAGTATCGGCAGAGGATGACATCACCGTTGCTTTTTCCCAATTTCAGTTTTGCCAGTGATAAACTACTGACGGAATATCTGATCGAAGTACTAGTATATGCACACATGCACTAACGATAAAGTAAGCGAATGGCAGTTCGATGAATTACAACTTCATTTTTCGGCATTAGCCAGTGCACATTTCCCACTCTTCAACCCATCCCCGACAAGATTTCAGCCCTGAAACGGTGAACGCGTTACAATGTTTAAAATTTGCTGACTCGCCGATACGGATCGTGATCCAAGAAGTTTTCATGACAAGAAGTATGAGTTTAACGACCAACTAAACGTGTTACATGAGGTTAATGTTACTTCGGCGGTGCTCGCTTTCCCTGCCGGCCCACCATTCAGACGGGATGCCTTTCGGACGCTTTGATGGCTCAGCGGCGGCCGCTGCTTTGTTGCTGTTACGTTTTCCACACGTTGTTTCGAGCTGTTCTTGTCGCGTCTGCTCGTGCGCTAGCGTCACGATTTCTTATTTTTACGTTTGTTCAGTTCTTGTGGACAATGTTAATCTGTGGACAATGTCTGGAATAGATCACTCGCTCGCGCGGCACCACAAGCTCCCGCGGCATCCACGGCGGGCAGAGGACACGCGCAGCGGCCGAACTCAGCAGCGGCAGGAAGCGATCAGCGGACAATCCTGACGCCACTTCCGCCACGAAACGGATAGCGTCTACGATCGTAGTTCCCGCTGAGTCCTCCATCAGTTCAGCATCACAGATCACGACTTTGTCATCCCAGATTGCAGCCATGCAGCAGCGAATAAAGCACCTGGAGGTGCAACAAGAAAGCTCCAGCCGCAACGCGCTGGATGTTGACGGGTCCAGGCCACAGCGCTCTCTATCACCGTCCTCTAACCGGGTCACTGCGGTGCAAGGTAAGTATACCGACAGTGTACTTGAGGCTCCTTTACCAGCTCGCCGACCGGTGACCGAGCGGCTCGGAGACCAGTCAACAATATCCCGTCCAAGTGCAGAGACCTAACCGCAGTTCCGAAGAAAATCCGGGATCAGCTAGTGGACCGCGAGCGGTTCGTCGACCTGGCGGACCGGCTGCCACAAAACAGAACACCATCCAAGCGGCTAGCTCCCGGCACGCGTATGGTGCTTGACGAAAGCACCGGCAAATACACCTTCACGGCCGCGGCAAAGAAAGAGCAAATCACGACTTTTGCCGCCTGGGCGCACGCCTTGGGAGTGTTCATGCACGCACCGGAATTCACGGGGCCAATGCTGAAATACCTGGGCATGATGAGTCTATCCGCCGATCCCAGTCGCGGTTACAATCTTGGGCACGTCTTTGAATACCATGGTCAGAATTACGCAACGAACAATCCCGACGACACCAAAAACTGGACCAGAAAACATGACGACTTCTTCCAGAATGCCATCGTGAGCCCGGTTGTCACCGTTGCCAGCACAGTCCCAACGAGCAGCAATAAGTACAAGTCAGCCAAATGCAGTCGGTGTCATCAGGTTGGCCATATAGCAGCAAACTGACCCGATCAAGAGCTTTTTCGGATTAACTCCGCCGCAGACGGAGAAATGTAACGGAAGCTGAACCGCGGCATCTGCTCAACGCCATGCGCTGGAAACCGCAAGCGTGTCTGCAGCTCCTGTGGCTCCGACTTTCACGGCGACTATGTCCACCGTCAAGCGGGGACTTCCAGCAACAGCGGCCGATTCAAACCGGAGAACCCCGCTTAATGCAGATGAATTTGCGCGGCGGCTGGCTGATCATCGCGATCAGCAATTTGTTTCATCAGTTTCATGTATTACCAACAGCGCCGAGTTGAAATACAGCGGTTTATTACGTTCTCGTTTTACCCCCAATAGCTCACCTATAGATATCCATAAGAGCATCGCACAGAGCACCATCGATCAGTAAGTGGAACTGGGACACACGAAAGGGTCCTTTACAAAGCCTCCGTTCATTCCTTTTACAGTGACTGCGCTTAACATGCGCGTGAAAAAGAGCGGCGGTCATCGCATGATGATGGACCTTTCCTGCCCGGCGGCAGACTCCGTGAACATGCGCATTCCCAAAGACGATCCCCCGTTACGATTCTACAACGTCGACGATGCTGTACGGTTGCTCTTGTAATTCCCAGTCTGTGCTGTGATAGCCAAGCTGGACGTGCAGTCAGCGTTCCGTCTAGTGCCGGTTAGAGAAAGTCAGCACCATTTGCTCGGATACAAAATGTGCTGAAAATACTACTTTGACGTAGTACTGCCTTTTGGGTGCAGGTCTGCCCCAGCATATTTTCTGCAAATTTTCTGACGCAGTTTTGTGAATATTTAAGCGCGAAACCGGCCAGGCTGCATTTTTTTATACTTGGATGACTTTCATCATCGCTCAAGACGCGAGCGAGTGCGCGGATTTAATTCGTATACTGTACTGCTACCCTGCACTTGTCCATTTATTTTGCAGTGCAGGCGCACGTACGTTGTATGAGCCCATTCACGATTCACATACACGGCCTGCAACTGCGTGCAGAGAGCAGGCAGCTGACTGAACGTGAGCGGCTTTAGCTCTCACTCGACTACAGTGCAGTAGGCTCAAACCGTACAAAAGTCTGGACAAGTGCAGGGTAGCAGTACAGTATTCACAGATTTATGCGCTGACCTCGGTGTATCGCTATACGAACAAACTAGAAGGACCGGCGCCGGCCATCATTTTTCTCGGGATCCGCATCGATTTTGTTTCCGAAACTCTTTCCTTGCCAGCTGACAGTTTGAGCGACATAATGTCACTCATGACCACCTGGGAGTCGACTCTGTGCCCGCTCCATGACCTGTAAAGCCTAATCGGCACGTTGCAGTTTGCATGCCGATGCGTGCCGGCGGCAAGGCTGTTCCTGTGAAGAATGATCCGGCTCATCAGTGGTAGCGACAAACGGCCGCTTGCTCAGATACACCTAAACGCTGGATGCCATTTTGATTTTCAGTGGTGGAAGAAGTTTCTGCCTCTATGGAACGGCACGAGCAAGTTCCTCCAGCCAACATGGTCGCATCCGAATATTTACGGACGCATCAGCCCTTGGCGGTATCTGTGGTTCCTGTGACAGTGAGCGGTTTCAGTCTCGTTGCGTGGGTCATCGAAAGGAAGCCCAGCATCGAATACCTGTAAATGATGGCCATCCTATCTGCACTGCATATCTGGACTCAGAAGCTACACCGCATGCAAGTACTGCTGCTTTGTGACAATCTAGGGGCCTCCCAAGCGTGGAAGAAGCTGGGTTCACAGCATAGCAGAGTGGCTGTCTCTAACGATTTGTGGTATACTTGTCATGTATAGCTGCCGCCGTATCGCACGGAACCCTGCGCGCTGGCTACCCAGCTGTTGGTGCTGCTTACTGCTTACAGCACTCTCCGTTCTGTGTCTGAATTCTTAATCTGATTTAATGCCCGAGTACGATTAATACTGCTGGACAGCCTTCCATCGTAAGTCAGCAATTATTTTTAACATTATGTTAGTTTAGCAAAGTATGAGTTGGAATGAATTGTGTTGGTCGCATAACCTCATTTTTCATTTTCGGTCTGTATTTTTGAAAAAAAACTGTATACTCGTACCGTTTGGCGGGTTCCCGCTGATCTGGTACCCAGAACGCCAGAAGTGTTTTGAACCGTCTTCATTTCTTTTAGCTAAAAAAATACTGCATAGCAATACCTAAGCGCACCTTGTTTTGGTGGTCTTCAATAAGTTATATGGCATTATTTATGCTTTAAAATTGTGGTGATAAAATCTGGAAGCATAATGTCAGCACCCATCATGTCAGTCTCTGTGTCATGACTGTTGTGCGCATGCGGTCGAGTTTAGCCCGTACATACATTCATGCAAAACGTGTAAACGGGCGCGGTTTTGCGTTCGATGTCTGTATGTCAAGGGTGAAAAACGGTGTAAGTCCGCGTTTGAACTCTGCGCATATTATATAATACTGATATCGCTGATTAGCAAGGTGCTCCGCTCGTCAAACTGACTGGGTGAGGGAGAAACCAACTCGCCTACTCGAAGCGCAGCAAAATACAGAACTGTGAAAGTGCTCCAGACGAGACGTTTTTTGTAGTCGGTTACTGCGGCCGATCTGACGCTATCTTTCAGCTGCCGCTTGATGTCCAGAGTGATACGGAGACGGCAATCCGGCACTGTGGGGCGAATGGGCTTGCAGCCATCGATGGCTCTTCTGTTCACTGCCGGCGACACAGTGGGATTCGGAGATTAGCCTCAGCGTGCACATTGCCGATTTCTGCAAAGTAAACTCTGACTGTAGCAGGTGATATTTGCTAGAGAAAGAGGTGTCCTACAAACCGTAGCACGGTTGTTTCTGCTGCCGGGAGAAACAAGGCGCGTCACTGCAGAACTGTTCGAATCGTGACCAACCGGCGCCGTATGTTGTTCTTGTCGAAGAAGCAAGATGGTGATATTGTAGGCGCGCTACCGCTACGTCTAATCTGTCGGGAGGTCGAACGTGGTTTCCAGCTCCGTCCAGATGTCCGGAATAGCTTCCGGAGAGTTTTTTGCGAATGGTGCCAACTTGCGGAAGCGTGTTACCTGAAAGCGTGACAATGCGTCAGCAATTCCATAATATCGCATTTATTAATAGCACTATTTTCACAGTGGAACTGGCAAGGCTGATAGCGCTGACATGCGCCGCATTACGGAATCAATTATGTAATACGCTGGTCAGCTGCAATAGGATATCAAAACCAAATTGGACAATATGATCAGGCAACAAGTAATCAGTAAACACGGGCGCACGTGGTCAAACGCTGACATTTTGCAGTCTAATCTGGAATCCCAGAACGCAGGCTTCCCTGCTGCATAAACCCGATACAGAAAAAAAAACTTTCTATTTTCCACAGTAATGATTTAGGCCAGTAAGTTTGAAAAATTAACTTAGAAAAAGAAGGAACCCGTTGTTTTACTCAGAATCTACTGCCATGATTGCTTATGCTAAGATAAAGTATGGGAAACAATCACGTGGTTTCGAATTTTGCCATTGGCGGTGGGCAGCCTCGATCTAACTCATAATGCTGACGCACCAATCAAGATCGCAAAAACGCGAAGTTTGTAAGTAGCTGGGCGTCGCTTAGACCCGTTACAAGGTACGCCTCTCTTCGTAACGGGTTTCGTCGACGCCCACCGACAGACATCGAGCGAAAAGCGACTTACATCGAAGCCCAGCCAATTAGAACTTGGTCGCTTCGATGTAAGTCGCAGATGCTCGATGTAAGTCCGCGTTTTGACTTGGCGCATCCTTTCTATTCCCGGTTTTCTCGCGTGACAAAGTGTTTCACCTGGCGAACCGATCAATAACAGTTATGCCGGGTCGAACCCATGTTGCCTCACCAAATCATCAATGGTACAGAACATCTGTCGGCCACCAGCAATGCGCTGGCTGATTTGTCATCGCTCATCGCAAAGCTTACGCATTTTGAACATCCTTTGCCGGCGGATGCTTGGAAGATTGGGTGTGCAAAGTTGTTACTGGAATGTCGGTCATTTCCTTCCTGGCGATCTTGTCGGTACGATTGTATTGGCATGGCAGTACTGTTAATCGTTGTCATTTTGTTCCGCTTGCTTGTGAAACTTTCGGCAGACGGTGCAGCACATCTGCTAACTTGTTGAAGGATACCGGCAAGAAGCGAAAGTCGCTCCTCATGTTTTCTTTTTCAGCGTCTAAACCTTGAGATTTAACGTGGGAATGCCCAGTGCTCTGGGAACTGTGCCTTCCCATGTAAACTCGAAGGGATTTTTCATTTACATTAGATGTTGTTTATGCAGGAGTTGCCATTTGTAAATATATACTGTAGCTGAATGAAGTTATGATACCGATAAGAGTGATCCTGCGCTGCATTTTGTAAATTTTTCAGAGAAATTCACGGCTGTCATGATCACTTCTTTGGTTACTAATGCTGTTTTGGTTATACAAGAGAACAGTAACTGACTATTCTTGTTTTCCAGTAAAATGACGGCCTGTAACAATTAAGACGATGGCCTGAAAAATGGCAATGGGCTGTAAATGATGGACACCGGGTAATTTACAACGCCTGCGAAAAGATGTTCAAGGCGTTACGACCAGTTTATGGCTGACATGCGCAACTGAGCAACACACGATAGCGTTCATCATGGTTATTCGTTGGAAAGCGACAAATGTGATCGTCAAAATTATGGCGGCGGAATAGGTCTTGCTTATTGGGCTACGGTCTACGGTTCGACCCTGACCGAAAATTTAATTCTTTTATTCGACTGCATGCATAATGTTACAGAAATATCACAAGCAGAGCGCAAATAGCACTTAGTGCCAGACACTACTGTAGAACTGCATTAATTCCGTACCGTGTCGACTCAAGTACACTGAAATCATGCCCTGGACTGCTCGTTCTTTTGTTCCTCCAGTAACACTTCACGATATTGCCGTCTTAACCATTTGTGGCGTAACGCATCGCTGATGGAGTGACGATCTTTCGGGTTCGGTTCCATCATTCCTTCAAGGAATTCTTTTAGCGGTTCGGATATTTGTGCATCTTGCGGGTACCGCCATTTCTTTGCCATTTGCCTGCGTACCATCTTCGCTTGATCAGAATCATCAAACGGCATGAAAAAGCAAGCCATGATAAAGATGATCACCCCGGTTGACCACATGTCGTACTTTTTAGGATCGTAACTCTTGCGCGACAAAACCTCCGGCGCAGCGTAAGCGACAGACCCGCAGAACGTACTAGACGCAACCGGGTGCTGCCCGGACACCGCGGTTCCTTTTGGCGATCGTTGTGTTGACGTGGTGCTAGTTGTTCCGGAGCTGGACACAGCGGGAGCTTTATCGTTAAGTCTCGCAATTTCGTTTGAAAGAGCAGCTTTCTCAGATGCCCGTCGCGAGCGGGTAGGCGCTTTAAGGCAGCTTAGGGTGCCAACTTCGCTGCGCATAAATTCACGTATTTCCCGTATTTCATTCTGATCCATTTCGCTAGAATCTGCGAGGGGCAGTACACTTCGGGCAAAACCAAAGTCACCTAGTTTCAGCTTCGAGCTCGAATCAATGAGAATGTTTTCGCACTTAAGATCACGGTGAGCAATTTGTTGTTCCTCATGGAGATATCGAATTCCCATAAGAATTTGCAGACTCTTTTCGCGCGTTTCCTCTTCTTCCAGTGCGCGTCCTCGACGCTGGAGGTACCGCAAAAGGTCACCATTTTCGCAGTGCTGAAATTGTTTTGTAATTTTGTAGTTGTTTTTTTTGGCATTTACGTAAACGGCATCTTACATTATTCTCACTGAATACAAGACCACAACAACACCCCTGTATACGTACTTCGCTTGGTCCATTATTTTAATCAGTACCACTTTAGGGATCAATATATTAATCACTTTTACTGCAAAGATGCAGTGCTGGTCTTACTGCATAGATTGCATCCCTGATAAGCTGCACAGGCTGCATAGACTAAATGGAAATGCATAGACTGCATTTGAGTCAGCCGTGGTTGTTCATGTAGCCGCCCGCCACAGAGGCTGTCAATTCAGTAAAGTGATTAATATATTGATCCCTAAAGCGGTACTGATTAAAATAATGGGCAAAGCGAAGTATGGTAAATGCTAATTTTTTATCAATAATAACGGTGCGCGTATGAAAATAAGTAGCTAACGCCAATACTATACCGTAACGAATACGTACGTCCATGACTATGTAGAATAAATTGTGCGTTTTAAATATTCCGTGCACACATGTCACCCGCTCACTGTTGAATTTGCGGATTAACTAAAAAGAAGCCGTCCAAATATTGATTAGCTATACATTATAGGCGTACTTAGGAGTACCTTCAACTCACGCGGCAAAAAACGATCGACGAAATTGCCCATATTTTTTTTCTCATTGATGATTTTGCATGCATACGTTTTCCCATCCTCCAGGTGTTTTGCAACGCATACAGAGGCATATGAACCTTCACCCAGTAAACGAGTAGGGTCAACTTGAAAAGGGCCAATTATTATGGTAGACTCAGGGGAAGACGCTTCTTCTTTTGTATCGGGCTGCTTTTTGATTTCTGTATCTGTAGTCTCTCTGATTTTCTGGTCAACATCTTCGGCTTTAGTGCCATCCCAAGCCGCCGCAGGATGTGAATCGGAAGTTTTGTGCGCGCGCTCTCTTTTGCCTTGCGCCGCACTACTTTGGCGTCTGCGAGATTTGGGTTCCGGGTCCACCATGGCTGTTGCACCATTTTTATCCATGCCAGTAAATATTCGAGTATAAGTTTAATGAGCTGGAATCCGTGTGCGTAGTCGATTTACACCAAGATAACACTATTACAATCACATCATTAAATATTTCAAAAGTTTTGTAATAATTCCCGACTTTCGCACCAGAATACGTCATAAAGCAAAACAGTTTAATGAGACCCACAAAGACGTTATATCCCAAAATTTACATGCTTACATACGTACATACCAACATTGTGGGAGCTTTCTCAAATACAGTATTGCTAAGCGAATTCATATTTGGCAGTATCGTTTCAGTTGAAAGCGTAAACGTTTTGCGTACTGTACTTAGGTATTTTTCGAAACTATGACAATACCAAAATTTTTGGTATTGTCATATGTACTACAAGAGTCATCTTCGGCTTCGCCTCAGATGCTCTTGTGGTCTACAGTCGATTCCCTAAAAAATAGTTTTTGTATGATCGGAAGTTTGAATATTTGATGTATCTTTATATTCATACAATCTTACCGTCCGAAACGTAATTAATTTTGTTTTTTATGGATTCGTCAACGCGTGGTCTGATTAAGTCGAGCTTGGTCTTAAAACAATTCATATTTTTCGTAGGGAATCATCCTGAATTTTGATTTTTTTAAAACGTTCTGCTTAGAAAATTTTTCAAATGGTTCTTAAGTATAAGAAAACGTAAGGAGTACTTAAGATACTTAAGCATTCATAAGTAAAGATTACGTAAGTACTGTACTGTAACCATGGATATTTATTTATTAGTTATATGAATACTAAACATCTCTTGCAGGTGTTCGGCCTCTCCTCGTTGTCCCGAGTGATCTCAGTTCCTACTGAACCAATTTTCTTGCTTTAAAACATTCTGGAATCTATTCAGGGCGGTGGGTGTTGTGCAGCTAATGACCTTTTGTTTTTGTGAAATTCCTAAGGACAGCGGTCACTCAAAAGCTTGTTACCATGGATGCCATAGGGCTAATATGAGCTGGTCTGTTACCACGGGCATGTTATACATCATGCATGTTATAAGTACAGTACTGCACTTGCACAAGAAACAACTTTGGCTTCGCCTCTGCGTTTTTTGTGATTAACTGACGGAAAACCTGCATTAATAATTATATTTCAGTCAGTTCATAATTTGATATAGTTACCTTTTAGATTTTGATGAGATCTGAAATAAGTCAAAAAGCACACCACCCTTTTCTTGTATTTCACTTTGTCACTGTCGCACCTTGGGGCCCAGTGCCCTGAGCTGTACCAACAGTTCGGTAAATCTCTCACCTACAGCAACCCAGCTCACTTAATACTACAACCTACCAAAAATCCTAACTCACATATTTACAGTACGCAGTACCTAGTCGTAAGCCAATATTCATCCGTGCTCAGCTTGTTAACTACATCCGTAACCACGTATACACGATTGATAATGTCGCTAATGTTTGGGCGAACGGCTGAACCGATTTCGACGCGGCCAAGTGCGCTAGATTCGTCTCAACGGCGCGAATGTTCTTACGTTATTGCGCCATCGATACGCCCCAACGGGAAGCAGAACCCCAAAACAAACTGTTGCCATGGGCCCCCGTAGGCTAACATAAGCTAATGCGGAATGACAGAGACAGACCGCGCCCTTCGGCATCGCTTCGCTAATAATTCATGGAAAACTGTGAAAAACGCTACAAAATAAAGGTTTCTTATATTTCTTCGGAGTCTTAAGTTTTCTTAGGTTTCTTAGTCTTCTTAGACTTCTTAAATTTTCTCAGAATTATTCTCACATTCTTAGTTTTCTTGGGTTTCTTAGGGTTTGTTAGGTTACTTGTTTTGCTCAAATTATATTTCCAGTTTTCTTGAGCGGCTGAAATCAACCTTCGTCGAACTAGTGCACGACACAAAATTTGGTGCGGATGTAGATACCGTAAACTGGTTATATGAATACTAATCAGAGGTTGCCCATCTCCATTTTATTATGGGAATGGATCCCATTTTTTCCCCATTTACCATTTTTCCATACTAAAATGGTATGGATGGGAAACTGTATTTATGGATGGAGATGGATGGGAAAAACGAAGAAATGGGCGGAAATGGGAAATTAAGAAAGTAGGATAAAAATGACGAATTAATACATTTCTAGTTGGCAAAATTCACAAAAACCCCCGACACCTTCGCGCTTCGCGCGAAGATTTACGAAGGTCGTAATATTTTACACGTTAGGATCGAGAAAATTTTGGCAAAAACAGCGCTGAATTCTCGCTTTCCATGAATAGCTCATTGCCAACGAGGTATTCCGTAAGCCGGCGTCAAGCAAGTTTTTGGTTGTGCGCTAGAATTTCATTTTTAAAAAATGGGGCGCTGAAATGGGGACGGAAGAAAATGGGTCTGATCCAAAAATTATGGAACGGAGATGGGTGGGAAAAATTGGAAGAAAATGGGGTATGGATGGGATATGGAAAAAGGAGAAATGGGCAACCTCTGATACTAATCATCTGTGCCAGGATTTCGGCCTCTCTTACTCGGCGCCGGTAATCTCAGCTTCCACAAACCCAATTTTCCTCCTTTAAAATGCGTTAGAAACCTCTCGATCACGCGGGTGTTCTAAGACCAATTACTGCCTGCTGTCTGCAGAACCTCCACACCAGTGGTCACTCTAAAGCTTGTAAATACGTATGTGAGTAAGACTGTGAAAGAATTAGCCGAATAAAACGATCGCAAAGTAAAAGAGCAAAAGAGCAAACAAGTAAAAGTAAAAAGTAAAAGCAAGGAAAAGAATCGTAGAGCGTCAGATATTTGAATCCGTCCAAGAGGGTAGTGCCGAGCGCGGAGCGCGAGGCATACCTTGTATATATAAAAAGTAATGCTTAATATATTGTCCAAGATTTATTTATTAGAAGTTTAGAACGCAGTATAACGAGGCGAGGAAAAATTTAAAAGAATCTTATTATTTCCGTCTATTTTTTAACATCATGGTTTTTGTGTGCGTTTCTTTTTAGAAGATTGCGTAGCGTCGAGCATTACATTACGTGCTAGGACAGCCCCGAACATATAGTACGAGATATTATTTGAACGTATATTATTTGATTTACTGCACTTCGCGGTCTGAAATACAGGCCGCAAAGTTTCGACCAGACAAAGCTTTGTCATTTTTAACAACTGTAACGTCACTGTCGAAATTCCATGGAAGGATTGCCTGCTCCAGAAAGATGACAATAGTAAAAATAATAATACTAGAACGCTATGCGATGCCGCACTGTCTCCCGTTCATATGCAATAGCAGGTCCTGTAATTTCCGTCCATTGGTATGGACTACGGGTTGAATAGTTCTGAATTTCGATCGCTTCAGAATAAATATTTCATTCTGAAACGAGAAAATGCATTTGACACAATTCGTTGACACAGATTGTTGACGGTTCTGGTCTCATCTGGTCTACGTTGTACGGTTCCCGTTTCTTGTGTAGGTTTGGTCAGTGGAAAGTGTGACCCTTTGTGTGATTCTGTGCACTTGGCACCTCAAGTACTGATTGTGAGCAGTGAGCAGGGGTATCGGTTCCGTTGTCACATAGTCTTAATTTCTGGGAATAGTTCACACCAGTTCCCGTAATTTGCGTTCATTCAGCTGACCTGATCAGTAGTCTCGTACTGCACACACACAATGGGCAAACATTCCAGGGGTGTTTTTGGTGGGCGTGCTTCGTGGTCATACACTCACTTGTCCCTTGTCAGCAATTTTGCGCATATGCACCGAGAGTTTTTGATTACAGTAATTTGATCAGACAGTCGCAGTTTTCCACTCGCTTCCATCGAGCAGACGATGCGTTTTCGTCTTCTGCTCATGTACGTCTTCTGCTCATGTACGTTCTGCTCACGTTAAATTTTAAAATATGCCAAAACTTTTAAAATGCTTGAAAGAATTGAGGGGTACAAAAGTCTCATTATAGATCCAATCCAAACGATCCGATCGATCTTTTCCAAATTTTGCAAGCAAACGTATAATTAACTATGAGTAGCAGGTAGTACGTAAATGTAGGTCGTTTTCACCGAATTGGAACGATTTCCACTATTTTGCTTTCAAAATATACCTTTGCAAATTTATACGATTTAAAATTTACGATGTAATTATGCATAAGAACGCGCGAAAGCAAAAGTTCCCATGCGGTACCCTGCCGATAATAACTTGTTCCGCTTACAAACAGAAATTCTCGGGGATAGTCGCGAGAATTACTTTATGTGGCGTTAATAAAAATCTAAGCGCGTGAACTTCTGCTGTTTCCGCTTGTTTCAGCCCACCGGAAGTGCGTCATCGTCACGTGCAGCGTTCGGTCGGTAGAGGGCGCTGTAGCTGTCACGTTCATGCGGAGACATGCTTGCAGATTGTCAAAACTCCAAACCAGCTCCAACCAGCCGTTGATGTTGAACGCTGCGTATTGCGCAGAAGGCCAGAACTGATCGGTACTAGTTATAAAACTTTAAGAATTCCGGAGCTCCGACAGTTCTAGAATAGTTTCGTTTACTCAGATTGGAATTTTAAGTTTCCCAGATTGTGGACCTATCATCACAAGTCAAGCCGTACGTCATACTGGAGTGGCTGCAGCTTGCCACAGTTTATTTGATCGCCAGTTTCCTGACGGCATAGACTTGTGTAAGTGGTTGAGTGGCGTTGTTTTAGTTGGGGTTTTGCTGCAGGTTGAGACGATCGTGGGACGTTTCTGGAGCATCCGTGTTTGCAGCTGTTTATTCATCGCAATAGACGAGATATTTTTGGGCTGCTCATCCATTCGTGCTGTGCCTAGTCAGGTTAGTCGTCTTTGCAAAAGTTGGTAATATTGGGTTTTTTGCTTATGATCGCATTTCGACTGAACCAGTTTAATTTTACGACCTAGTACAATTCTTCTGATGATCACATAATGTAGAAACTAGGAAAATTCGGAGCTCCGATGGTTGTTAATGTTGATGTGCGTTAATTTCTTGATGGCTACAAGTATTTCGTATCTAGTTTTTATGACATTTTTATCTTAAATTGATAAAACCTCCAAACTGATCGACATCGACCGCGGAAGGGTGCTTAAGAATACGATCAGTCGTACTGACGCTAATCAACTCTCAGGCGACATTCGGTATGGCAGAATCCAGCGAAGCGCTTTTGTACGATATCATCGGATCTGAAAATCAGAAGCGATATTCTAAGTTTTTTTAATTGCAGAACATGTTTCCGGCTTCAAGCATGGAGCATTTCAGTGCTCATCCGCCCCCAGATCCCAAATATTCGGCCAGGTTCCGCCGACGATACACCGGAGCCAACTACCATCAGCCGGACCCCGGTATGTAGTGAAAACACATCGGTTTCAGACTTGGATTAGAGAGTTGTAATTTTGTTTCTTAGGTACACAAGGCCTGGAAGTTCTTACTGCGACGAAAGAAAGCGTGATTTCATTAGAAGGTAAGTTAGTTTCAGTACTGCGTGCGAGATAGCGCTGTTTCGGTTATCTGCACAGTCAAAATGTTGCCTCTGAATTCGGAATAAATCTTTGTTACTGTTATCGAGATTTCGTAAAATAAATTTAATACGTAGTAAGCGCTTAAACGGCAATGTTTAAGTTCTTAAACAAAAGTTAAATTATTATTGTTTGTTTCATCTGTCTTGAGATTTTCAGTTTGTAGGCGGTCACTACCTGACGCGTGGAGAACGGTTCGCACGGCGTATTGGCCAATATTACGCGCGAGGAGATTTCGGGCAGAGGAAAACGTTGGCACGTGTATGTATAATTAAAACTTTGTGTATGCTTTTGGTGTGATGTTGATTTAAGAAGTTTCTGATGCTTATAGCCACGCAGACGTGGAAATTACCGCCTGTTCCAGCTGCAAAGATTCCGCAAGCAGTGTCATTCTATGTCAACGTTGCTGGACTCCACGTCGCTGTTAAGAAGTACTTGTACATTCCTGCAGATCTTGTGCGACGGTTTCCATCTACTGGGAGCTCCCAGGAAATCGTAGGACGCGGGGTTGAGAAACGTATTTATCTGAGTCATTACCAGATAATTCGTCTGTTGAAAGCTATTTCAAAGTACGTGTATCTGACGCCGGTCTATTCGTACTATTTTTGTATCGGTGGTTTCGCAGGGGTGAACCTACCGACGACCATCGCTTTGCCTGCGGCGTTTACTCCCAATGGATGTATTCCAAGTGGAACGCAGACCAGGCTGTTGTGTTAATTGAGCTTATTTTCGACGCGGGAGCTCCCGATGCGCTCATCTTAGACTTGTGTCGACCTTGCGGCGTAGCGTTGAACGGGATTCCTGACGTACGCACAATGCAGCAGTGGATGAATGCTTTTCTCACAGCAGCATTCTATAGAGGTCGTCTTGAACTGGCAAAGCAGTTAGCTATACGCATGGATTTGTATGGAATGGCTGTAAATATCCAGAAAAAACTGGACGAACGTCGTGACTATCATTTCTGGTAATCAAAAATTCAAATTTTAATTTTTAGATACACCTTTACTTTTTCGGTCATTAAGTTAGTGAAGTTACTGATCATATTTTCTGCAGCGGGTTATGTTATGATGCTTAATGTAGCAGCCCTTTGAAAGTCAATATTTTACTTTGTATTATTTACTTATAGGGATTACGACGCAGCAGCTACTTTTGTCCGACGGGAGATGCGGGACGACATGAAGATGCAGTTGAAAATGCGGGAGAAATCAGACACGTATGTATTTACCCAAATTTTATTGGCTTTTATTTTACATCGTGCGAATGAGGAGTATTTTGTATTTTGACAACAAAAATTAATTTTCATTGTAGACCGCTCACTAACCATCCGTGTGCTTACGCATCAAACCGGTGCAGGGTTACGGGCACTGTTCTATTTATAAATCGTCATATCAGTATTTGCGCTCGTAAACTGCCGGAAGTCAACTGTCCTGTGCCGCGATTGTGGATTGCTGTTACCGCCCGGAGCTCCGGATGCACTCCACAATCTGCGGCACTCAGCGAATTGCGAGCGGCGTACCGTTGTCTGGACCGATGATCTTCTGCATTCGGATGTTTTTGAGAATCCACCGTTCCCTCCCGCTGGGCCGCTGGGGCAGCTGTATCTGGTGCCGGCTAATAATGTTGACCGACTGGTTTGTCAGGTAAATAGTATATTTTAAGACTATGTTAATAAATTTTAATAGTATGTTTTTAAAATTAATATTTTTCGTCTTTTTTTACGGTTGCTATTGCATGCACAAAAGTGGGTACAAAATAATTCAGGCTTGTTTTGTAGGTGTTCGAGCATTTGGCTGATTCCGGGCGTAGTTTCATGCTTCGCTTGAGCGAAGTGCGCCGGTACTGAAAAACTGAAAAGAGGAGCTCCTGTTTTTGGTGTAAAGTTAGGTGTGAGTTTTCATATTTTCTCCCGAGGCAGGACAGCATTATGCCGTTGTGATTGGTTATGCGATAATTCTGACATTTTTCCTGCTCATTTGACTTTTTCTTACTTGCCCATTTGACTTCTTTTTTTTGCTTGCTTTCTCACAGTTTCCGCGGCTGCGTACTTTTGTTTGCTTGTTCTGCAACTGTTGTTGTGTGACTGTGTCCTGCACCTATTTGCTTGTGTGGTAATGAACATTTGTGCTAATGAACATCTTTCGTAGTTGTGCTGTTGTTGATAAAACAGAAATGATTTACTCGTACCGAAAGCTAACGCTATCGTCGTGCGTGGTCTGCAAACTCTTCATTATGTCTTCATTATTTCTGGGCTGCAAATGTTATTATTCCATTACGGAAACTAGTCTAGCAGCTACTTCTTGCAATTCGGCTCGTGCATACATCTTTTGCCTTCTCTGTCAAACTCTCGCACCATATGCACGCATCCTTGTTCTACCGCCATGCCCAGCAAGACGGAGACGATACGGAAAAGTAAGTGTTTACTGGTATATATTGTACAAGAAACAGCCTCGGCTTCGCCTCCGCGTTTCTTGTGGTCTAAAGTCTACGGCCGGTTTATTTAAATGATTTCGATCAGCTATTTAGTTAACACCTTATTCCTTCAGCGAAACGAAATGGTCCGAAAACAGCGCTAAAACGCAGATAAGATAAAACGTGAATTTATGGCTTTTGTGCACTCAGATGCAGTCCCTTTGACTCAGCAGGAAGTTTTTGTTAACTTTCCTTCCCGACTCTGAGACTACCAGATACTAAATTTTTACCTAGAGAATGCTTGCAGTGGTACTTCGGTCACTCGTTCACCTAACGGGCTCAGTGAATGTAATACCGCGCCGGTCTTTTGTATATGGGCATTCAGATTATGGAAATGTTTTCTGCGGATTCTGTACGGGAATGTTGGGTTCGTGTATCCCTTTTCATTTTTTGTGGTAATAAAAAACCTAGAATATAGATACCGTATTATTATTCCGTATTATACGGAATAATTTAAGGACTGGTATAAGCTGATTAATTATTACTCACTGTCCTTAGTTTTGCGCGGACTGTAACGAAAGGTCAGCCCGTTTGAACGATTTCTTTTGGTCGCAGTCACAGCTAAACGGCTTTTAACGAGCGGTCTTATCCTTAAGTCATGTTTTCGAAGCCATCCACTAGCAGCATCGTCTGTGTTACTGCTAATTGGCTTTTTAAATTTTGTAGGAGTTACAGTGAAACCTTTTTAATTTGTTGATCTAAAAAAGTACGGCCAGTTTAAATTTACTGATTTTGTGCCCTATGCAACCGGACTTTGAATTTGTTTTCAAGGTCACCTTGAGCTTTCAGCTCTACCGGCACCGGAGCTTGTGAACGGGAGCCGGAGCGGATAATTACCAAAACAAAATGCATGTGACACAGTTTCCAGATATGCTGAATCGAATGGCGTTAGCAGTTTTTCGATTAATTTTTTGATTTGTTCTGACCAGATCGTACGGGGTTTTCCGTTGTAATATAGATCTTTACCTTGATATACTAAACGCTTGATCCGGCTATTAAATTAACTTTCACCCTACTCGCGTCTGTTTACCCGATAATCAAAGTTTTACAAAGCTGAATAATACCTAGTCATGATTGCCGTGGGGATATCGGTAAATGCGTCCACGTGTTTTGCCAATCGAAGCACAGTATCCGGATTTTTCCTGGCCGGACGGCAAGTGAACTGGATTATCGTATGTTGCTACAGCTATCGTGGCATTTGCTTCATCTTTATAAGGCATAATTTAATTACTAGGAGTGTAATTCAAAAATATTATAACGACCAGTATATTTGCGTTTGTTGTGAATGGCTTCTCTTAAAGTTTTTTCTTTGTCTGGATTAATTCTGTGTTGCGTAACCTGCAGATGGGAGCCAGCTTTTTCGCTTCGAATATCGGCAGTGATCATTTCATCGGGTTGGCCGGATCCGGCGCCGCAGAAGGTTGAACTGTTAATTGTCTGAAATTTTTATCAAGTGCAGTTTGCGAAACATTAATCAGTGATTCGTAATAAGTCATTACTGGTGGGAAAAGTGTTTCTTGGGAGGAAATAATTCATGATGCTGGTCGTTTACATTTATTTTGCCTTTAAAGGTGTTCTTTTGTTCACAGGCATCAGCGTCGGAGCCTTCGCGTTCAATGTAAGATACGTAATCGTTTGTTATGTGTAAGACGAGCAGGCAGTCATTTTATTTTGGAACTTTTATTTTGGGAACTGCGTTCCCAAAATGTCCACTCGACTTTTGTGTAATAGTTTTTTTATGAATATTTATTTTGGAAATCTTTTTTTAGTTGTCAGTAAGACTTATTGCGTATGATACGTTATTGCGTATGATACGGCTGCAAGCTTATTAAGGGCGCCAACTGTTTATGGAATGTACGTTTTTAGGCTACAATTATATTACAACTACTCGTATGGGTGTTTTTTCATGTTTATATCCCGAGCAAGGTACGTCGCTTAGAAGGATGTTGTTAGTCTATTAATTCATTAGAACTCGTACTGTTATTTGATTTGAAGTGTTTGTTGATTTGTCCACTTTATGGTTTTATTGCATTAGGCTTACGTACGCCTTCTTGAAATGCCGCACATACGGCCGACGGCAGACCTTTTTCGAAAACTTTATAATGTGTAATATTATTGTTATTTGTGTCGAATATTTTTGAAATGAACAGGTGCTCACGTTCCAAGAATATATGAGCAAACGATTTGGAGGGAATCAAATTCCCGTCTATCTTGCCGCACTTTCTCTGGTTTTGTACATTTTCACCAGAATATCAGTAAGTGGTTGCCGGTTGTTCTTACCCGTTTTGAACAGTATATTCCCGGCATCTTTGTGTGTGTATATAAAATTTTGATGGATAAATGGATTTAGAAAAATTGACAGTGTGATGGTCACAGTGTGACGTGAAAAACATGAACTCTTTAGGTGGACATGTTTTCTGGCGCACTGTTAATTAATCAAAGTCTTCGTTGGAATTTGTATGCATCTATTCTTTTACTGCTGGGAATTACCGCATTGACATCGATAACAGGAGGGCTCACTGCGAAGTAAGTCGATGACATATTATGGGACTTTTATGTCACACTAGTAACTGCATTCTAAAATAACTTTCAAATAAATTTCCCGTGCGCTTTGGGGAAAAAATTGCTTCTACATACGTTTTTCTCGAATTCTATACTTTTCAGGGCCATATTTCTTGTAGTGCTGCAGACATGCGCAATTCTAATCGGATGCGTTTCGATTGCTGTAATATGTGACTTGTTGCAAGAATTGTAACCTTAGTGTCTCTCATGTTCAGTAGTGGCTTTTAAATTTTAACTGTGCTTCTACCTAATTATCGCGGCTTGTAGCTTTTGTGGAAGTTGGTGGGTATGCCGGTTTGCGGGAAGGATACATGAATTCAGTGCCAAATACTACACGGTTAAATCTGACCAAATGTGGTCATCCGGAGCCTGATTCCTTCGTCATGCTGCGCGATATTCGCGACCCTGGGATGCCGTGGTTGGGGTTTGTTATCGGCCAGACGCTTACTCAATATGGTACTGGGCTGCTGACCAGGTAAATTATGTGGTAGAATAAAAACTAGGGAATTCATTGTTTTGCATAAATTTTGTAGCGTCAGTTCAAGATGTAAGTAATGATTGATTTTCGGGGCTGTTAATAGAATTAACAATAATATTGATCGCGTTTTGTGTGGTGTAGATGATGGTGCAGCGTGTGTTATCCTCGAAAATTATATCGCATGCCCAAGGTGGCTGTATTCTTGCTGGATATTGAAATTGCTGCCATTGTTTAATATGGTCATGCCCGGTATGAATAGCCGTGTGTTGTGGCCAGACGAAGTGGGATGCGTCAATCCAGACATTTGTGAACGGATTTGCGGGAACCGTGTTGGTTGCAGTAATACTGCATGCCCCAGACTCGTGATGCGTCTAATGCCGGCGGGACTGCGCGGGTTAATGATAGGTACATAAATGCTGCACGGGTGAACGATATCTTGTGGCTAGTTAGAAAAATCGTCGGGTTTGCGCTACCACCGTAACAGTTTTATTACCAAACTGCGCGCTTTAAACTCGTTAACGTTAGCAACTTCGTACCGCACGCTAAGTTATAATTATAAGTGTTCTGTAGCGATCATGTTGGTATCCCTGGTGTCCGACTTGTCTTTTATATTCAACGGTGCTTCCAGCTTAGAGTATTTACTATTGATGTGTGGATACGTGTACATCAATAAATTTAGCATTTTTAAACACGTGTGGGCTATATGCATACTTATTGTACTAGTACAGTGCGTTTCGCAGGTACGTTTCCGCTCAAAAGCCACTCCGAGGGAAATGCTTATTGTTTGGAAGAGTGTACTTCTCGCGGTTTCAATCGCTTGGTGCGTACATTCCTGTTTCCAGCGTTTACGTGATTGTTTTACTTACAAAATTACAATTAGACTCAGCAGTACCTGCTATATAAATGTCTTGCAAAAAGCTAACTTACTTTCTTGCAAAAAGCTAATATGATTCCATTAATCCAGCAAATGCAATGCGGTTAGTTATATATCTACATCCAATCTATTGCAATTGTCTGTGTTTTATCTGAATTAATTGTCTGTAGTTGGTTTTACAACAACCGCAACCGGTTCAAAATTCTGGACTTCCAGCTGTACTATCACCATTCCCATACAGCCAGCAACTACCACACCCGTATCTCTAATTACGCTACGCCTGAAGGACTATCGACACCTGAAAAGCTGCCAATCAGAAGGTGTTTTAACTGGCAGATATGCCATTTGTCAAAAATATTTTCATGGAATTTGAATAATATCTTTTGTAGATTGGCATAGGAAAATGTGAAGCAGTTAAAAAGCGGGTATCGCACAACGAAATTGAACGCAAATATCGGACAAGCATACGATGGAATCGCTGAACTTGGTCAGCTGCTGTCTCGCCCTGATGAAATAAAGGTACGAGTAATTAATTACCTTTGTAAAAGTACTGTAATTGTGCGTTCAGTAAAAGTATAATTTATCTGCAATTCTACACTATTACTACCAGCACTGAACTCCTCCACGACCACCCCGTCAGCGTGGCTGGTTCCTGCTCGCTGCTGACGTGCATTGAAAATGTGTGTTGTAAAGAAAGAACGTCCGAATTCTAACAGAAATTCGTAGTTTAATCATTGAACTCTGGGCAACAACAAGAATACCTAAAAAAATTGTTGTAATGTTTTAATTAAAATCGGGAGCTCCTATATTAAGTAAAATTTAGACACTAGATGCACACTAGATTGGCGTTTGAGCCATTATAGAAACAACCAACTCATTACCAGATCTGTCTTGAATGAGCATGCCGTTATTGCGAACAGAACCGGTTTTTAGAACGGCCAGCTGGTTAGAAATTTCGACACAAGTATAATTTTTCTGAAATAAAGTATTATTCAGAAAACGATCTTTGCTGAACTCGTAATATCTCCATGCTTTCCTCTGGAGAACGGTAGCGATGATAAATGCTGCTCTTCGGTTCACTAAAATTATAGCCCGTGCAATGTACGGATTGCCCTTTTGATCCAAAAATACTGAGTCGACATGGTTTTCTTTCCTTTTATAGGAAGCAATATCCAGGCGCGAACCAGATTCTGTGATACATCGCTTGTATGTCAACAGCTGAGGAGCTCCTCTTAAAATTCCCAATCCGTGAAGGTAGGCATACACCGGACGATCTGTGGCTTGCAGTTCTTCGATCGATTTTCCTTTTCCACACAGATATGCCGCTCCCGTGAGCGACTTCAGCTTTATTGCGCTTGCTGGTAAGTTCTTTGTCAAGGACTGACGCATCCGTTCCACTTCCGGTGTAACGTTGTCTCCAAAGCACGCCATCAAAAAATCAGAAGAAAGTCCAAATGCAACCTTTCCAGCGATTTCCTTGTGCTCGTTGGCTCCTTTCAGGTGAGATTTCATCTTTCCGGCACCCAATCATTTCGGAAACCATTCATTTCGGAAACCATTCATTTCGGAAATCATTCATTTCGGAAATGCATTTCAACACTTTTCCTTTACAGTTAGTCACAGAAAACGTTATTTCGGCCATTATTGTGTAGAAACAATTATACAATTGTGAATTGTCAACGAAAAAGCATTTCAGGGATCTTTTTCATAAACTTTTATGTACTGTTCTGAACTGACAAGTGCCATGTCGAGGGTTCGATTTGCTTGTGTTGTGGGTTACAATGAGAGCACAAGAATTAACTGCATCATAATCGAGCGCAGCATTGTTACCAACATTTAGCAACTATTAGTGCGCACGATCGAACACGGCCGCAGATAAGCGGCGTCATAACCAAAACAATAATCTCTGATACACGAAAAAAAACCACAGCAGTTGCGCGTAGAAGTATTTCATAAACCTTGCCCATAAGCCATGCATTTGCATGTTACAGCCTAACGTGAGACGTGGCGATAAAATAATGTTGCGATATGTTGCGTTGATGTTGCGCTGAAATGAAGATTGTACAGAATTTGTACATGGGTTACTGTTATTTCGGGAACCCGTTTAATTGTACAGATACAAGTACAAAGTACACAGACTGTACACTGGCTACTAAACATAATAGTACCAGTTATAATAATATTAAACTACTGTTATAATGGTATTGCAATTACAAGTGATAACGTATGGTTTCCGAAATGAATGGTTTCCGAAATGAATGGTTTCCGAAATGAATGGACACCATCTTTCCTACGTAGTCTTCATGCTCGAAAGCCCAAAACGATGTTGGATGGCCTAGTAGATACACGTATTCGACCAGATGGCAGCACATTTGGTGCAAATTATACGACATGCTTCTTGTGCCAAAAGTTTGTTGAATTTCTAGGCCAAACTGGATCAGTAGAAAGGAGGTTTCCACTTTCCAGCAGTCCAGCTTCAGTGATATCCTGACCGAACAAATACTGCGTGGCGGCAGCAAACTTAGCGTACACGAGGAGCTCCTCTTCTGGCACAATTCCGTGCAAGCAAGGTAAACTGTAATACAACGTGAAAGCCATGTACATGGAACCTTTCCACTGGCCTATCTCATCTAACGTTTTAGGCTTCCGTAATGTAGACGGCGGTTGCAGTTTTTCTAGGAAAGAATTAATTTTTTTCCGGTTATCTGGCGTTAACTTCCACGCTCTGCCCTTTAAGCGATACTCCATAAATTTCTCTTCCAGCCCTTCGAAACACAAGTGCATAGGCTCTACCGGCATTTGGGCAGGTAAGTTATAATCTGTCAGTTTCATCAGTTCAGACATTCCTTGCAGTCCAATAAACTCGTGCAGTTGATCAGGAGCTCCTAAAACTACTGCACGCGCACGCGCTCGCTCTTTCGTGATCTGAGGATCTCGAAGTTTTGGTAGGCGGAATGGCGCCTGCTTTGAATTTACCATTGGGTAGCATTTTATCGTTCTTTCGTCTACGCCAGGATTCAAAAGAACTCTTTCCCCAGCATCTTCACAGTGAACGCATCCAAAGTCAGCCATGAAGGAGCTCATATGCGCAATCGGCCATCGTTCCTGGCTGTCAGCGATATAAGTAAGAACTCTCACAGGCAGTATTTTTTGTTCACCATTTTCCGTGTAAATAATGCCGTTTTGTTCCAGGTCGAGGAGCTCCTGCATAACTGGATGTAGAAGTGCCTGCTTCCAGTTCGCGGGTTGCTGCCATTTTTGTTGAAACAATTTTTCACTTTTGTTCCATAGTCCTAGAATGTGCGGTGTTGGCCGTTTGTTTTTCACTGGTAAGTGGTAGCTTAAAATCCATATATTTGATTTTGACGATTTCGCTGTTGCCGCTCCATCGGAAAATAGCGCTATCGGTAGAAATCGTCCAAGCTTTCGGGCATAATTTTTATAAATCTCACCATCTGTAAAAGAAGTAATGCAATCTTCGCCTTGTGCTGGCACATTGTAGGAGCTCCTAAATTTGGCCGATTGCGCTAACGCTGTTATCCTTGGCTTTAATGGGAAATGCACGAAGGTAAACAGGCTGAGTGAACCTTTCGGATACTGGCTTTCGCATTTTGGGCAGTTGGTAGTTCCTTCGGTCCGCTGTTCTGCGCCAATGTAACTGCCACACAAAGGGCATGCAACATGGAGGTCGTATTTTGGGAACATATTTCTTTTTCGGAGTCCCGCTTCCAGTTGGTACACCGTTCTGGGGAATTTGGAATTTTCAGGTAACAATAAAGAAATTAAATTAAGCAACGATTCCTGCGCGTCGTAAGATATTTTAGACTTGTCACAAGTCTTTAAAAATAATCCCAAAAATTGACCAATTGTGATTTTAGCAGATGGGACAGGAACACGATCCCAGTCGTCGAGGAGCTCCTCGTGGACTTCTTGTGGCTGTTGTTGAAATTCTTCATGATCTATAACAATAGTATTCTCGGCTGCTAGTGTGCTACGTAATAGATCTACTCGTACCATTTTCGCCAGGTTCTGCCGCAACAGCTTCAATCAACTCTTGCTGATCGGTGGCATCCACCCCGTTAAGAATTTCTGTCCAGTCGTCGAGGAGCTCCTCACGAACTTGATGGTTTCCTGCGTAGCACATAGCGGTTCAATCACACTTCCGTTCCAGATATATCAAGTATTAAATTCTTGATGAATTTGAGATTTAATATATCCGGAACAGCAGTGTTACTTGCCGTCGCCGATACCACCATCATCCCGATAATCAGCGAACAAAGCTGCTTCTGAAATTGTGGTTTTCCGTCTGCGGTTCCGGTTGGCATGCTGCCGCATGCCAACTTTACGCCTGCGTTCCATTTCACAAGGTAAACGATTTTATAAATTATTTTTAATTTTAAAATAATCAATGAACAACTAAAAAGTAAACAAACCTTTCCAGTTATAATTAACAATAAATTTTTTAAATGAAGAACAGTTATTTTCACCTCTTTCTCTAAGCGGGTAGATGTGGCGTGCCGAAGTTGCGCGCGGAGTCGCGAGCACAGTTTTGAAGGGCCTTCTTTGTGTGCAATATTAGCATATTAATTCCCGCTTGTGCTGATTTTTGAGCGGAAGTCTTACTGGGAACGATTCCTGCCCACTGTTATTTATGAAGTTTTAAACTGTGTGTTTTGGAAATAACGGCTAGCTTCACGAGTCACCAGTGACATCGATTGCTTTCTCCGCGGAGCTCCGCGTTGGTTGTTTCGTTTCAGTTGTTTAACATGTTGTTTCTGACTATTTTATTTTTCACGTTGCAGAAACTGAGTCAGATTTTAGAACAAACCATTTTTCGATCGCTTATGAAAATGTGTAGTAAAATTACGACTGTTCGGCAGGACCAGAGAATAAAATTTAATGCCTGCGTTTGTCGTTTAGCGGCAAAAGGAGGTAATTCAGTATGCATGCAAAATTCGCCGATATTATTTGCATGGCCGCGGATATTTGCAGGTGCTGTTATTTCCCTGTTCCACGATGGAATTTATCATGTTTCGGGAGCTCCCTTTTCTGATATCAAGTATTATTACGCGGCAAAGAATCAGTTTGATGAGGACTTTGTTCCGGGCGATAAGTACAAATGCTATTTCCCTGAATCGAAGAAGGACCACGTAGCCGAATTTGTTGGATGGTTTCCCACGGAAGAGCGAGCCGAAATGCGACTCACCGAGCTGCAGCAGCGGGTAAATATTATTACGAAGTGAATATTATTATTAAGTAAAGTGAATTTTTAAGATAAACTAGTTGATTATACTTTGTGTGTGTGATTTTATTTTAAGGACGGCAAAAAGTCTGGAGCTCCAGCAAAGCGCCGGGCGACAAAGACGACCGACACGGAAATCCACAAGAAAGCGAAGCAGCCGGACGATAAGCAAAGTGGCTGCCAAAAACCGCTAACGTTTCAGGAGCGAATGCGACAGAATGGCGTTGTATTGGGGAATTTAGCAGGCAAGTTAAGAACCGTGCAATCTGTCGCTTGTTTAATGGAAGTGTAGGAGCTCCTAACGATACTTTAACTAAAACATTTAGAAACTGATTTACATAATTGTTCCACGCACAGAAAGCCGTAGCGGTGGCCATCAACCGAGCACGTCCACAGGTAAACCTTCCTAACCTGTGCAGCTAATGTGACCGCATGTTTAAAGGGTAGCCATCACCGCGTAATTTTTGGCAAGATTTCTGTTCGGCAAAATAGGAATCACCAGCCTGGCATCAAAGGAGCTCCAGTTGCGAGTGCAGCTGTGTGGAAACACATAGCTGCCACACGCTTTGCCGACAACTTCAACCAATGGTAGGGTTTGCATTTTGCATCACCATTAATGTCGCGTAGCGTCATATTTCGCAGATCATTCGAACCAGCCGCTGGAAGAGCCGTCTGCTTCATATACGGAATTGAAACGTCGGAAATTCGCGTGCAAAAATATTTTAAATAATAAAGCTGTTTTAATTTTTCTAGGAATGCAGCCATTGCAGTGTCCAGCGGCAGATGTATCTTTTGATCGTAAAGTTGGAAAGTCGACCGACTTTTACAACTTATGGGACACATTAAGCACTGGTATTTAAAATCAATTAAACGATTTAAAAACATCAAGGAGCTCCTTTTTTTCAGATGGTGCTTGGACAAGCCAGACGGATTTAGTGGAAAAAATTGCTTTCGATGTTAAACAAGCGGAACTGGATCGCGATGCATCATTCGGTTAAATTTAAAAGGAAAGTTTATGTCTACGGCTAACAAAATGGCATATTACAGAAATGTGGGAGAACGCTGCTGTCCAACAGCAAAGAGCGCAGGGGTTGTCGGAAGACGATTTATACGTGGCACCGGACACGGAGATTTTTCGCGCCCTGGCCATGGCGGAAGTTCCGGTGGTTGAAGATGGGCCGACTCGCAACACCGCCATCGTCACGTTTCCACAAGCCGTTTTAATGGGAGCTCCCTGTATGAAAACCATCTCGTATAACACGTTTGCTTATAATTACAGCTGTGCATATTAGTGATATTACTGATTTCTGATTTTTAGCCGACGGGACTGCTAATAGCTCAGATGTGAAAGTGCCCACTGTACTCGTAAAGAACACAGCGGACATGCGTAAGTAATTAACTCAACACACCAGCGCTATTATTTTTCTTGCTAGCTGCTCTTGATATTTTTTAATCAACATTTTGCGACTTTTATCGTTTTTTTTGTAGTGAAAAAGGAGTTCCATGTTGTCCAGCTGCCGCAAATTTCAGACAATGCCGATTTGTTGGAGGAAGGGTTTCCAGTGAAATTCAAAGATCACCGTTGGAAATGGCCAGAAGTAGGAGCTCCTGCTACGGCTGATGACGGTGCGTTTCATCTCCTCCGTTTTGAAGTAGACTGCTATTTTATGAGGTTTTTGCGATCGTTTAAACGTTTTACAGAATACTATAATCCTCTGCGCACCTCAGAGCGGGAATTTCATCTAAAGAATCCCCCGAGGGTGAACCGTTCTGCAATTACTCTGCGCGACCAGTTGTCTCCATGGTTTTTCCAGTTGGGAGGACCCGGAAAGAAACACCTGGACGTCGCCTTTCCAGCCGTTTTTGTGGACGATGATTGCCATTTTTTAGAGGCTCAGTTTCTTAATCGGAAGATCACCGCAGAGAAGTTTTCGTGGTACCTGATGTCGCGAATGATGGGAGGAGCTCCTGGCCTCATTCGTTTGGCGACGCTGTACGAAATGCACAAACAAACTGCCACTAACAAGCGGCAGTATAACTTCTACGAAAGAGTTTTGGGAATTGACTTCTTCCGTTCTGTTGACAGTAAGTGCTTGTGCGACTCCTACTACGGGTTTGTGGAAAGTAATGATTTCTTTAAAAATTCATTTAAATTAAGTAAATCTGTTTCCTTTTCAGAAAAGACTCGGGATTTAATTCGCGCTATGGTGCCCACTAATTCGGGCGGCGCTGAAGCAGCTGCTCGCGCTGCAGTAATTAAAGGCCTCCCGGAAATCCCCAAATCCATGCAGTCCCACTTCGGCCACAAGTTTGCCAACTGGATGGACAAGTTCAAGGAACAGCACGAAAGAAAAAGAGCTGTGGACCGCGCATTTTTCTAACCATCTGAAGGAGCTCCTATTGTGGTGGTATTTGTTGCTGTTGAAATAAAATTTTGTTCCGTTACTTCGATGCCTGCGCATTATTGATATTTCTTCTGTTTACGTTTTTTCGTTACCGGGGTTACGATTTTATGCTGTTTATATGCTGAACGTTGGTCTTATGATTGGTCGGTTTGTGCGCGCACGGTACGGGCTTTTATGCCGTTTGAATGCTATGATAAAAGTTACTGAATTTGGCGATTGGAGCATTTATTTCAAACCCAGCCAATAACTAGCTAGCAGTATGACGTCATTACACACGCCTGCCAACCACATAGCTATTTCTAATTGGCTTATTTCTAACCATATAGGAATCGGATGAAACACGCATTGCACCAATGCGAGAGCGGACATAGTAAACAGTCCCGTTGATATGTGGAGTCATATTCTCGCAACGAGCTACGATCTCACTTTTTTCGGCAGGGTATGTCACTATCACAGTATGCTGTGCAAGTCAAAGAATTGTAAATCCTAGTCCCATTTTCCGCCCAGCGCTCTGTGGTTTTGCAGATCTTTCCGAATTCCTTCGATTTGGAGCCACAACTTTGAAAGGACATTGTCTTGACCCATGGTATAGTGTGGCTCTCAAAATCTTGCCTGCATGTATCAATATTATCTGGACAGTTTACGGCATTTGTTGATACAGAGCAAGATGGTCCATATTCCTCTTTGCCGTAGGTAATACCTTTTCCTTTCATTATTTCATTGCAGAAATAGCACTTAATACCTGTCACCACGACATTCTGGTGTTCAAAAAATGCAACAATACAGAGTTGAAGAGTTATCCAAATCTCCATGAACTTTTGTAAAGCCAGTAGTGCAAAATTGTAACGACCAATTTTATAATTAATATTTTTTTTGCCCTTATGCCAGTATGTTGTTGTTGTTGTTGTTGCATAAACATACAGCGTAGTCCTTTCAAGGACCATTGCTCCAACAAATATAAAATTATTAGAATTGCCAAGGGAACAGAGTAAGCACAGACAGTAAAAACTAGTCGCTTATCACTGGATCACCGAAATCTGTTTGAGAACTCCAAAACTTTAGAAAGCAGCGGCAACGGAAAGGAAACCCAGTCCTGTAAAGCCAGCATGTTCCAGGGAACTTCGCAAAACAGTAAACGAGGGATGCTTATAAATAGAACAATGATAGAAAAAATGGTATGTTGTTTCCGGTGCAAAACCACAAGAGCACAAAGATGGATTCCCATATATCTGAGAAGGTCGGGACGCGTTAAGTCTAGAATAGTCCATTCGAAGTTGGGTCAGAAGTGCCTGCATTTTTCGTGTGACCGGTACTGGCTTTCTCCATATCGAGTAAGACACATTCGGTTGGACATTGTAGAGAGCTCTCCCTTTTTGAGATGCTGACCAATTTTTCTGCCATTCGGCAGAAATGGAAGTGCTTAATAGTTGTCTAAACGACGCTTTTGACAACGGCAGTTGCAAACCTCCGTTTTCCGGTAAATGCGCTCCTTGTTTTGCCGCCAAATCTGCCATTTCATTCCATAAATACCAATATGAGCTGGGATCCACTGAAGGGTTACTTCAACACCGCGCGAAAGCAACCACAGCAGACTTCTTTGATGTCTTTGTTAGGCGAACCATAAATAGTGGCACTGATACCATCCAATACAGCTTTCGAGTCAGAATATAGAAAAGCACGACGCACTTCCGACTGCCCCATGTACAGCAAAGCTTGATGGACTGCATACAATTCCGCTTGCGCAACAGTTGCGTGAGCCGGTAGTCGGTGTTCTTTCCGTTACACTTGTTGGCCAGTAAAAACAACAACAGCAGCTCCAACATTATCGCCTTGTTTTGATCTATCGGTATAAATTAACATATGTCCTGTAGAGAGGAGACGCTTGGCAGTTATATGGTGATTCACGGCTGATGCCTGCAGTGCTGAAATGATGACCCTGGAGCGCAAAGACGCGTAGAAGTAGGGAAGAACTTGCTGTACACGAAAAACAACATTGGTAGGAAACTTAAATCCCATCGCATCCAGGCGCTGCACAATGTACGACGATGGAGATTTGTGCAAATGTTGTTGTTCAGGGTATTGTACCAAAGCATGTGCTATGTTCATATCTTTCAGTGTTTGTAAGCGATAGAGGGACATCGCAGCCACTTCAAGAAGATGTAAGTTCATTGGAGTTAACTGAGCAACCTGATGTGTCCAAGTCAGCTTGGGATCGAACACTATTCCCAGGTATTTCAGCTATTGTATTCCCAGGTATTAATGCCCGTATCGCCTTCAGCAATGTTGACGATGGCGTATAAGATCAGCGCACCCTAGCGACCGTAAATCTGTAAGTTTTGTGTAAGGCCCAGAAAGTCCTTACACAAAACCGACACTCATAACTCATAAGCAGTGCGATCATAAGCAGTGCGCCATACGATCGAAGCGAGCTCAGTTGCAGCGATACGGGGCCAAAACATAGGATTCGATACATGAAACCGAAGAGAGCCCCCTCTAGATATGCGCAGTCTGTACTGTACCTTGGTGGCGCGCATCAAAGGGTGTCCCATTTCTGTACCGTAATGAATCTAGCTACGCTTAAGTACGAGTATCTAAACTAGACACGCATAAGAAATCAGACGAGGCCTTACAGGTTTGGTGCTAGCTTAGCAACACGTTAGTTACTTTAGCTAGGATTGCATTAGAATTTACAACGACTGCAAAAAATATAATAATTACAGTACAGTAAAACTTTTTACAAGACTTTAATAGTCAAATCAAAAGTTCTTCAGGATTTGTATCTTAACCAGTGCGATTCTTGATTTTGTACTACTGACGTGTACTGGTGTCCCTTAGTACACATCGGTACTACTTTACTACTTCTACCTCTACAACTAAGGCTTAGGCTTTACTACATCTTCTACGCGAGTCCTGACCCCGAGTCTCTACTTCGACTTCTCAGAAATCCCCAGCAGAGAACTTTGACCGCGACTTGCCATTTCGACGTGACCGCGCTCCGATGACGTAGCTCAACCTATTGTTCTAGTGTATTAGTTGACCTGATGTTCTCATTTGTCCACGTGTAGTGATGCAGCGGTGTGATTAGTCCACGTGTCCTTAGATGTCTCTAATTGGTTAGATTCTAAATCCCTATTGTTCTCAGACCCGTACCTGCGCGTACGAAGAGCCAGCACTTGCGGTGCCAACGGCTATATAAGGCGCTCGTCGCCCACACAAATGTCAAGAGTTGTAATCCCAACAAAAGTAGAGTCTTGTTACTCGATCTGATTAACTTCAGGCTTTTGCTCTGGTCTTCTCTTTCCAAGTGAGGCTGTTCAAACTGACCTCTGGGTGACCTTTCACCTATTGTCAGGGGTCATTCCTCTATCTCGTCGACGTGCATTATCATCTTCGGATAATCTCGTGACGTAACAGGTTACCCGTTTGATCCCACTTGATTTGCCATGACCTTTCGGTCTCATCATCATCTTCATGCCCTGTAGCGCCAGGTTGATGGATATCCCTTATCGCTTCTGCTAACATCTAGCGTCGGACAGGTAACGTATACTTCTCCGTCGTGTGTGTATTTCTCGTGTTTGCAGGACCCGGACCTCTTCTTCTTTTCCTTTCCTACTTCATACCAGATCAACGTAATCTTCTACCATCTTCCGTAACAGTTTGAGACAGAGTCGCTCTATCCGACTGGACGTGGTCGGACAAGTGGATACAGTACCCACTTCACTGTGTTAGGTCTTTAATTCACGTCATGGCGCCCACCGATGGTTCTTATTTTCCCGATGTTACGGAAAATTGTAGATGGTACGTTATTTTGTATTTTCTTTTGTAACCGTAAATCGAAAATTGGTCCAGGTCAGAGTAAGGGTATTGTAATCCCACAAAACTGACCGAGGGTCTCTTCCCTCGCCCAAGCCCCCGGGCATCTGTCTCTCATCTTTCTCTCTTCGGGTGAAATAATCCCACTTTCTTTTCTGATCAACTGATCTGGTGTGCCCTTAAGGTACTAGTGTCCTTAAGGCACAGGGTGGCTATAGGGGACCGTACAGCATAGGCCTCCCTTGAAGCGAAAGCTGTACTAATTCTAAAATAAAATTGATTATCATTTGATTATTCTGTGTGGTATTCGTGGGCCGACAAGCCGCCAGTGTGTGTGAATTTGCAGCATCATTTTAACAGTGAAATTTGGTTAAAGTAACCGTACAGTAGCCGAAAAACCACAAAGGTTGGCTACGATAAATCAACGATTGGATTTGGACAACTGAAACCTTAAAGGTCAGTTGTGATCTCGCGAAACGAACGGCAATATCAGCAAGGAAACGCTGAGTGGAATTTGTAAGTAAAACGTGCGAAAATTCGCAGAGATTTAGCCGTTCTTTAAATCGAAACCTTGCAAAACATTGAACTTTCGTATCTGAGTTAGTGGAAAAGCCACTACTCCACGATTTTGAAAATTCTCGAGTTAGTGGAAAAGCCACTACTCTACGATTCTGAAAATTCTCGAGTTAGTGGAAAAGCCACTACTCTACGATTTTGAAAATTCTCGAATTTCGGTAAATCAACAGAGCGGATATAACCGTCTCGTGTTGTGTTAACGCGGTATCACTGATAGGCGGAATTCAGCCACAGTGTGTAACTAGCGGTAAAATACAGTAAACAGCTGAAACCTGAAAGGTCAGCTGTGGTAAATTGAAACGTAACGAAAGCAAGTTGTACATGCATACTTAAGTGTATGCTGTAACAACGAAATACGAAACCAGCGTTAAGCAGTACTTTTCGTCTGGTGGGTTCAAACGAAACGGTTCTGTCAGTTGTTCTGTCAGCCCGTGGGTAATACAAACTGGGTGATTCGTCATCCAGTGGGAACGGTGCAATTGCTCCTACTTAATCCACTTAGTGGTACGGTATGTAGCAGTAGCACTGAAATACGAAGTGAAGCTTCTGAAACCTTAAAGGTCAGTAGCATAAACGAAATAATACAAGTAGCTTTTGCACGCGAAGGTGCGTGTGAAGCGGTAATACGAAGCAGATCGTTGCGGTGTACTTAATCCACTTAGTGGTACGGTATCGCGGTAATCGGTCGGTGGGTAATACAAACTGGGTGATTCGTCATCCAGTGGGAACGGTGCAATTGCTCCTACTTAATCCACTTAGTGGTACGGTATGTAGCAGTAGCACTGAAATACGAAGTGAAGCTTCTGAAACCTTAAAGGTCAGTAGCATAAACGAAATAATACAAGTAGCTTTTGCACGCGAAGGTGCGTGTAAAGCGGTAATACGAAGCAGATCGTTGCGGTGTACTTAATCCACTTAGTGGTACGGTATCGCTGTAATCGGTCGGTGGGTAATACAAACTGGTTGTGTAATCAACCAGTTGGAACAGAGCAACTTTTGCTTACCAAAACCCGTTTAAACGGTACGGTACAGCCGCGGTTGCCTGAAACGAACAAAATGTCGGTCGCAGACCCTGATACGAAAAAATCTCGGGCCAATCAGCAGTTTGATTCACACCTGGAGGAAGTAAAAGCGTAAAAGTCAGAATGGCATTAAGGCAGAGTAAGTCTCAGAACACAGCGGTTATGTCAGATAGGCATTTTAATAGTGTCACGGTAACTAGCGGTAGTTCCGGGGTAAATAAGGCTCCTCTGGTAGACCTGTCAAACGGTTCTTCCATTGGCGCACAAATTATGAATCCTTCCTCTCAGCGTATGCAGTCAGTAACTGGTTGGTCAGTGCCGGTGGTAAATCCATATAATGCGGTAAACCCGAATAATTCGGTAACTCCACAAGTGGTAATTCCACCAGTGGGAAACTCAGATGGGCAGCTTGTAATCTCCCAAGTGAATAATTTTGGTGAAAAAGTAAATTGGTCGACAGTAACAAACGCCCGGAGTGGTGGTGTAAATGTCGGTCAGAATATATGGCAGTCGGATGATTCAAGTTCAGGCGGTAACATTTCGTGTTGAGGATGGAATAATACGTTGTCGTCGCAATTATCAGCGGTAAGCAGTGCATTAAGTCAGAATAAAATCAGTAGTTCAGAAAGGAGCGATGTTTGGCTTAATGTTTCGTTTAACCTTCTTATTTCGTTTTGGGAGTCAGTTTGTTGCTGTCGTAGGATAGGAAAGTGCCTTGTACAACGTATTAGAGTACCGGCATTTTCTGTGACTGCAGATCTCACGTCTTGTTCGGACTGCAAAGTTTGCAATTTCTGTACCACTTTAAACACTTCTTGTGGGAATTCTGTCGGTAATGGGCTGGCGCCCTTTTCCTGAATAATTTGTGATAAATCAGACGACCATTTATCTGTGTCATTTCTCGGTAAATCAACATCCAATAAGGAGTGACTACCATAAATTACCTGCCTCGATTCGTACCGCATAGAGGGTTTTGAACTTGCGCCAGCACCGCTTTGCGGTGCTTCCTTATTCAACCAAGAGTAACTATCGAAATTAGTTTCATTGACCTCGAAAATACTTTCCTCTGACGACTGGGGTCTGCCCCATATCCAGTCATCGAAATTCAAATCATCATCCTTGTCAATGGGCTTAGTGCCATTGACGTGAAAAGTATGAAAACAGCATACTGCACGGGGAATTGAACGTCGTAAAACAGAAATTTTCGGGATTGGTAGCAGATTTCAAATTAATGGATGAAAAGCTGAAAGCTGTATCAGAGAAATGTGAACTAACAGAAAAAATTAATAAGAAATTAGAGCTTGATAAAAGTAACTTTTCAGAAATAATGGAAAGTTATTTGGAAATTGATTCTGAATTGAAATTCGTAACAGAACAGATGCAACAGTTAAAAGCGGAAAATGAAAAGCTGATGCAAGTGCACCAAGCAACTTTGCTTGCAGTATTCAAAGAAAATGAGCGAAATGCACGAGAAATTGAACAGTTAAATAGAAATGTAAGTAGGGCAGAGCAGGCCAGAGTATTCTTGAACGAAAAGTTAAGTGAGGCCATTAAAGAAAATGAAAGATTGCATGAGGAATGTGTTCGGAAAGACGGGTTTTCAAAAGAGATTCAGGACAAAGTGCAAGCAATGCACGAATACATGGGAAAGTCACAGTATATTTTCGAAGAGCTAAGTAATCGGCTTAATTACAGCACGGTTACTGGCCAAGTGTCGTGTTTCAGTAAGGAGAAATCCTTCGAAGCAGAAAAACCTGTGAGCACGGCTAACATAATGTGTTGTCGGCCGCCGATATCTGAAAACACCAGGCAGTCAGA